GACAGCTTTAAGGGAGAGTGGAGGAAAGTGAAACCTGGACTCTATATTCCTGGGACATGAATAAGTGATGCACTTGCCAGAGTACAACGGAGCAACAGGCTGGCATTGAATGCTGCGACCATCAAATATTAAGACGCCTTTATGGCCAGCGTAAATTTCAGCGAGCCAGCGATGGAGTCCTTCTGAAAGGATTTGTCTAACTGAGTGATGATGGCTCAAATATGCGCATAATGCCGGATGCTAAGAGAAATATTTGCCAACTAAGCATTGCTCAAGTCCGAATGAAGTCAAATGAATTGCCTCAAAATAGCCAGAGAGCGGAAGGACTTATGCGGGAAAAGGAGTCTCCAGGGAGTCCTTAGAAATTGAGCTTCAAAGGGGGAATGGTTTATTGAATCCTTAACAATAAGTTCCGATAATAAGCCTTTTTCCATATTTAATAGAAATTATTATAATTAAATATAATTATTTTATCTGTCATTGAATGAACAATTTTCTGAATTAATGATCCTTTTTTATGAATTTCCCTGGCACTACCCCTATCAAACAATCATTTTATTTATTCCCCCAGACAAGTCTCAACTTTACGATTAAAAGTTAAGCCAGGCGATTGTCAGAGTTTATAGCCATCAAGTGGAGAGCCGAGGATTAACGACGAAAGCAGCAAATGAATTCGATTACGCATACGCACCGTTAGCCCTCTTTGGAGAATGGAACGGAAGAGTGTTTTTTCTGGCTTAAATCATTTAATTATTTTTCCCCGCAACCGCAAATGAACTGTAAAATGCAATTTGGCCAAAAAGTTGAGGCAAGGCAGACGAATCGATTTCGATATATGTATGAGAATCTAACACTCGTGGCAGCTGTCGTCGCTTCTTTGCATTTTCCACGCACGGAAATTAGTTCTGCCCTAAATGCCGGGATATCCTTTTGCCCCTTTCGATCTATATTGAACCGACACATTGCAGTGGAGATTTATGCAAGAGAGAGAGTTCCGTAAGGATGGAATTGAATAACCGGCATAAATTTCGCGTAGCTGCTGCTGCTGTTACATGACGAAGGCAATTTATGGAAATTTTTGTAGGGTGGTGAAATTCACAACACAGAACTTTCAATGAAGCTATAAAATTCATCAAGACTTAAGAATGAGGTTGCCTTTCTTGCTAGACTCAATTACAGCTTCATTCTTGTAGCGTTCAGTTCAGATTGGTAAAGAAAATTGTATGTAAATTACAGGGAATAAAACGCTATATCCCTCTTAGATATACAGTTGCAACTAACAACCTCATTTGTGGCTGCAGCAATTAGAGGTTACCTCGCAGTCAGAAGCTTATCTTTCCTTTTTTTCCTGTTCGACAACTCTTTATCCTGAAGCCCTTTTCCCGATGACATTCATGGTTTAATTGTTGTCGTTCTCACATGTTGCTGCCAAAGTGCAAAAATAAGCGACAGCGATGAAGGCAGAGTTGGGTTAAGGTGCGGGAAAAACCGGGGAAAATGCCGGACGGAAATGGGACACCAGGGGTGTGGCTGTCATGCCCCGGCTTAAATGGCTGTAAAGTGCCAAAGCGTCGGTGTCAACATTAAGCGCACATCAAGTGCAGGACTCTTGGTGGAAATCGAGCAGGAAGCGGATTGGTTGCACAGGGGAAAAACCAGGCGGGGGGGAAAATCGTAGGAAAATCTCATCCATGTCGGCGTGAGTGACCACACAAAGAATGGGTGTCGCCTGCAGAGTTGCAGTTTCATTGCAAATTGCCCCATGCCTTTTCCATGGTGCGAATGTTCTTGCGTTTGGGATTTTTCCTGCCGGCAAACTATTGGCTTTTCCCATCGCCCACCCAAAAGCTCAATGGCAGGTGCGAAATTTACATTTATCCTTGGCCATTGATGTGAATTCCTGGCCTCCTGACTTGGCCCACAATGTTGCCATTAAGCAAACAGTTCGAGAGCTACTGCAATTGATGGATGGTTGGATGGATCCACAGGCGGCATAGAAATACAACGCAAATCGTCCATCGACAGGGAGTACTGTCATATGGAAATGGATTCTATTTGTGGCTTTGCCATCTTGATGTACACAAATTTAAATAATATTTTATGCCATATATTATAAGGTTCCGGGTTTCACTGTTACGAAATTTATTGAAGTTGTTAAATTGATTGATTTTTGTTGGAGTTTACACTCTTTTTGGGATGTTAAAGATTCGTTTAATTTAATTGAGAATTGAATTTTTAGTTCGGCATTTCAAGATTAAAGATTATAGACAAAAAGACAAAAGAAGTCTTTTAGTATGAGCACAAGGCTCAAAATAACTTTAAAGTTACTACAAACTCTGGTCATTTATAATTTCCAAAACACCTGAATCTTTAAATGTAATGCTAATTTTCCCAGTGTAATCACCCGCCTTTATATTTGGGTAAACCCTTTATTTTACCAAAAGAAGATGGATTCGTTTGGTTATTTTTGGACCACTGCTATCTTATCTATCTTGGGGGAAAGTCAGTCTCAATCATAATTAGCCAATTTGTCAGCACGAGTTCTATTTCTGTTCCACTGCAGCCAAATGTCAGGGGAAAACTTTTCCCCCGATTGGGCCATTACCAAATCGAATTAAATATTCATTTGCGCCGGCCAAAACTTTGACCCGCTGACCCGTTTGGCCTGACTTCAATTGATTACTAGCCGGGTCTGCAACGTGAGCTTAATGAAGGTAATCTGTGAGAGCATAGGCCAACATTCAAGCCGATGGAGATGCCAAAAGTTTGCCAATAACTGTGACAGCATGAATCAATCAATCAGGGTCGAAATCTCGGCCGGAACAAATTAGATCAAGTCATTAGAAAAAAAAAAAACATGGAAACAAAAGTTGGCAGCCAACTAACTTGTTGATCGAATTACAAGGTGTTACAAGAGTGCGTCTGTCACCCCAGACTACACGGAGAAAAATGGTATTAGTTTGGGAATTTAGTAAAAGTTTTGACCCACAAAATGTGAAAGTATATAGAAAAAAATTAAATAAAATATAGATATGAGAGGATGCCTTAGATATTTTTGTTGAAATCACTTAAAATGGGAATAAAATAAATGCTTTAAAACTTAATACTTTACAAATGTGAAGCAATTTATTTTAAATATTTTTCACTGCATATTTTTAGATTGTTAATTTCTCGAATTTTGTGGCATATTTTCAACTGAAACAAAATCTTTTTTAGTCACTTATTGGGATGATACACATTAAACTCGCTTTTGATTCGAATAAAACTGAAAACATGCTTAAATTTAGTTAATAACTTTTGTTTTAGGTTCCGAATTTAGAAAAATTATCTATTTTAAAGCTGATCTTCTTTGAAGATATTAAACTTAAGTTTATTAGCTTTCAATTCGACACCGACTCACCTGAACGCCCAGCACAATCATGGACAAATAAAGGTACACGACCAACTTCATCTCGATTTTCGATTCCCGAAACCAAGGAGCAAAATTGCCTTTACCCGTGGGTTGATTTTTAAACTGAATTTCTTGGGGCGCTACTTTTCAATTAATCGTCAAAATCCGGAGCGACTCCTTTTGATCCTTGGGCTGACCAGAGATTAGCGCAGGAATCACGCACCCTATAACTTCATTAGAGCGTGGAATTAGCGACGGGATAGGCGTTTGCTCGCTCGGCACACTCTGCGTATACTTAATGCGGGCTTGTGAATGGCGCCGGGGAAACCGTTTTAAATTTTGTATTTTTTGTTGGGGGAAAAAAACCAAGAAACCAAGAAACCGTTGCAGGACGACGACGAGGACGATGCGTCAACGCTGCCGCACAACGACCGAGTGTTGGCCCTTATCAGCGCCGCATTTCCTTTTATAGCCACTCGAGGGCGGTCGTCCTGAAAGGGGGTTTTCCAGTTGATTGTTCGTCCTGTCACTTGTCTTTTAGAGATACTCCTGCCGGCTATTGACGAGCGTTTTGTTTGCAAAGTTTTATAAAGTTTTCTTTACAGTTTTGTTTAGCATCTTTTATCGTTATCATTGTCTTTGTTTTCGGCATGCTTTCTATTATTTTCATTTGATTTTCATTGCAGAAATTTGAAATACTTGCCGCTGTTTGGGTCTTCACCACACTTGGCTTTGCTGGTGAGTTTTATGTTGAGGCATTGCCAGGGTAGATGTGGAAAGAAAAGCTCGGCGAAAAGCTTCAAAGCGGGAAAAACGTTTTTCATTCAAACTTTCCTATAGGTATATAATGCATTCTATAAAAATACAAATTTATCAACAGTTAAAGAATAAATTATAACAATAAAGGCAACTAATTTTAGAAAGATGAAATTTATAATTGAATTTTGCATTGAATTATGGGATCAAATCGGAAATCAATAAAAATATTTGCCTTCCATGAATTAATATTTATCGAAATTTTTCGAAGACAATTTTTTTGAAAATCAAAGTTTAAAAATATCATAACTTAGTCAAAAATGCATTAATTTCATTTTAAAAATCGTTCATATGGTTTAAAATCTGCATACTCAATATACAATTTAAAATTTTCAAAAATTTTCCAATTTTCCAATTTTCCAATTTTGAAAATTTTTACGATGTAACCCCTTATTTTGAAAAAATTTCAAAAAAACATTTTTTTTTTTCCGAAGATGGTTAGATAGAATTGCCTGTTGATGCTGATCAAGAATATATATAATTTATAGGGTCGGAAATGACTCCTTCACATGTTTACAAGCTTCTGACTTGAACTATAATACCCTGCAAGGATATTCATATACATATTACATTCTATAATAGGTTTTTACATTTTTTATACTTTTAAAGTCGACATATAACTGTTTTTACTACTGTGCTTAAACTTTAAGTAATATTTAACAATAGTAAAGAAATCAATTAGACACAATCTTTTGGTGATTTTATTGTAATTATTTAAATCGACTCAAAATTTTAAATTTTATTCAAACAAACTATACTATAATTGATGCATTATCCTTCCTCTAAAGCCCTATTACAATCCCATATCCAAGGATGGGGCCACAGCCACGGGAATGGGTACATTCCTGGGATGATTCACATCCCCTCGATCATAGTAGCCTCCCAAATGCTCCCCTGGCATATGGTAGAGTCCATAGTGAAGTCCACTATTAGCAACCTGAATTCAAAATAACAAGAAAAATAGTTAAGATAATTTTTTTAAATACCTTTAGATAATACCTACCCTCTTTAATCCATTAATCGAGGCTAATAGCAGTGCCATCTTGGCCAACAATAATGCCTTTCCACTCACAATTGACAACATCTGAAAGCCCATGGGCACCAAGATGGCTCCCAAAGCGGTGACACCAAACATCATGGTAATAATCATATTATAGCGATGTCTCCTCACCCGAGCACTACCCACTTGATCGGCAGTGGAAGTTTCTAAAAGAAAATAATAACTCCGACAGTATTATTTGAAAAGCAATGGAAAGTATCTTCAACTAACCACTGCTTAGATATCGCTCTGTGAGTTTTCCAAGGTTCACTTGAAGTGTGTGAGTGGTCAAACCCTTGGCCAGACTCACAGCCAATTGATCAAAGAATGTCAGGTGCTTCAGATCCTTGCGTTCATCCTCAAAACTTGAAGAATTAGTGCCAACATCTAGAGCAGACACCAGGCGAACTCCATCGTAAATGGGTATCTCCGGAGACGTCATAATGCCCTCGAACATGTTTAGACTCCTCGAACGGAAACATGACCACAGACTCTGAGTGACCCCAGACTGATAGCACTCTTGTAAATCCCTGCGCAGCTTCTTGAGTTGAGGTATCCACGTTCTATCCGCCTGATTCTCGCCGAAAACACATCGATCGATGAGGAGACAAGCTCCGAGTAAAAACACAACCAGACTGCACTGCACTTGCATTGTTTTCCCTTTGAATTTCAAATCGAAACTGCATCAATTTGGTCCGGGGGCTAACCTTTTTATGGTCATCGCTGGTCAGTGATTGGAAACCCATCTTCAGTCCAGTGCACCCGATCATTAAGGAAGCTCCTCTTCTCGAATCTCTAACGGTGCGCCTTGGCTTTGACATTGGTCATGGTCAACGGTTAGTTGTTGGTGACTTCGAAACCGAGTCTGGGCAACCTAGAAAGGCAACTGGGCTGGGACCCTAAATTAACTTGTCAACAAACGATTTGCAAGTAGCCACTGCCAACGCATAATTCTAATCAGATGCGTTTCAAAGCCTTTTGTTGTCAACAGTTGGCCACGCATTAGACGCTCGATTGAGCTGGTCAGCAGCTTTCAAAGGGGCGGATCCTCACATCCAGTGGTCTAGTTCAAGCCAAATTAGGTAAAGGTGACTCCGAAGATTGAGACTGAAAGCGGAGACTAACATAGTTTAGATACCTAAGTCCATAAATACTTTCTCCTCCAAGGATAACTGCCTTAACCAGCATTTTCCAAATCATAATTAACCACTTACATACCTACCCATTTCCCTCCAATTAAAATACATCATATTTATAATTTGTTTAATATTTATTAGCTAAGAGGTCATTCATTGCATTTCCTTTGCTTGATAATTGTTTTGAACAAAATTCGTACTAAGATTAGAAGGTTTACGCTTTAATAGTTCCATTGAGTGCAAAAGTTGACGTTCAGTGTGATTGGTAGTTGCTCTAGACTTTAAACTAGTTAACAAAGTTTACAAAAAACAGTTCTACACTTGCCTAAATTTATTGATGCACCCGCTAAAATCGTTTCTATATATATATTTTATAGCTTTTACAATTATCATTTACTTTCTTATTTACTTTTGGGTGTGTGTGTGGTAAAAACAGTTGCTCAGAGCCGGCTGCCGCAGGATTCGTGGATTTCGTCCCTGCTTTTTTTATTCAGATACAATAGTACGATAGATTATGCGCTGCTCCCCGGATCCTTGATCCGATCCTTGTTTAGAAATATCCTCAGTGCTTCTGTGTGTGTATTTTGTGTAAACGCGTCCTAGCAAAAAATATATACCATCTCATCTGGTCTGCAGCATTCACCAATCCCGCTGCCACTTCTTAGCAATCCATCGACTACGTGGCGCTGGGCAGGCGGTGGCGCCAGTATAATCAGGATCCGGTCGTCGTCGTCGTTGTGGGCGTGCCAGCGGCAACTCCGCGCCCGAAACGTGGCAGGTACAGGCCGAATTTGGACTCTACGCCGGCGAGGAGAGGAATTGCCGCCCGATAGCCACCAATGTGATCGAGGTTCTCATAGGTGATCTTGGCCGCCGCCGTCTCTATGGGATTCGAAACCTTGTGCGCCTCCGAACCCTTGGGCTGGCTGCCACCAAAGTCCACATAGAAGAGACGTTGCAGCAGCTCATAGGTCACCAGGGTCACGCCAAACTGCGGCGAGGAACGGAACACACGAGCTAAGAGGGGGAGACATTAATTATTAATTTTATAATTATTTCTTTCCTTATAGCGGCTTACCTGCCGTTCCCTTCCAGAAGGCTCGTGGACCCTCCTCAGCCATAATCTTCTTGGTGGCATCCCAGACACCCGTGTACGTTGTCTGTCCGGAGCGGGCCACCACCTGAAGGCGGGTCTTGATTACATCGGCGGGCGTGACGAGTGAGGCGGCTGGAACACCAGCAATGGCACCGGCGGCCAGCAGAGTAAGCGGGTGATTATAGCCGTCCTTGTCGGCCATCAAGGCCTTGGTGTGGGCATAGGTAGGGAAATAGATGGCCGAGAAAGGCACGTCACGCAGCAGACAGGCCCTGGCTCCCTTGTAGAGACCAAAGAGTCCCAGTTCCTTGACCACAGACCAGGCACGGATCTTGGATCCGCTGGCAATCTCACCGGCCACTTGCAGTCGGATCTTTACAATCTCCAGGGGATTGGTGAACACAACCTGTGAGCCACCGGCAACGCCACCGGCTAGAACCTCCGCCCAGGTCGGAATGTTGCCCTTTTTGTCCGTGAACTTGTCCCTCACCAAATCGTTCATCGTCAGCTTGATGGCCTTCTCTGGAGCCACGCCAAGCAGTTGGGGCAGCAGACCTCGGTATAGACCAAGGACGCCTTCGTGGCGGATCACCTGGGAGGATTAAATTGTTATTTTAAATATTATATTTAGGATCTTAGTTTTTAATTCCCACCTTCTTGAAGCAATCCCATGAGTTCCTGTAGGCCACTTCACCAATGTAGGAGCCTGCACGCTGGTTTTGCATACGAGTCTTGACGAGATCGATGGGATAGACCACGGTGGCTCCCACAGCTGTAATGACAGAATATTATAAATATTTTTGCAAGGACTCTCAGTAGCAATCCTTACCGCCCGCAAAGGAGCCCAGGGTGAAGCGATAGGAGCTCTCCAGGATCTGAATGAAGGCAGACCGATTGGCTGCACTCTCCACCACCTTGATCTCGGCCAGACGATGTGTGATATGCTTGGTGTAGTGCTCGGGTGCAATGTTGCTCAGGTCACTGTAGTCGATGCGACTGTTGAAATTAGGTAATTTACCAAAATTAGTTAATTATTTTATACCATAAATATACAAGAGGAACTAAGAGACACCAACTGGGTTAGGTTCAGGGCGGGGATTCTTGGAGTGGATAAATTAACAAACAAAAAAAGTAAAGCAAAACTCAGGCTGGGGAAGGACAATATCACTTGCCTATTTGGAGCTATCTTTCTCCTGCGCTTCCACCAGCTGGCAGCGGGGAAAGAAATGAGAATTGCGAGTGCAGCGGAGAGAAAATGAGAAAAACACAGAGAAAAAGGGAGACACACACAGAGAAAAAAGATACAAAACAAGCGGCGGTTAAAATGAGACAAATCAGACTATTTTTGGAGAATCCCTCCGGGTAAGTCATGAACTTATAAGGACATTTGTAAGGTTAATTAACGGACAGTCTTTAAAGTCAATATTATTAAATATTAGACTGATTAGCACCTGATTTAATATGGAGCAAACCTACTGTATGATATTATTATAAATAAATAGTTTATTATCTCTCCTCCCTTTTTTACTTTATATAATTTGTCTCGTTAAACTGGTAGTTATTTTACTGGCTTTAGTTTAAAATAGCAAGTTTTAAAGCGGACAAAAATATAAATTAAAAACACACCGCAGATCTAAAATTGTAATATTGGGATTAAAAATAAAATATTAGTCTAGATAAGCGTTAACAAAGGGTATCTATAAAAATGTTTTCTTTAATAATGAAAAAATATTTAAAAGTACCACTAACTATATAAAAGTTATGGAAATATGTACTATATAAAATTACCTAATAATTAAACCTTAATTAAGAAAGAACTATGAATCTCTAAAGAAATCTAATCAAATACACCTTTTCCTATATAGTTAAGGCAAAATATAATTGCACAATTTATAAAACTATTTAAAAGGAAATGCAAATGTATCTACGTTTTTGTTTTGTTTTTTAACAGATCACAAGTTGGCAACACTAAATCCCAAAAGGCCTCCCTGTTGAAGTACTCACCCTGCTTGGTGGACGGCACCGGCGAGATGGAACAGGATATCAATCTCCAGCGGCGTAATCTGGCTCATGGTTTGGGCGGCTTGAAGGATTTGGTCCTTGGTGACCATGTCCGTGCGACTGCCCTCGGTGGCGTGCAGGTAAACTTGCTTGATCAGTTCCATGTTGTTTAGCAGCGAGGTAAATGCCATGAAATACGGGAAGCTCACTTTGTGACCCTCGGTGACCTAACAAAATTAAAAAAGAGATCATTAGGAAAGAGTATTCCATAGATATATTCATCAGATAGCTACCGAAACCAGGTTATCCTTGACGCCGGGGGTCAGTAAATGCCGCTTGACCTTAACGATTATGTCCTGGAAGTCCAAGGGGGAGATGAACCCAGTGCCAGCTGGATCCCTGCTGCGGAAGGCCTCCATTGCATGCTCCTCATGGAAATCGTGCAACAGTTGCGTGAACTCAGCATAGTTGATAAGGCGTTGCTTCTTCTGCCAGGCGGGGAATGCAAAAAATAGATTAGAATTATGGACTATTTGACATTGCAAATATTCTCACTCACATCACCAAAGTAGCGCTTGATAAAGGGTCCGTCTAAGCTAAAAGGTATCTTTGAGTGCAGTTCGGTTTTTTGTACGACTTCAGCAAAATCAGCTGTGGGTGGATAAGAGATATATTGTTAATTACAATTTATGAAGGGTAAGTTGTGGTTTATTTCTTACCAAATGAAACGGTCCCATTGCCTTTTCTATCAAACAACTGAAAGGCTGTCCTGTAGAGGGCATCGGGCTTGCATAGCAGACCCTCAAAGGCCTGGAACTCAGAGAACGAGATGAGACCATCCTTGCTGGTATCAGCAATGCCAGCTAAAAGGCGGACCGATTCCTGTGAGGATATAAAATGGAATTAATGATTATTTTTATAAGATTATGATTTAAGAGGTATAGAGATATGATAACAGATGAGTAGCAAAGGTTTAAGAGATTTCCCGGAAGTGACAAACCTATAAAATCAAAGCATTATGGTTAAAACACTGATTAGATATTAGAATTCCATTTCAAAACTATCATATTTACAGAAATCTTTAAGAAATTCAGCACAATGAATTGCAATTCTATTGATTAATAATTTCCTTGCTATTTTCAACTCAAAAAGGAAAGGTTAATCTTATTATTTGAGTGGACATTAGACCGGTAGTCACCCTCTAATGGTGAGATAAACGAACTCATAAAAGAAACTGCCCCCGCAGACTTCGGCACCTGATTGAATCAGTTCCATTGGAGGCAGCGGCGGGGGCACCTACGATCGGGTTCGAATCGGTTCTCAGGCCATAAACCTGATAAGCGGGGACTCATTAAAATAGAATCTGTGACGTTGGCGCTGGCGGGCACGAGGCAGTCAAGTGATTGCCGATGGGTTTATTTCTATGTTCTTTATTTCTAGCTTCGCGGGTGGGTCAAGGTCAGCCGTGATTCAGAGTTGGGAGACAGCAGGAATTTGATTTATGCGCCCATGGGGTGGTGCCGCTGTCTCGTATCTGGCGATAAGATATGGCCTTATCGGACGTAGAAACTATGCTAAATAACCTTGCAATGACCCGAGTGCAGCTAGAGCTTCCTTTATACTTACATCATTAAATGCAGATTCCGAAAAGAGACCCAGAAATTTGCGGACAAAGTCCTCGCTGGTCATGTAGTGCTCCCCATTCTTCTGGAGAGAGGCATACTTCAGGAAGACCTCGCGCAGCTTGTCCGTGCCGGCACGCTTCAAGAGCGAGGGAGTCTGCAAAAAGAAAGAAAAGAGAGTATGAAATGTGGCCATAAAGAAGAAATTACAACACTCTTAAGAACTCTCACACTTAATTCAGGGTTGGAGCCCCCAAGAAATCCAAGGGGGCTTCCATGGTAAAGATAATAGAGACCGACGCAAAGTAGAACGAAGATAATTTTTGTTTATATATTTTTTTCAAATATTAAAATGTTTTTATAAAAATTGAAATGAATTTGGAACACATTTCAATTTTTTTTTTGTTAATTTTGAATTGAATGTATATGTATATGTTTCTTTGAATATTATTTCAACGAAAGTTTATAAGCAAAAAATCATCACGTTTTAAAACTTCAGTTTTATTTTTCACTTTCACAGATAAATAATTATATATCCAGTTTTAGGGATTACAAAAAAAGCAACCCTCCAGCACCGCCACTGTTCCACTCTCTTTTTTTTAAACTCTTCCATCTCTTCCGCTCAAGCTCTCGAGTACAAAAGCAACACGTGTCAGCCGCTCAAGAATCCAAGCTTTGAACTCACATTTGGCAGACTTGTGCTCAAAGGCATTGCTGTTTTTTTGGTACTTCTGGTTTACTGCTGTTTCCGCAAACAATTGCTGGCGCATCTAATTAGCTCATCAATGCAAACCGATCTAATCCACACACCGCCCAAGTAGTAGCAACCGTTCCGTCTCTTTTCCCGCGAATTAATGCGAGTGGGGAGCGCAGAACCACCACTATCTGTGGGGGCCAGAGCAAAAAGCTGAGAGTAACGGAAAGAGCGAGATCGTGAGAGCAAAACTTTTATTTTGAGGGTCATTTTATAGCTTTGCCGATTCTCTTCTAATGTCTCTCTTAACTTTTGGTGTCAGGAAAAAGGGGTATATTGAAAGGTAATTTAAGTTTTTGAAGTACTTAAAAACTTGTCAGGTTTTAAAAATCCTTTCAATTATATTTTCAAATATACTTATGTGTTATTTTGTTTAATAAATAAAAATGAATGGGAAATAAGTAAGCATGAAGAATTTCCTAAGCTTTTACAAAAAAATAACAAGTAAAGCCATATTATTATCAATGTAGTACAAGTACCGGGTATCGAAAAGTCGAGTATCTAATGGGGCCTATCATTGCCACACATTGTTTACTCGCTCTCTTCCATGGTTCGATGCACAATTCCGCCTGAACAATCGCCAAAAGGTCAGCAGCTTCGTCAACAACAAGTTCAACTTCGATGACAATATAACATACAATGGAAAATATTGAATATATTCAATGTTCTGAACTCAATCGGTCTCATTTATCAATTGCTCCATTGACGTAATGCGATTAGCACGCGATGAAATTGTAATTTTCTCTTTCGGTTGCCGGGGGTTCCTCACATCTCATCATCTCTCGTCCCCAGATTCGATTTGTTTTTGTGCCAAGCGAATTGCGAAAAACAAAAACAGATTTCATAATAAAATCAGCCAAAACAAAAAACACAAACATTTATGGCGCCCCCAACTGTGAAATTCTGCAAATATGTAATTAGCTTTGCATCAGGTTTGATTGAACTTTAATACCCTAGGTAAAACAGGTAACAGTGATTGGATTGATATGTTATTAAATGTGCAGAAAGCATTTCATTAACAGAGATTAATTTGGATTGATGGTCGAGATAAAATAGTTCCCAGGAGGGATTTTATACAGCTTAATTTACAGATGATACACTAAGGAAAAATTATATTTTCGGCTTAACTCTCCATGTATAAAAATTAATAAAACAAATAGTTCTTAATAAAAATATAATTTGAGAACTTCTGAAAACATGTTCACTATAGTTTTTAAAAGAATTAAGTTTTGCATGTATTTTATATTCATTTATTTTTGTAGTATAAAGCTTCATCATAAATATTCCCCTTGCCCACTTGATCTTTGTTTTTATTTAGTTTAAAATATTTATTGGATTTATTTGATTTATTCCCACTTTCCCCAATTTCATTATGTTTTCTGTTCGATTTATCCAAAGTGTCGCATTGACCTTTCACAATCCAATCGATTGGCAGTGGCAATAAACGAATTCGTTTGCTGGCAATTTTCTGCACAATTTGCGATGCCATCAAGTATTTATTGAGAGCAATGAAAATTTGAAAATTGATCTATATATCTGATGAGGATATATTATTCATATTTTTTTTCCTGCTCGTATATGTGCACTTTGGCCTCATGAAAATCCAATTAAACTTCCATTGTGGAAATAATGTTTTTAAGCGCCATTTAATTAACAATGCATAACAATCCAAGTCAACACTGATTTTAATTAATATTCATTGCATATTTATTGTTTGTACATTTTCGCAATTAATTCACTTGCATTTATGCAACGAGGTTTTTAAAGAAAAAGTGTTATTAATATTTACTTAAAAAATGGAATCAATTATTAATTTCCAAGAGAGCAAATATGAATATTTAAATAAGTTTTTCTTTTCTTTATCAAACATATGACCCAGATAAAAGATGTAATTTTTAATTTTCTATAAAAAAACCCTTGAGGCTAGACTCACTTTACATATTTCTGTTAGATCTCATTTTTCCTCGTCACACTTTGTGAGGAAACACTATTTTCCTTCCGACAGCTTCAGTGGGCGTAAAATAATCCAATCCAAGTCAACCAAGCTTGGAATGTAATCAAAGGAAGTTGTGCCCAAGCCCCCGGATTCAATTTTGTTTCCATTGCACACTGAACTTGAAAAGCCCCAAATGTACTTGTGCATGTTTTATAAATTCATGTAAGCTAGAATTCGTTTTTTGCTTCTCTTTTCACACGGCGACCAACGAGCAAAAAATGTTACACATACGCCCCGTGTGACGGCAGACAGCAAACGATTTGTTTGTTCGGATTTTGTGTCTCTGCTTTCGCTGTGTTTTAGTCCTTTTTCTTCATTTCCCCCTCCTTCTACCATTTTCCCTTACATTTTCTCCTGACCTGACCTCTGCTTTGTTGCATTTGCATAATGAGTTCTTCTTGGCCATGGTCGTCGCCACTGCCTTTCTCCAGTTAAAGGTTGCAGGGGTTTCCCCCCGACTTTCCGACTTTCCCCGCCTGCAGCGACTGGCACGTGCTTGTCACTGTTACTATATCTCGGCATCTGTGTCTGTGGATACACAGGAACAATCTAAACACTGTATATATATTATTTCCATTTTGATTTCATATACTGTAATTTTAAAATGTACATCATTTCTTTCTGTGTGTTTCGGGCTCCATGGAAATTTGTTGCACGAGCGGTAAAGTTTTGTTTTTATTTGCAATTTTCCCTCAAGGTCAAACCGGCTGTTCATTATCGCTGTGGCTGTGGTGGTTGTTGGCGGGTTTTGGCCCGGCTATGAGGTAATTTTTGCCACCCCTCCTTATTAACCAAAGTTGTAGAGTAAAACTGAACAGCTGGAGCTTAGACAAAATGTAAAGAATGCATTCGAATTATGTGAGTAAAGTTTTTACTAACTGCAAACAATTTATATGCTTGGGAATTAGTAACAGCTGCATAGCGGACATATTACGTATACGCAGGGTGAGCCATGGGACCACAGTCAGCTGGCTAATTGACGACAGCAAATGGAATAGAGAGAGAATCCCAGCACGAGAGAGAGAGACAGAACTAAAGAGATCACCAGCAGAGAGATATTATTATATATATATATAGAAGGGGCAACTGGAACGATCAGAGACAGCAGCAAATTGCGGAGAAGTGCAATAGGAGAAACTGAGAACTGAGAAACTCGGCCTGAGATAATGGCGGTGACTTTTCCAAAGTCGTGAGCAAAGTAACAAATCCGTTGGATTGAAGGTGAATACCGTTGTATCGCTGGATGCTCTGAAAAGCTTTCGCTTGGAAATTATATTGTTTTATTTCTTTATATAATTGTTTGACCTGCGAGCTTTGCCGAGATATCAAATATTTATCTTTCGTCTATTTCTAATTATGAAAGTCACTTCCTTGAATTGTCTGATATCAGTCAAAATATTTAATTAGTTTCCTGTATCGCACGTTACCTCATCCTTATCTGGCATATTCACTAATTTGATTGAACACAGTCGAAAAGTCTCTTGGAAAGCCGCGAACTTCAGACAGGTTGGCGTTATCTCCGGATATTGGCGATTATCTTGAAGGATTAGTTAACGTTAAGTTTAACCGTAGGTTAGGCACTGGTCTTAGGTATTGTAATACTTTAGTGATTTACTAATTGCTTGTTCTTTGATATTCACTTTATTTTTGTTAATATTTTATTTTAATTTACAATTATTATTTTTATTATTTAGCAGAGTTTATGATGGTCAAATTTCCGGATATATTTAGCCACCAAATTAGGCGTTTTCGAATCCGATTCGTTATGTTTATATTTTTTGAGGGACGCGCGCGTTTCACGATTTTCCCCTGTCTGTCATCCGCTGGCGACGCGCTGCTTTTCCATTCTGAATTGTGATTCCGATTTTTGTCGAGAGCTTTTCCCGCTTTCAGTTACTGAAGCAGCGACGTCGGCGTCAATATAAAGATATTTACAGAGAGAGAGAGAGAATAATAAATAAAGAGCAGCCCTCTGGCGATTACATTTCGGTTTCATATTAATTGTGATTCTCATTTCGGTTTGTTATTGTTTTCATCTATTTCTCGGCACTGCAATTTCACAATTACCACAGCAAGCAGTGGTAGTAAAAACAGCGAAAATAATTAGAGCCGGTCTAAACAGGGTGGTGTGATATTGGCCAGACGGGGCTTTTTTTTCCCTAAGCCAAAAGAAAATGCATTTGATAATGGAACTGCAGTGCGAATCATAAGGTGCAATGTGTTTGCGGAAGTAAATTCTAGCTAAGTGGCATCAAGGTGGTATTACACAGCAGCGTTTAATAGAATAGGAGTTTAATTTAATATATAATTTTGTAATTATAAGCAAGGGATAAAGGATATAAGAAAGCTTTGCCATTTTATTTTTAAGGTTTTAAGCAAGAATGCAACTATTTTCTGATTAAATAATTTATTACTTTTAAAGAAAAGTGTAAACTCTTTAAATCTTCCTATTATGCTAACCACGTCTGTTCATTCACATGCATGGCTGGCAAGGTCACAATTTTCGAGCGTGCCAAGTGGTTGACGATTTCCCAGTGTGAAAATTTATGAAACTTAGTAGTTGCATTTCATTCACAGCTGCTTGGCACCTTTTTTTTTTTGTTTTGTTTACAATGTAAACACGTGCTGAGGGAAAATTGCACGATAAAAGCACACACAGAGAGAGAGAGAGACGGAAAGAATGGCAAAGAGAGCAGCGAAGACATTCGAAGAGACATTGCGTATACGCATCGTTGGCCAGCTGGCGAGGGCACGTGAATGAAGCGTGTTTGGGGGGAGTTTAAAAATAGACAAGCGGGGCGAGAAAATTCTGTTATTGTATATTATCGTCAGCGGAATGTCGCACTCACCGCACCTCCCCCCTCCGTAGTCACAAATTAAATTTTTAGCAAGGCCATCGCCATCCTTTGAGTTCGTTAAATAAAATGAGCAATTACGAGCAGCAGTCATGAGCAGCACGAACCAGCAGCTAACTCCCTCGCCATGAAGGTTAGCCAAATGTCAGTTAAGGACCCCCTCCATTCTCTTGTTAGTTCTGTCAAAGTATGGGGTGTCCTTTTTATGACACGACAGGCACAAACACAGTCGCAGTCCTTCACTTCCGCGTTGTCACACATCGGGCTTCGTTCGCTTAACATCACTATAGTTTTTCAGTTTTATTTCATTGCAAAATGATGGATGATGGCGACCGGAAGCTCTGTCAGCTTTTATCATTTTATATCATGGCTCATTTTCGATTGAGAACCCTTTCATTGTTGTGTTGGTTTCATGTATTCCTCACATTTACTTGCTCTTCTTCATATCCCTGCCAAGTGCAGTGTCTATTCATGTTCAAAGGAAAATATTTCCAAGACAGCATAATTAATGGCTCTTGGGTGGTGAGATTTCATTAGGAATATTATATTTGAGGGTATATGGGTTTGTGGGTGTATAAGAAAATGATACTTTATGTCTTTTAATAATATATTTTCACCAGCTTATGCTTGTTTTTCGGGTAATCTAATAAAACAAGGTATAGTTAGTTTTATAATTTTTCTGTTTAAATAATAATAAGATAGTTGTTTCATATAAAAAGGAATATTCCTTTTGCTTAGCCACCCTAGGTGCTCCATCTGTTTATACTTTTCCACCAGTCGGCACTTTTGCTCTTCGCATTCCTTTTGCCCGCCGCACTTATTTTTAGACCCGAGCCCCTAATCCTCGGTGAGCTCTGAGCTCTGTATAGGCGGTGCCTCTGCACCCCCTCCCCCCAAAAGGGGGTGGTGGTGGTAATTAAGTCGCAAACTGGCGGCCACTTGATGCACCCGGAGGGATGCAGGGCCATATATGGTGGGAAATATACGAAGACTAAGCTCCGGCGAGTGCACTTACTTCTTGGCATCGGGCGACTGGCAGGGCGGGTGGTATCCAATTAACCGGACACGGGATGTGCAATGGCATTATCCGGGTGGGCGGCTCTCCGGGTAGGCTGAGGGGGTCGAGTGTGTGAGCGTGTGTGGGGGGCGCTGGCTTTTGGCTTTTGCTTCACCTTCAGCAGTTCAAGTTCAGTGGGAAGCAAATCCAAAAGGGAGCTTATGGCCGGGGTGGGTTGCCGTTTCAAGGAGCTGCTCTTTTATCGATTTGTACGCACAAAATAAAACGCTAATCTTGTCTCGTTCTTTGGATGAGCACTTGGACGTGGACACACAGTAGGTAGGTTCCTGTTCCTTTGGACAACGATTGGATGGAGGTGACAGCTGCTGCACTGGGAACAGGACCTTGACAACGGAACAGGACCAACCATGCAACTCGAGAAAACGCGCTAAACTGGGAAGCGACAACATGGAAAACATGGCTTAACAGCGGAGAGGCCCATAAGGTGGTTGCGCTGGGAAATGTTAAAGGTAGCAGGGAAATGCCAATTTAGGGATTTCTTTGAACTGGAAAATGTGGAAAATTAAAAAGTAATAACCAGTTTAAATGGTAATTTCTTACAGATAAAAAGCTTATGTTTATTATAATATTTATTTAATTTTGGTAAATTTTATCTTGCTTACATTTCAGCTGTTAATGTACAGAGGAACAAGAGAAGCTTTTATATAGGGAAATTCCTCAGCTGAGCGGGAAATTCGGTGCGCCATCTGGCAAAAGTTTCCTGGAGATTGGGAATTAACAAGAATATAGGTTTGAAATATGATTTAAAAACCTTGCACAGAAGATTCTAACCCATGACCGTACTTAAACCTCAATGTTATGTTTATGTTTATTACTAAAGCTCGTTCAAAATCGTGCCGAGAAATATCAAATATTATCTTTACGAACCATTAAAAAATATACATAAACCACCAACGTTTAGTCATAAATATTTATTCGGTTTAGTACAATAGGTAAGCATGCACACAGTTTTAATAATAGCTTTTGATGATGATTCTTTGTCTTTGAACAACAGGTTATTGCAAGTAGTAAGCCGTAGAAGGAAACGCTTCCTTTTAAGAGAGCATTCCGAATAATTTGCACTGTAAGCTGCGCATAGGTGTAAGTGCCTGTGTTTGGTGTGTGTGCAAGGGGAGGGGTTCCCCATCAAATGCCTAACATATTAAATATATAGATAGTAACGAACGCAACGGTAAGCCACAATTAAAAATCACATTGGGTTCTTTTAGGTGACAGAATGCAAAAGAACGGATAGACCGAAAGGCAATAAATAACAACAAATGCCGCCGAGTGCTAATAAAGTGACGTGTAGACGATCAGCTCGAATCAACTGCTTGCAAAAATACAACTCTCTGTTTTTCTCTATGCCCGAAAATAGTTTATCTCTCTCTATCGCCCTACTAAATCTCTGTAATTTCCTTGGTTAAATCACTGTTTGGACAGCCGAACTGGAGCCATCCGCTGACTATCTGCGCAGATCGATGACCTTAATCTTGGCCTGCCCATCCATCCGGATGTGCTGCGCCTCCATAAACAGCGGCGGGTCATTTGGGTGCGGATGAAAGCCCGATTGCCGGCACTGGGCAATGTAATCCAGGCCATAGTGCGGCGTTAGTATGAAGAAACCAGTGCTGGAAGGGGAAAAGATAAGTGGGTGATATCTTAAATGAGTCAGTCAAAGGCTAGAATGACTCACGTGTTGTACTTGGGGGCACACACAATGGCCAGAGCCTCAGGCATCATCATCTGGTAGGAACAGTGCGTGTGCAGATCAACGGAGGACAAAAATGCAGTCTGGCTGGGATGGGTCTGCAAGTAATAAAAGGAAATTAAATGAAAAATTACAAAAATTGTAACCCAAAAGATTACTAACATGTATCCATCCCAGGGTAATCAGTTGCATCTGATCCTGAACATCGAATATCTGCTCCTCATGCATAGTATTACAGCTGTCCGGAGTGCCTTGCTGCTGCGGCGTTATGATGTGTGTGATGTAGAGCTGGTTTTGGGACAGATGACCCGCCAGTACGCCGCAAGTCTCAATGTTCTTGGAGGTGTTAGCATGCGCCAGCTTCAGGAATACCTCCATCGTATCCCCGGGCACATGGACGAGGCGTAAAGAGCCCGCCAACAGTGAGTCCGTTCGATTGTAAGCCGGCTTTTGGTTGCGATCGAAGCTGGGCTTGGAGCTGTAAATTATTACAAAGGAAAATATATTTAAAAGAGAATAATATTGGCTTAGATTTAAAACTTTTAAACCTTTATTATTGAAAATATGGGGACAGGCCGTTCAGATAATGCAACTATCAGTTTAATAGCTCTATCAGTGGCCTTATCAAGTTTAATCAAAGTGGGGATCGGTTTTTATGGCTGCAAATAAAAACGATCGGTTGATAAACCTTCTGGTTTTTACCTTGTCTACCAAATAAGGGTACATGTTTGTTGGGATATCCCCAATAGAAAAGCATAAAACTTGAAGAAATTTCAGTATAAGTAAACAATTTGATCGTCGACTTGGTTTGTTTGGTCTTGGGGAACTATATTGAATTTCAATTACTAAGGGTTGTGTCATGGAATTTTCCATATAAATGATTTCCATAGACTTTGCGGTTACGTTACTTCTAGAGTCTAGTAATAGAAAGCATAGAAAAGGCAGAATTTCATTTATTAAACTTACTTGGCTGTCTTGTCGGCGACTGTATCATTGCTGGCAGCTGGTAGCAGGAGTCCCGATCCCGGCAGACTCCGGTTGGCGGCCGTGGGGAAGTCATTGGGATAGACCACCTGATCCAGCAGACCCAGATCCGGTGCCGTTGGCTGGTTGCCCTCGTCGATGAGCACGTGCAGGTTGGCTGGAATCAAAGATGGGACACCAGCACCACCGGCCTGCTCCCGTTCCCGCTGGCGTTGGCGTTCTCGCTCACGTTCCCGTTCCCGCTCTAGTTCTCTCACTCGCTCTGCCTCTTTGCTGGCCAGGAACTGCTCGTATTCCCGCTGGTAGTGAGTGAGGAGCTTGGCACGCAGCTTTTCCGTTGTGGGCATGATCTCGTCCTTGATTTTCTTGTTAATGTCACGAACCTCGGCCTTGACGCTGCCGTAGTCCGGATGCTGGCGGATCTTTTCGATGAAGAGGGTCATGTAGCGCAAATACAGGATGAAGGCGTTCTCGTGATTGCCCTCCCGCAGGTAAACGTTCGCCATGCGCAGCATCTCGGTGCCGGAACGGTAATAGCTGCAAGGACATACACACATATACATTGGGTTGCCTTCGAGCTTGGCAAGGTCGCTGAGGCGGCCTTGGGCGAGCTTGAGCCTGGCGCGACCCTGGAGGCGAAGGACCCCCGAGTCCGGACTCACCGCGTAACTGGCATGTTCTTGTCCACCTCGATTAGGTTCCCGCAGTGCGACAGGTGCTTCATCCGCTCCTCCGGCTCCACGACGCCCATGCTCATGTTATTCACCGCCTTCGACATGGCTTCTTTTGCTGATTTTCCAATTCCTCCAGTTCACTGCCTTCGTACCAGGTGCTCCTCGCTCTTCGTTCTCCGTGCTTATTGTCTTGGCTTTTGTTGTTGTGTTATTTGGCAAGATTCTCGCTTATTACTCATAATTTCGCAGGTTTCGCAGGTGGCGTCTTCTCCGAACATATGTTCGCCAGCTGCAAAGTAATCGATGTGACTATCGATGTCACACACTATCGATAGTCGATGGTGGCAAGCAGAATTAATGTATCGATATTATTTATTTGAATTTTCTTGAATTTTCAAAATGTTAATACACATGTTAATATTTATTGATTTGTTATGAGGGATTGTTTGTTTCAATATTGTTTACTTTTAGAAAAGTAAAAACGTGTTGAACTTGAATTATTCTTTAATAAATATATAGGAAAACCTGAAAAGTCTGGAGAACGAAGTAGGCTTTGAAATTGAGTTCATAATGAAATTATAAACATATATCAGATGTCTCATAGGAAAAATAAGAACATTCAAAAATATTCCATTCTATTTATTGGAATTAAGTACATCTACATCATTCTGGAGCTGTAAAGAAGCCACAAGTAGGCTCTTATCTTCCAGTTAGCGGTGTTCATCTTATTATTAGGTGACTCCTTCATTATGAGATCTTTCGTGGTCTCAGGGTTAAGCTGGCGAACAGACTCCTTGTTTCTTCCTGTTTCGGTGGAAAGGAAACAGCACTGGATGAGCTTGAGCCTGCTGCTGAGTTATTGTCCTTATCATTAGATGGTGGAATCTCTGGTGCCAGATCAAGGGGCGACCGGCGGGTCATCATCTTGGAGTACCAAGTGTGTAGCAAGCGCTGCAGCGCCTCCTCGCCGGCACCATCATCTATGAAATCTTGATGCACTTTGGCGATGACGTCTTTAATTATTTTGTCTATTTCGTGTTGAGACAACTCCGGCACGAAGCCATGGGATTTGGTGAAGATATTATTCTTCATTGGGGACATATTGGTTTTAAGGCCTTTAAAAAAAACTTAATCAATACTTGTCAAAAGCAAATTATTTTATAAAATTACCTGGCTTTCACGTAATATCGACGATTAATCTGCTTAGGTCCAAAACGCGTCGCTTAATGCAATTTTTAATGTTTTCCATGTCAAAAGTTGTGGCATACATATAGGGCAAGGAATACTAGATTTAATGATTTTTATCTTTAATTAGGCTTAAGTTGGCAGTCTGTTTACATGAAATGTTCATTCTTTTTAAATATTTAAGTCAATATTCGGTATTTTTTTTGCTGGTCAGCTTTATTTTACTAACCATTAAATTAAATATAGTATAAGGAGTAGACTGTATATACATATATTATTAAATGTAGTATTGTTATATTGCTTCATTGATTACGGCTCTGCTTCTTATCCGTGTTGTGATTATTATTTAATTTTTTGCCAAAAATGCGTCTTATTGTGTTATCATTTTGACAATGGATTTAGGCTACTACACGTGTCGAACGAATATAATAAAATATATACTTCCATTGGGTACATTCCATAGATATATGATACCCATTAAGTCACTGTTTAAATACTTCACTTTAACCGTATATGTACATATATATAGAGGGTCTGATTTATATTACATTTTATTTTAAAAATTAACGGAAGGTTAAACATTAAATGGAAACTAATGAATAATATCTTTCAAGCCAAACGTTGCAAAATTTGAATTTGTAGAAGAAAGTGAAGCAATATTTTGCCTCTTTCAATGGCACGTACTTAATCCGTATCCTTATCTCTGCAAATAAAACACGGCTAATCTAGGTAATACACTTAAAAATAGTCGATAGTTATTCCATTATCGACTGATTACTCAAAAGACCCCTAAGCGCCGAATCGATTTGATTGTGGAAAATCTTTGGCCGTTCATTCAGTCCAAACGCGTGGCTCGATCTTGAAGGAAGTCGGTACGACTTCTCCTGGTTCTCGGAATTAATTTTTGAATACTATATATTTCTGGGGTAAGTCTAATGCTAGAAAGAAACCAATTTAATTAGCTGTGCAAATTTGGCAATATCGAAGTTTATCTCCTGTTTGCGGGTGTCAAAGTTCACACTTGTTTACAATCAAATATTTAGCACTTAGAGGCCCAATCTCTGATCTGCGGAAACTAATTCCGCGATATGATAAGCTATCGGTGGATTATTTAAGGAATGAACCTGGGCAAAACCATACAAAAATAGTGCAAGTGCAAATATTGAACGGTCTTTAACTTGGCACCTCTTACTGTTTTTTAAATACTTTTAAATATGGATTAATTGAAATGAAAAATATAATTAAATTTATATAGTATAATATATAAGCTGTATGGAAATATTTTTCTTTGAAAAACTTACGCTAAAATATATATAAATATATATAATAAATATTAAATCTATGCTTCAAAAAATGTGTATCTAAAGGCTCTCAAAATATTTTTACCATATAGATTTTGATAAACATTTCATGATTTAATTTTCAAGCTCGGATTCGTGTAAACCCATGGTAATTGAAAAATTGACTACCTGTAAATTGACCAACTGACCAATGGACCGCACGTACGCCCCCCAAAGAGACAAATGAAATAAATAAAAATAAATAAAAAGCAAAGAGCCAAAAAACCATTCACAGATGCAAAACGCCGAAAGCCGAAGCCACGAGCTTGGATTCGGATTCAAACACAGAGTATCTGAGGCTCTGGTCTCTGGTCTCTGGATTGAGTTTGAATCACTTTGGTTGCTTTGATCAGTCGAGTGCCAGCTTGGGCGCAGAGCAGGCGACAGTTTCACGGATCTCGATCTCGGTACTCTGCGGTTCGGTTATAAACATTGAGATAGTTTCGTTTTTCGGGTAGGGGGAATAACTAAATACAGTGTCGGTCGCGTTCGTGGAAAGATAAGTAAAGTGGATAAAAAAGAGGAAAACAACAAATAACTATAGAGGGGAACCAGCGTGTTTTGAAATCGGTTTTTGGCATCGACAAGTGCCGAAACTGCAACTGCAAATGCTGTACACGGATAATCGCCCCCATTTGGCACTAATTAAAAGGCCAGCGAGCGTGTGATAAGCTCACTGTAATTATAACAATAATTATAACGATAATTGGCAGCCGGGCCAAGTTTAAACTGGCCATTTCAATGCCTAATGCGCTCTGAAGTGGATTCGAGTTGAGTCGGGTCGGATCCAGAAGGAGATTGTTGCATAACCCAAAAATATAAAAACCCAAAAATAAAACGAGTCCGAGCATCCCTAGCACAGTGCAGGCAACCTCCGTGGAATGTATATAATATAAATCCCATCTAATATATGCGGTATAAAGTGCGAAAAGTGTATGTATAAAAGGCTCATCAACCGAAATCTTCTGTAATTCGCTCAATTGGCGCGTTCTGTTGTCCGGCGATCAGTGTTTGGCGGCCTGTATCCAAGAGATACTTTTGCTCTGGATATCCAGTTTCATCTGTATCCCATCGTCTATGCTGCGGCGTGTAAGTGTGCGTTACATTTTTCGAGCAAAACCCGAAAATGTATCTGATGTCCAAGTATCGAAATCCGCACATGCGTAAAATGTATCTGTAGCTGTAGCTATATCTTGTGCGATGGCCCTGCAGTTGTGAGCATATTTATTTAATTTTCGTTTTCAATGTCAGCCCCGTGGTGTGTAAATTATGCAAAGTGTGTGTATGTGTGTGATCACCACGGGACTTTATGTTGTCTGGTTTTTATGGAGGAGTGCAGAGAAGAGCTGCTTTACATGCAAGGCAATTACTCACTCGATTTCCTATTTAGCGCCTTTTGGAGGGAACACTGAGAGTTCTATGTGTACTCACTCTGCATACAAAAGAAGTCGATTCATCATGAAATACTACTCAAAGATGGGCGGGAAACAAAGGGGAAAGAGGTGAGGTGGAGGTGGGAGGTGATCGGGATGGGGTTGGAAAGCCCCACAACTTTTGGTTTTCAAGACACACACTCGCGGTAAACATGAAAGTATTTGTTGAACAAGGTTGCTACTACAATAAAATGGAAATTATATGAAAAACTTAAGCTATATATATACTTCTTAAATTTAATGTAATTTTTGTATTTTCAAAATGTTTGCTAAATACTTTTCATACCACTTCAAAATTAGCTTATTGATGAACAGTATAAATAATTTCTGTTTTTGAAATCTCTTGAATACATTACAATATATTTACAATATATTACATTGTTTGCTAAATACTTTTCATACCACTTCAAAATTAGCTTATTGATGAACAGTATAAATAGTTTCTGTTTTTGAAATCTCTTGAATACATTACAATATATTTACAATATATTACATTGTTGTTATCTTAAAACATTTTTTTTTGTATTTATACAATCTCGGCCTCTGTTGTAAGCTGTCCATTGAGCCGCTGAAGAAGCGGCTTTGGCTTTCGCAACTGATAAAAACCGGTTCCGGAGACCGAGACAGAGACGGGTCTGATAAGAGATTCCCCGGCTTCAACGCCCAACTGCGGGTAGCTTGTTTGCTTTGTTATTATTATTATTATTATTGTTATTGTTATTGTTACTCTCGTCGGGTTATTGTTATTGCTTATTGCTGGAGGTCACACAACGCCCCAAATCCGAACCCCAGACCCATTTCCATTCGAGGTGATATTTCGCATGTGTTCACAACCGATTGATAGATGGATGATGGTCAAGCGGATCGCTGTTGATAGCCATTCAGCTGTCCATCAGCCGATTATCGGTTTCGCCACCATCAGTCTTGTTTTGTTGCAGATATTTGCAATCTACGTGCGAATTGCCAAATCGATTGAATGGAAATAGGCAAAACATTGCCAAATACTTTAAGTATCTGTAATCACTTTGGTTTCTCCATTGATCAGAACTTCAAAGAATTATAGTTGAATAATATCAGTGCGTTGTTAAGGAAGTTCTTTAATAAATAACATTCCTATTTACGCTTTATTCCTGGCTTAAATTTTCAATTTACGCATGAGCACTAAATGGTATTGAATCCAAGTAATGAAGAAATAACGCATTCTGGTATATACATTTTAATCAGAGCTTCTACAAAATATTGAAAGGCTTTTTAGTATCAGAAATCATCTCGAAGAGCCAGTGTGTAAAAGTTGTAACTAACAGAAGTCATTCAAATATATGCAATTAACATAATTAAGCTTACTAATTTTCACAATCATTAACATACAGATTATAAAATTAACAGCAGCTTAACAACCTAATTAGTTTTAATAAAGTGTCAATAAAACTACAATTATAAATATTTTATGACTATTCAAAATATTGCTCTGAACCAAGATTGCTTTATATTCTGAACTATAATTAAGAGCTAACCCTGGTAAAGGTAATTTTTCAAACATTTTTAATTGCTCAAGATGTATGTCAAAGATAAACATTATAAATATTTTTATAAAATTTCGAATACCATTATTTATCATTAATAGAAAAGATAATATTGTCACGAATAGCTACGTTTTAATTGATGTGATTCACAGTTGATTACGTAACTTGATTTATTATTTATTAAAAATTAATTTAAACTATGTTTACCTAAAATAAATACATTAAAATCAAATTCTTAACGTTACTATATACCTTTATAATGAGAAGCCAAAAATTGTATACCTTTGCAGTTTTCAATCTATAATAAAAATGCATTAATTTAAATTCGGAAAGCTTTCCTATGTTAGTTTTTGTTAGCTTAACAAATCTACATTGTCAGTTTAAATTATTAATTTTTGCCGATTTTTGACAATTTTAACGATGTAACCCCTTATAAAATTTGGAAAAAATTTTCAAAATTTTTATTTTCTTTCGAATATGGCTAGCTCAACTCGGTTTTCGATGCTGATCAAGAATATATATGATTTATAGGGTCGGAAATGACTACTTCACTTAATTTCACAGCCTTGATACCCCATTTTCTTACATTATGCTTTTATATACAGATCCAAATTTAAGTGTTTTACCACCAAGATGGCCTTTAACAAGATCGCCTTCTTGGCCATTGTGGCCCTGACCTCGTTCTGTGGCTTGGCCACTGCCTCTTACAGAGTTGGCGTGGGACGAGCGGACATCACTGGACCTCCAGTGGAAATCAATTTTGTGAGTATCCTTAATTTCGAAATACTGAAACCTATAATTTACACAACTTCTCTGGCAGATGGGTTATGCTAATATCAAGCAGGTGGGTCGTGGCATCCACACCCGTGTCTTTGCCCGTGCCTTCGTGGTGGAGGATGAGAATGGCAACCGGGTGGCTTTTGTGAGTGCCGATGCCGGAATGATGGGCTATGGATTGAAGAGGGAGGTAGTGAAACGTCTGCAGGCGCGATATGGAAACATTTACCACACGGACAATGTGGCCATCAGTGGCACACATACCCATGGAGCACCTGGAGGCTTCCTGATGCACCTGCTTTACGATATCTCTATTCTGGGATTTGTGCCGCAGACCTTTGAGGTGATGGCTCAGGGAATATATTTGGTAAGTTAAGAACTTTCCTTTTTATATTGATTCCTCTTCATAATTAACCCATTTTATTCCCCTCCTTTAGTGCATCAAACGTGCCACGGACAACCTGGTGGATGGCAAAATCTTCCTATCGAAGAGAACTGTATATGATGTGAACATTAATCGCTCACCTAGCTCTTACCTGCGGAATCCTGCCGAGGAGCGGGCACAGTACGACCACGATACGGACAAGCAGCTGACCCAATTGAGATTTATGGATATGGAGAACAACCTGCTGGGTGCCTTTAATTGGTACGCAGTGCATGCAACCTCAATGAATAACACCAACAAACTGGTGACCAGTGACAATGTGGGCTATGCTGCTCTGCTCCTGGAGAAGGAATACAATCCCAATAAGATGCCTGGCAAAGGAAAGTTTGTGGGTGCCTTCTGTTCCTCCAATCTGGGAGATGTGTCACCCAATATAATGGGTCCCAAGTGCTCGATTTCTGGAAATGAATGTGATTTGCTCTCTTCCCGCTGCCCTGCTGGCGAGGGTGAATGCTTTGCCTCCGGTCCCGGCAAAGATATGTTTGAGAGCACCCAGATCCTGGGCAATAGGCTGGCTGATGCCGCCTTGGGATTGATCAACGGGCGTCCAGCTGATCCTGATGACAAAAACTATTTGAATCGGGAGGTAACCGGCGACGTGCGATTTATCCATCAGTTTGTGGATATGCCCAACTATAATGGCAGCACCTACAATCCGCTGAGCAGGAAGATCGATAAAGTCCGAGGCTGTCAGCCTGCCATGGGTTACAGCTTTGCAGCGGGAACCACCGATGGTCCTGGTGCCTTCAGCTTCGAGCAGGGAACAACCACGGATAATGCCATGTGGAACTTTGTGCGTGACTTTATAGCGGCGCCTTCGCAGGAGGACATTGCATGCCATGCGCCAAAGCCTATCCTCCTGGCCACCGGAAGGGTGAGTTTATCTCAGGGATAATTTAAAAAGAATATAATTTAAAATAAAAATCTTACTTCCAGGCTACTTTCCCCTATGAATGGCAGCCCAAGATCGTCTCCGATCAGCTTCTGAAAATCGGTGATGTGATTATTGCCGCTGTGCCCTGTGAATTTACCACAATGGCTGGTCGTCGGTTGCGTAATCAGATTGGAGCAGCTGCCTCTGCCACGGGAACTGACACCGAAGTGATCATTGCCGGTTTGACCAACATCTACACCAGTTATACGGTGACTCCGGAGGAATACCAGGCTCAGCGTTACGAGGCAGCATCCACGATCTTTGGACCTCACACTCACTCCATCTACATGGATGTCTTTGAGCGTCTTACCAAGGCCATGATGAATAACCAGACTGTGGAACCTGGTCCAAGTCCGCCATATATGAATGATGTTATGCTATCGCTTAATACTGGAGTGCTCTTCGATGGACATCCCATCAACACGGACTTTGGTTATGTCAAGTCACAACCCAACAAAGAGTATGGCATTAATGATACCGTCAAGGTTACCTACATCTCGGGAAATCCCCGGAATAACCTCTTCACCGAGAAGACCTACTTCACCGTCGAGCGCAAGATCAATGAGGATCGATGGAAGGTGGCCTATACGGACGCCAGTTGGGAGACCAAGTAAGTAAAAATCAAAGAAATGTTTGCTATAGTTAACTAACTTTACTCTTTATTCCTTCCAGAATGATCTGGCATCGCACTAACACAATTCTGGGCTTCAGCGAGCTGGACATTTACTGGAACATTAGTCCGCAGACACTTCCTGGGGAGTATCGCATCCGGCACTCGGGCGAATACAAGTATATCCTGGGCGGAAAGTATCCCTATGAGGGCTTAACGCACTCCTTCACAGTCAAAGAGGATTAGGAGCTGTCCTATAGATATTCCTGACCTGACATTTGTTGGGCTCATCAGAAAAAAATGAACACTGAATCCATGTATTTATTTACCATTTGTAAGTGACGAAAGGAAAAGCTTTATTTTTGCAGACGCGAATAAAAAAAGATGCCAAATTTTGTTAACACTAAATGTTGGAGTATATAATTTCAAGTCAAGGTTTTATGGATATATTAAAATATATCAGATATATAAGAAACAAATGCCTGAAAGAGTGCTACAATATATTGTGGTAATATAAGTTTGTTTTTCCTAAAGAAGATGCAATTTATTCAAGTATCCTATAACACATTATATTCCTTAATATTTTTCTGAGTTTCTTAATTTGTTTTAAAACATATTCTTTAATTTCTAAGGTCTTATTAAATTTCAAAATAAAATAAATCCATAAGTTATTTTTACAGTCGCGCCTTAAACAGCTGTTCGAATAGGATCCACAGCTGAGAGAGCTGCTAGTATGTGTACTGTGGAATGTATCTGTGGCCTCTCCAACCTGCAGTGTAGGTGTTCTCTCCCTCTCTCGCTCACTCTACACACAGCTTGTGGAAAAGCAATACAAAACAGAAACCAGAAAAGAAACTCTCGCTCTCTCACTCTCTCTCTGGAAATGTATCTTTATCTACGGGCGTACTAAGCGGCAATAACATCAGTTCCATTCCAATTTGCTCAACGCGCGGACGCAGTTATTGCAAATACAGATTCTCCGTTTTCAAAAGTCATTGGAATTCGGTTCGAAAAAATCAAACGGGGAAAACAGACGGGAAGACAGGTTCCAGAATTTTCACACAGGACCGTGCATCGTACCGAAAATACACATTCCAGAGATACGCGCATATACGTTATGGTTTTTGTCTAGGTTAAGTGCGTGTATCTGTATCTGTGAGATACGCAATCGCAGTGCGTTCGGTGGCGATGCAATCGCAGTGTTCTCAAGGAATTGTAAACAAAGAACGTCGCAGGTGATTTTGCACAGCGGCAAATATCCCAAAGATATCACAGAGAGCAACAAGTTCAGCAAAAGAAAAAAACCAAAGGAAATCAGGTAGGTTAAAAGTATCTGATGGATACTTGGGAAGAAGAATTAGAGGAATACTTGTAGGTTCCCATGTGGATCAGATATCTGCCAGATAAGCAGAGTTTCCTTGAACTGCAGACTCTCTGCTCTGAGATCCATTTTTTAATGTGGTATTTTAAAGATACTTTTGTACATGTTCGAACTCTAGGAATTCCTGCTCTAAATATTTGTTCTAGAAAGTCATCTTTGGGCTGACGTGTATTTGTCCCGCTTCCGCCTTGCACTGATAACAGAATCTGGGACATACTAAAATGAATATTCGATTTTGATTAGGGAGAAATGCCTTGTGTGTGACATATTCTATGATTTTTCATTCATTCAGACAGGCGAGAGCGAGAGCTAGCTATGTAGCTGTATCTGTATCTGTCACCACATGGTCGGCATTTCAATTGACCGCCGTCCGCTGGACCTCTCTCTCTCTCTCCCTGCAGCGCCCCATTTCCATTTCCATCTCCAGCCTGGGCCTGGGCGATAAGCCTCTAAATATCTGGACTCGAAAAAGTCTGACGAACGCATAAATAGTTTTTTCTTCTGTTTTGTTTCTCTATGGGTGTGTGTTTATATAAAAAGGGGGGTCAGCAGTCAGGAGGAAGCTGCCTCGTTTTTAGTCACGTAGTCAATTGTCGGCATTTGTTTTGGTTGCGTTTCATCCGCTCTCTGTTATGGTGCTCCTTTACTCTGGAAAGCAACCCCTAAGAGTGTGGAAAGTGGAACCAGTGCTGGAATAGGGGTTGTGGAACTGGTTTTACGTCCGAGTTGCCAACTACTTTGGGAACAAGGACTCTTTGTGGAGGGAAATTATTAACTTTTTACAATATTTTAAAATATTATTAAGCAAAAGAGTATATTTTTTACAATTTAATACATTTTTTAAGCATGAGAAACCATTTCTTGACTTGATTCCTTTGCAATACAGAAAATATCCTTTTTACATTCCAAGGATAAATACCTTTTATAAATTTCCCATATTTAACCAGGTCACAAACCCTGTTTAGCAACTTTGCCCGCTTTAAATTGCTTGTCTAATTGAAATCATTTCTCCAATTAGAGTCTGGTTTGGATGATTAATGCCCCTTTTTTTTGTATATATATATATTTTATAAACAAAATACAATCTTCCAGCCGACTTGAATAGCTTCAATTAACTTACGATTTAGCCGTGCTAATTTATGAAATTTATAATTTACCGCTCCCCACTTGTAGAGACCTTTGCTTGTTTCAAATTTGAACCAATTTAAGCCGGGCTTTTTAGCCAATATTTGTGTGCTAATTAGCCTCGCAATGGCAACCGGTTGGCAATACAGATGTCGTTATATTTATTTGAAAACGAAAGTTAGTGCCTTATGGAGGCCAAAACCAGTGATGGATACAGGAATCCCGAGATGAAAGTGATGACAATTTATTAAATGGATGTGGATATAGGGGAGCTTAGAGCACAGAGAGAAATATTGTGATGAAATGAGATTGATATGATATCAAATTAAGATGTAATTTTTAAAATGAATATAAAAGGATATAATAAGGGGAGTCATAAAGTAATATCTTAAGAGATTTTAAAAGAGTTTTAAGAAGTATCTACTGATTCATGATTTATTATTAAAGATTTTTCTTAATGTGCAGCTGGGTAGCCAACCCACTTCCTTGTTGGGAAGACATCTCTTGGTAGCTTCTCCCCCCTGGAATTTTTCCAAGCTCATCTATCGGTTTAACGATGCTTTCAGCAAAGACTTTGGACCGGTTTTGGATTGCGATTTTCATCTGGCATACCGTTTATGCTTACATTTTCAAGGTGAATTGTAAAATTTATGTGTGCACACGCTCCATGACGGCATCTGTCTGGCATTGGCAGGGGCGTCGTTTCAAGGGGGGAGTTGCTGGGGGTGAGCTACATACATTTGTCATTCATTGCTAATTAGCAAACTCGCTGAATGCACTTGAATCACTCTTTCCGCAAGTCCTTCCTTCCTTCCTGCCTGATGAATACGTAATGCGAATGCACAGGGGAAAAAGTAGGGCTTAGAAATTGGTGAATAAAATAGAAAAGTGTAATTAAAGTAACCTCTATCAATTAGAAATCATTTTGTCAGATATTAATTTATTTAAAACCCCTAAAATGAATTAATAATCTTCTCAGCTTGAGCTTAATTAACTTTACTCATTCTTTTCCCCAGTGTGACTTCTTTCTTGGTTTTGCTGTGGGGTTCACAAAGTTGTGGCAATCAAATTAACGCTTATAGAATTGAAAACTTTGTACCCCAATGTTGTATGTCTGGCTGGGACAGTGGAAAGCAAAAGTGGAAGTTCAAGTCGAAGTGGAAAGAACTTTTCCTAGCGGAAAAATTGAATTAATCCCGGAAAATTCAGCATGTGGCCTGAAAACTGCTTCTGGCCGGGTCACAAAACTTGATTACACTTAACCAAATTGTTTGCATAATTTGGCTGTGATTTTTCCCACTTAGAACTGTTTTTCTCTCTTTCTCCTCTTTATCATGTTATTTTCTATGTTTTTCTTCCGGAGGTTTCCACCTGCGATGATGATATTAAAGCAAATGATGATGATGAAGTGCTTATGGTCGAGGCGCGTCTAACGAGACCCATTAAGTCTGCAAAAAACTCGGAATCAAATTACAGTGCCAACGAAGAAATCAACGATTCGATGCGATTTTAATTATGCATTCGATCGACGGTTTGAGCCACGCAAATTGGCCATATTTAATGGAAATCGGGGATTCAAAAAGGGGGCTTAAGGGGGTCAGAGGAAGCCTTACCCATCGCGAATTCCAAATGGGCAAATGTCACAGTAAATACACACACACCAAAAAATCAAAGAAAAACGGTGAGCTAAAGATGGTGTGGGAAAGGTCAGTTGACGGGGATACTAGTCGTAGATATCTGACATTTAGCAGCTGCCAGACTTCAGACTCCGTCTGAAAGCCAGACTTCGTGCCACATTAACGCCAACTGCCCCAAAGAGGGGACAATCCTAAACAATTTCCACGATTCCCAACAAGAGACAAAATGTCAAAAAACACAAAGAGCAGGTGCATTGAGAAAAACACTCGATGAAAATGTTCGAAAAGCTTTTAAGAAATTCAACAAAATTAAATGTGAAACAAAAAACTTCCTAACTTAAGCCTTAACAATCTCTTTTTCATAGGAATTTTGTCTTGAAAATATTTAAATTCAATTTTATGCATTTTTATCGGCATTGACATGGAGTTTGTTTCGGAAATAAAACAAAGATACAATTTGTCTTCTTAAAGATTTTGTATCTTTTATCTTATAAACATCGCTTAATTATTTCTAAAATTAAAATGTATTCACTTTTAATTCCCGCTTAATAATCTTCCATCCATATTAATAATATGCAATTAATTAGAAAGAGAGAACAAATCTCCCCACCTCAAAATAAGTCGAGTTTAATTTTTGCAATAAAACTGGTATTTAGCTGATCAGATGCTGAAAAGATAGTGAAGATATTAACACCTATTATTAAGAAATAAAGGTGGATCACAATATTTTCTTTAGTTTACAAAAAGAAGATTATATTTAAAATAAACTTTAAACTTTAAACATTTTCTTTAGAATGTCTTTATTGTATTTCGAGATTAACAAATGCTTTCATTAATTTAACTATTAATAAACATGAATTGATAATCATGTTTGCCTAGAGAGTAAAATGTTATACCCATTGAATTGATTTTTGACTTGTGTCATAAATTAAACTAAACTAGTTCCTAAAAAGTCTAGTTGGAAATCCCCATTTGTTCTGATGAATATTTGGATTAAATATTTTATTAATTTTCAAGAGAACTTCTAAAATGGCTTTAAGTGACTTAAACAATTTAAAAATGCATTTAGTACCAGGAAATTATTAATTAACGACTACTTCATCATGTCACGTGTTTTTAAGATACATTTAATATTCATAATATTTGGTCAGCATCCGTCTCCGTTAAAGTTAAATAAATACATTAAGAGACTTGAATTTGCTCCAACTAAGATTAATTTAAACGTCATTAAGAAAACGTGTTTCGCAACGGATGTCTTATTTACATTTCAAGAAGACGCCAGACTTAATTCAGCAAACATTTGTTAATGATTTGCAGTTTTAAGATGAATTTCTGGCTTTCCTCAAAAAAGTGCTCAATCATATTTCAACTTTTTTAACTTGAATATATAACAAGTGTTTGTGTGGGCAGTTTCGACCAAAACGTGACATGGGTACACTTGGACTTTAATTAATGTGTAATTTAAATACAGTAAATTGTAATTTAATACTTTTAAGGTATACTTTTCATATAATAATGTGAGCCTTAAGAGGGTTATTTAAATATTTCCAAACCTTTAAGTTAAACACTTTCTTAATTAAAAAGTGTGGGATAATGGCTATTAACATACACTTCTCTCAGTGCACTAACCATAACTCGGTTTTAGTTCCAAATTGTCTATGGATGCACAGTTATGTGTCTGCTTTCGGTGGCTCATAAATGTCAGTGTTGACTACTGTTGGTTGAGTTATGGTTTTGGCCATGTCCAACTGCGCTCTGTTGCTTTGGCTTTGGCTATAGCCTCAACTCCCTCGGACCGGTCATAAAATTGATGAACGACATTGTGGGGGTCACCAAAGAGCAGAGCAGTCGGCCTTGCTAATGCTTTACGCCCTCTGAAACTAAACCCAGCCCATAGAGCCACCTCTTGGCGGGGGTAAATAAGGCATCAAGTACCTTCTACCATTTGCACCTGAATAATGATGTCGTGTGCGCTCAAATTGTCGCATTGCATTTCATAGAATTTGTGCCCGCCTGTTGACAGTTTCATTTGAGGGAAAGTGTCGCCTGAATGGCGACTGTCAGGAAGCAGGGAAATAGGAAAATGCTCCTGATAAAAGGGGGCTGCAGGTGAACCACAGGTAAGCCTCCACAAAGTGAACATACAGTAAATTTCCTACTTACTTAGGTAACATTACATACACATACCAATCCATAGAAATCACTGCAACCAGGTCACCAGAATTGACAGTCCTTTTTTATACTCACTTTACTGTGACAGTAAGGACACCTATCTGCGCACAGGTGAGGAAACAGGTGCTGACTGGCCAGATACGTGGCGAGTAATGTTGGTGCGCCTGTCACATTGAACAAAAGTATCTGAGTATCTGAGTATCTACGTATCCGGACGAACTACCCGTTCAACCATCGCTTCCCTATACTCTTTTTTATTCGTTGTTCCTCCCAGTAAGTCAGTGGGTCGTGGAATGAGCTTAGTCAGCATTTTGTACAAAAAATATTTCATAACTTAATTGCAGGCAAGCGCCAGATAACAAATTTTTTGCTGAACAAAAGCTGAAAACTTTTCCTCTTGGCTTTTCTTCGGAAAAGTGCAGTGCCGGGGCAAAAAAAAAGAAGAGGCTATCTGGCGGTATTGCATAAAGGCCAGAATACTCGAAAATGAAACGCGGCACGCAAGCCCAAAATTGCTGAGGCAGGTTTTCCGAGGCAATTCTCTGTGGGTTTTCGTTTTCATTTGCAGCCAGTAGTTTTCTGCCTGCAGTTTTGTTGCATCTGTGAAAATGCAATACCAATGATGATGATGATGAAAGTCCATTTCATTACAACACGAATCACACCGCAAAAAGTCTGCTGATGAGGCGTGAATGGAAATTGATTGAGAGATTAGTTTTGGCCAACTAGCCGTGAGGCGAAGATGCGATGAAAATGTTGCCAAAGGAAAATTCAATGGCTTCTTGCCATGCAAAATCTCTGAAATCGAATTTGCCACGGTTATGCATTAATTTCCGTAACCATATCAACTTACAGCTCTTTCCCGACCGACTGCCGTTTGCAATTTGCTGCCAATTAAGTTTGGTAAAATGTGAAATCCAATTTCAGTCTTTGTCCTGGCCATCTCGCAGCTCGGAAATTCTGAATTTCTGAATTTCTGGACACCAGCAACCGCAGCTATAGCCTGTCTATGGTAATTAGAGCTGCCTGACATTTCACCAGCAAGCCTGGCAGTGGTCACACCTCAATTTATTTGTGCATTCCCTGTTAAATATTGAATTAAATTTTGCATATCCCGTTCGATTCGTGTTTTGACTTTACCATGTGGCCCCATCAATTTTGATCGACCAGAAATGTGAGTAATCCGAGTGTCGAGTGGCGTTGAATTGTTCAGACAACTTGGCAGGTGCTTCTGCGCATAACAAAAACAACGTGGGGAATATGTGTACATATATATATTAATAATACACGCTCAGGTAGTTTTATTACCTTTTTTTTGTGGTCTCGGGAACCAGGGTAATGTGCTAACTACATAAGCGGGATTGCCACTCGTAAATTTCATCATTTATTGCAATGAATTGAATTTAATGTTCAGACATTCATTAACATTTTGGAATATTACCATAAAGATGTTATACATTATACAGCCAAATTATCGCTAATATACTGACATTTATAGTTGAGATTATTTCAACAAGGCGACAGAGTGTGACAACCATCTTAATTAGTATTTAAAATAATCACAGTGCTTGTGGAAATTTATAAAGTTGAGTTCATTTAAAGAGGAGAATACTATATAATAATATATAATAAAGTAAAGGATTATAGAGGCGAGTAAGTAGCTATTTAGAATTGTCTAACACCACTTAAGTGCTTATTAAGATAATTGAGAGAGTTCATGCTGATGGAATATTTGTATTTCTTAAAACAAGTGTTTAAATGTAACATTTTTCTACTTGAAACACATATAATAAAATGTGTTTTTGCTGTGAAATTTACATGAAACCAAATCTGTAAACATGTTAAATATTAACTGCCAAAAGAACACTCCCTAGCACCCGCAAAACACACCTCTTTACAGCAATTTCTGCGTGGGTGGTCATTCTTTTTCCGGTAATTTTAAGTTCTCTGGCATAAATACTGCAAACTCATTGCAACAAACATTTCACTGCACTTTGGAATTCTTGCAATTTAGCAAACTAAAGCAAAATATTTGGTTCATGCTTTATGGGGAGCATAAAGCGATCCAGAGTTCGATGAACTTATGAAAGCAAACATTGCATTGAGGAAGGGGGACATCGCCGGATGAAATAATATTTGCATTTCAATAAGTTTGATTGTGTAACTTGGCTTGGGGACTGGGATTTTGATTTACCGTTAAAGGTTTGGTCATCACTTCACAATGAAATCCAGTGTTTCGGTTCTGATCTGTGTGCTGCAGCCACGCGTATCTGTGAGATACATTTGCATAACTAACGGAGTTCTTTGAACCCCAATTAATCCACACGAACAGAAACAGAAACAGAAACAGAAACAGCAGATGCAGGGCCAAGTTAGTCTAGGTATCTATGTATCTGTATCTATCTAAACGTGGAACAAGCCAAAATTGAAAAAATAGCTGATGAGTTAAATGGAATTGAATGACCGGATCGTAAAATTTAATGGCAGTCGCAGCAGAAAGTTGCCCTGGTTCTGATCCGACTGCTAGCACAGCGAGAAACTTCATGTGGATGGAGGCGAAAAAAGTTACTGACTTAACAATGATTTATTCTTGACATATATCTGGAAATCTACAGAATAATTGAGCAGCCAAGTGTCAGGTTAAAGCCCTTTTGTGGTGCCTTTAACCTTTGCGGTTTTTGTGGTTTTTACACTTTTAGAAAATCTATAAAAATGAAATATATTTGTTCTTCTAAAGGATTGATGATTTTCTCAGTGTAAATATGGAAATTCAAATAGTTCCGAGCAACCGGTTGCTTAGCCCATTAAACTGGGCGGGATTATTTAATATTTGCTGACATCTCCGCTGTCGCTTAACACATGTTAGCCAACATAAATCGCACTCGTCCAGGGCATCCATAATTCTGGCCAAAAGTGTTGGCCAAAATGCTGCTTATTAATAAAAGATCTTATCTTCCGAGTGGCTGATTAATGTGAGCAATTACCTTCTCAAGTACGAGAGTCTTGACTTTGGGAAAATAAATTAGTGTCGATTAATTATTCAGAGCCATTCCGTTCCTTGAAGAGCATACATCAGCCGTGGCAGACAGGCAAGCTTAATTCGTCCTTGTGGCTTCTGGGCAGGTCCTTTTCGTATTTGGGGTTAAATAAGGAACTATGGAGGAGTCAAGCCTCTTAGGTATGCAAATTGAATGCCACACAACGAGGCAATGCACGTTTATCTTAAAGATGCGAATTAACAACGCACCGCTAATTAATATCAATTAAAATTTATTGGCACGTTAACTAAGCCACAATCTATGTATGTGGCCCGTTTTGAACACGAAAACGGAACTGGAATTAAACTCGAATGTATTAAATGCTGTTCCCTGTCAGGTGAGATAGATGGAAGGTACATTGGCTGAAAAAAACATGGGGATATTATGTCTCACAGAGATGAGGGAGCTGTAAAAAGTGGTTTTGTGAGCTCAACAAGGTTATAAGTTAAGTAATTAAATTAAATGATATTTATATTAAGATTTTACAAACGGAATGTATGAGAAATAAATGTTTTTATGTTTTTACGGATTCAAGAACTAAATATTTAAGGAAATGCCTGCAAGAAAAGCAGAGTAAAGTGTGTTAGGAGGTAGAGATACAATTTCCATTCAAATATCTTTAATAGTTTCCATATTTCAGAGAGATGGTTGACACATGTTATTAATATTTAACAAATTCCCCACTTTTTCAATTGAGAAATAATAAAAAGTTGCATTTTTAAAGCACCCAGCAACGGGAATCTTTAACTTATTGAGATGCAAAGTAAAGTATCTGAAACTGTGTCTCCCCCTTGTTGTATCTTTGCCAGTGCATATTATCTAGGGGCGTCGGTAAAGGGAATATTAAATTGCAAATTGATGCTGTCAAAGTAAATTTATACAGATACTTGCATTTTAAAGAGCATCTTCCCGGCTGGGTGGTGGTTGTCCCACAATTCAGACCCGTTTTATTGTCGTCGTCGTCAGCGTGTTGCGAGCGCAGTAAAGTCATCGCCATAAAACAAACGCTCGATGGCAGGTCAAATTAAAAAGCGCTCATTAAAATAAATTGCCAAAACTGTCGAATACCCAAGCAACAGCTTGTTCCCATTCCTATGCCCAAGCCCCTAGTTCCTTACCCGGGGGGAATACTGAAAAGATATTATTTGGCAGCGATATTAATCAATATTGAAGTCGATTTCAATTTCGATTTCGAGTTCACTGAGCTTGGAAATAGATGGGAAGAGAGAGAGAGCTTCTCCTTTACACATGGTCGGAGATTTAAGGCCAGAAAATCGATGACCTTCCTGTATTTTGGTTACACATTTTTGAGGCTTATGGTTTCCTTTTTATACCCTTAAAAAGTATTTTAGGTTTAGTCAGAAGCTTGTAAATATGTGAAGGATTCATTTCCGACCCCATAAATCATATATATTATTGATCAGCATCGACAGCTGAATCGATCTAGCCATGTCCGATCCAAAACAAAAATTTTCGAAAATTTATCAAAATTTGAAAAAACGATAAGGGGTTACATCATTAAAATTGTCAAAAATCGGCAAAAATTAATATTTAAAACTGAGTATGCAGATTTGTTAACTTAACAAAAACTAACATAGGAAAGCTTTCTTAATTGAAATTAATGCATTTTTGGCTGAGTTATGATATTTTTAAACTTTGATTTTACAAGAAGTTTTACTATTAATTTTGTTTACAAAAATGCTAACATTTCCAAATTAATTATGATAAATTTCCGATACAATTCTGTAATTCAATTGCAAACTGCAAGGGTATATAAACTATGCTTTTCCGAAGTTAGTTTTCTTTCTTGTTTTTATATTTGTTTTTCTTTTTCAGCAGACTTTAAAATGGCAGCGGACTGGCGACTGATGAATCCCTATGGAGTCCTGCTTTTCCTCCTCATCCTGCTTTTTGTGGGCATACCTGTGGAGGCGGAGGTGTACACGGCTCTGGCGGAGATGGAGGAATTACTTGAGACTGAATCCGTACTGATTACCAACCTCGAGGGCTACATAAGAGCTCAGGAGAACAAGCTGAATTTCCTCAAAAAGTAAGTAGAGCACTCAATTTGATATTATTAATATTAATTGAGGTCTGAGAATTGATCATTTAAGTTGTCAATTTTGAGAATTAAAGCCCATGAGCTTATTAACTATTAAGTGACCTATTGAACTTACTCAGGCAACTGCAACTCATATGTATTTGAATTTATTTGTAAACATTTAAAATGAAGAAATATCTGTGAGCAAATCACATACCTTAATTTACCACATTAAAGCACACGCCTTCCATTTGCTAATACAAAGTAATTATTGAACATTTGTGCTTTGGGATATTTGTTATTTGCAAATAACTAAAGTCCCAATACCATTACTAATTAGTTTACCACTAGATAATAAAGGTTTCCTTTCTATTCAATTACATTTAATGAATTTGACCATTCAGTTGGGAACTTTTGGTTGCACAAAATGTTTTACTCTTGTAATTTAATATTTTTTCAAGCTTAATTAAGCTGAAATAAATGAAAAAGGTAGTTGAAATCAGGTTTACATTTCAGCATTTAATTAAATGAAATCTTTAAAATATACAGTTTAGTACAGAAATAATACTAATATAATTTAATTGCATTAGTTGTGAGGTTCTTGTTCTTGAAGAGAATATAAGCCTTGTTAAATCCAATTTAAAATCATAGTGCATACTAATGGGTTACCTTAAGTCATGCTTATGAAATCCAAATCACAATTAGCAGGCCTGTATTTTTACGATTTTGAAAACCACAGGCATAATTATGCATTAATTAAGGTTAAGCAGCATGAACAGCCAAAGCGGAATAAAACCTTTCTCTATAATTTATGGCGGGTTAAGTCTCTCTCTCTCTCTTGATTTTTGATCGTGTGCAGGGTCCAGGAAAAATACCATTAAACTGGCTTTGGGCACTGCCTCAAGCTCTTTAATTTAGCATAAATATTTCCTATGCAAATGGTGCCAAGATGTTTCTAGTCGGGAAATGGGGAAAGAAAAAGAAAACAAAAGGCGGTTCGGGTTCAGCTAACCGCCTGCACTCGGGGTAATTGCTTTTGCCACGTGCGAGTGGCAGCTGTTGCACGTAGCACCTAGTACTATAGACATATGTATCTGTATCTGTATCCGATGATTGCAGATATATATCTTTTGCTTATGTGCGACGGAGATCTATGTGCAACTGGCAGCGGAAACAAATGGGGGAGCTCAGAGCTCACAGCTCACGAACTCAAAGGAGCTGCAGGATGCGGTGCGACAACTCCCCTAATCAAATAATGCCACAACGCCAGGCGCACTCAGGATCTATCTTGTATCTTGTTTCTGGCAGCTCTGCGGCGGTTCCTGAGCTGTTGCTGTTCCTTCGGCTGTCCCTGCCTTTTGCCGCAACAAAAAGGACGAGACAGGATCCTCAGAAAACAGCTGACAGCTGTGTGCCTGGTGTGTCTGTCTCTGTCTCTGACACTGACTTGGTCGCATTCGCATTTGCCGTCCCTGTCTCGTTATCCTTGTGCGCTGTCATTGCCCTGTGCCTGTCGCTGTCCCTGTCTCTGTCTCTGCGAATCCTTCGGATGCAGCCTCTCGTCATCTGTCCCTGTGAGCCGCCTGTGTCGCGTGCCGTCTGCCGGAGTTTAAATTTTAATGCGGCTTTAAATCTTCCAACTGGCCAGCTGGCAGGCACGGAAAGAAAATTAAACAAAAACAAGATCGGAGTTTAAATATAGAAGAATTAATAGAATTTTTAACTTGCTAGATATTTTATTATGTCTCACATACATTAACTTCTTACTCTACTTATTATTAGTATCAAAATTAATGAAGATCCCTTCGATCTTTCATTTTTATGTACGTTTTCTTGCTGTGTATTGACTGCAAATTATGGCTAATCCGTTTAACAGTTTCTCCATCACTTTGATTTGTTTTGGCTGCTGGTCAAGCAGCCGCTTTTGCCCTAGGACCTTTTGGCCAAAAGCCAATTAAATTGGCCAACGCAGCGGGACAAAGGACAACACGCGCGCGCTTCCAATTTGCGGTGGTCTCAAAAGGATGTTGCCGCGTATATGCATATGCATATGCGGGAAATGGGAAAATGGGAAATTGGTATAGGGATAGGGATGTGGAAATGAAAATATATGTACTCCTATGTGGACCTGAAACTGGATGGAGGTGGCCTACGAATACAAAATGTAACGGTCGCTTGAGCAGCAAAAAGCAGGAGGGGTTGTCCTCAAGGGAAGGTTTTTAGTGTTTGCACGAACAACAGAAGCGAACAAGTTATATTTTTGATAGAGATTATGAACGACAATCAAATACCCATGATTCTGATATAAATTTAAACATTTTATTTAAATTTTAAAGTGAAGTTTTGGGTAAGGTTATAAAGTTAATTATGAAGAATTATGGAAAAGAATATGTGTATTATATTATTTTATGAATTCTAAAAAATTCATTACCATGCATTATATATTATATACATATAAAGTTATTTAAATTTATTTAAGACAGACAAAGTTCCTTGTAACTTGACTTACATAAATTTTTTTTAAGATTAAAATTTCTAAAATTCTTTTTATTAATTTCTCTATTTTCCAAAAATAAATTTACTTTCAGTTTCAAAGATTTGTAAAAGAGAGTCTATGTGCAATATCTTGATGATTTGATTTAAAAAAAATAAGATTTAAATAGCAATAATAAACGATTTATTTAAAAAATCATCCATAGAAGCTTTATATTCAAATTCTCAGATTCTTCTTCAGAAGTAGAAGTCATAATTAAATTTAAATAGAAAAACTTGATATGCTTAAAACTTTGGTAGCTCTAGTTTATGACAAGACTTGTTTATACTTTTAATATGTGCATATTAAAATGAACTGTTTTATTTCTTTGTTCTGCTCACTAACTATGCACTAAAATTGTGTTTAAAAACTTAAAAAAATAAATAAAAACCTGATATGTCTTTAGTGATTGCTAAGAAAATTTGACAAACAAGTGGTGGTGCTACTAAACTTTATAATTCATAAAAAAAATGTTAATCAAAATTTTATGAATGAAAGTCAGCTAATAAATGCTGTTGCTTAGAAAGCAACTGGTATTTCTATAAAAAGTAGATGAATGAAAAAGACTACATTTCTTGTATTTATGTATATTATCTTAGCCTTAAAGGTGTTTCCTTTATGTGACAATATTTCAAGGCCTTTTTGATAGTTATTATATACAAAACTACCCTAGATTTACATAAGGTATATAGGTGTATATGAATAAAGTTGATGAACTCCATACATCATACCCTCTAATTCCCCTGTAAGTGGTATCAAAACAGAACTAAAAACCCTGAGGGGATCGCTCTGCAGTTATGAGTTGGTAAATAAGAATTAAAAACGCTGATAAAGCGAACCGAATGGAACGCCGGCTGCTCCTGCCTTGTCTGAAATGTCTGAGTTCGGAGCACCGAATGCGTTTTCAACCCTCATAGTCACCGTCGCCGCGCAGGAGCAGATGTTTCGATGTTTCCTCAACTTCTGGCCTAATGGAACGCGCCAAACACAGTCGTTCATTGTACCCAAAGTACGGGTACGGGTGTCTTATGTACAACTTTGAGTAAATGAGTAGTAGTGGCTGTGGCAGTGGCAGTGGCAGTGGTGAAGGAAGGGGAGGGAGGATCCACTCGGCTGCACGCCGGCGCAGGAAGTGGAGGAAGTCGAGGAGCTGCGACCTGGAACGGCTCCTCAGATCAGTTGAGTCGCAGTTTTCAAGGCGAACGGTTGTGCAAGAGTGGAAACGCTCCTCAAAAGTTATAGAAAACTGTTAAAACCAAGTAGAAGCTGCCTTAGATCGGTTCTTGGGAATATTTATTGTATAAAACCATCAAGCAAAGTGATTTTAAAATTAATTCTTGACAAGATCTTGTACTTAAACCCAGTATTAAAGTGAAACTTATTCAAGATCATCCCCTAAAAGGTTGTACTATATAGTATTTAGTACAGTGCGATCGCCATGTCGCAGCATAATTATACCAATCCGGCTTTTTGCCAGAACAGCGAGTTCTATCCCGTGCCCAGCAGTGGTCAAGTGGAGTCCATTTACAATCGAAGTTTGCAGCTGAATTTTGGTCCAGCACCGCCGCGCAGTACCCGCGATCCTCGCGAAGGTCCTTTGCGCATACAAAGAAGCCTCTCTACGCGATCGGTGGCCAGGAAGCCGCAACAGCAGCTGCAGCAGCCACAAAATCATCATCAACAGCAGCAGAAATATGCAGGAAATCCCCAGCCTTATCCTGGCAAACCCCAACAATATCCTGCCAATCAACAGACATCCTCTTCTGGCCGCTATGCCTTGGTTCCACTCGAAGAACTCAACACGAGTCGAGCTGGTCGATATGCCATAGTGCCAGGACAGGCTGCCCAGAGATTGGCCAGATCACAGGACAATCTGGATTGCTATAGCTCCAGGAATGGCTTGCATGAGGAGCAAGAGGAGCCGCACTCTTTCCACGAGGAGCCCCACCAGGAGACCCAGTTTGCCAGCTTGCCGCCCAATCTCAACCAACCCATCAAGCCAAGAAACAATAGGAATAATAATAACCCAAATCCCAATCAAACTCAGCTCAAGAGCGCCTTTAGCAGTGATTTTGGAAGCAAGACCTTCTTGATTGTGGACAAGAATAGCAACCAGAGATACCAGATGGTGCCCACGGCTGAGGATGAGGAGCTGGTGGATGAGAATCAGGAGATTATACAGATGCACAATGGTCGCGCACATCGGTATGCAGTGGTGCCCACGGATGGGGATGATGATGACTATCCGGAGGAGCAGGAACAGCAGGAGACTTGCCTGAGTAACTCAGAGTTGAGTCAGCAGTTTGCTGCAAGGACCTCGACTCCCCAGCAAAGGAATGCAGCAGCGGCAACGAGGGCACTCCACGAGCTACTGATCACGCCCAGGAAAATGCAGCCACCGCCAAGATTGGCTCATTCCACGCCCCGGAATGCCGCCCACCATGAGCAACTGCAGCTGGAGCGGCGTTTGGAGATCTACAAGAGCCAGCAAATCTACCAGAGTCAGCAGATGGCAGGACCTCCGCCAAGTTTGCCTCTGCGACCGAACCGACTCTCTCCCCAGAGACTTCACTATGAGACGGTAAAGCCACCGGCTAACCTGCAGATGACCGATCGCTCCATGGCTGTCATTAGTCCTCGAGTTCAGGAACAGGAGCGGGAACTAGAGCAGGACATGAGCAGCATCCAAGGGAAGCCATCGAAGAATAATAATACATATACCCAAAAGATGGCCAATGCCACCATTACCTTGGCTGTAGTTTCCTTGATGCTCGTCCTTGGCAGCACCATGAATGCAGGTCTCACCATTTACATGATAGCTCACGTAAGTCCCGAAAATACTCTAAAATCCTGTGACAAAAGTAACCTTTAATTTCTTCCCATAGTTTGGCAAAGCCTTCTATCTCCAGTTCGGTTTGGTGGCCTCTTTTTGTGGCATAGGACTTGGTTTTCTGGGCTTCAAGTCGCGTCACTGCGAGTGGCTGCCCAATAGAAGCTACAGCTCTGGCTATATCCTGGTGACCGTGTTCTGTCTCTTCAAAACCTGTGGCCTGCTGGTTATACTCGTCTTGGATCCTTTCCCAGGACTGCCCCTTCATGATGTCACCACCGGTGTTATCCTGGGACTCTCCACCTTCACCATGTTCTTCATTGGCTTGGGCGTGCTGGGAACGCTGTGGTGCCACCGTCCTCCGCCAGATAACCGTGTGAATGTGGTTTAATTTTAGGAAATTTTGTTTAATACTTAAACTTAGTTTGTAATTAGTTGTAATTCGACAAGAACCTGGCACACTGAACGGCTAAAAGACCAAAAAACAAAGTATTAGATTTGTAATTCAAAGGAAGATCATCATCCGCTAACGACTGTATATACTAAGTGGGTTGTATTTATTTCTAAATTATCATTTGTTTTATCTGTAGAATTTGGTATAAGCTAATAACTTATTGTTCACCCTTAGTTTTTAAGTAAAAGAATAAAATAAAGGCACTGGAATACCAAATAAAATGGAATTCATTGCGGAACTTCAAAGGGAAACTACATTTAATATGCTTTTGCAGGGTAATATAATTTTAGTCACAAGCTTCTAAATATGTGAAGGAGTCATTTTCCACCCTATAAATCATATATATTCTTGATTAGCATCAACAGGCGAAACTTTCGAGCTATATCCGGCCAAAAAAATTTTTACAGAAATTTTTCATTTTTTCAAAAATAATAAGGGGTTACATCATTAAAATTGTCAAAAATCGGCAAAAAATAATATTTTAAACTGAGCATGTAGATTGTTAATCTAGCAAAAACTAAAATAGGAAAGCTTTTCGAATTGAAATTATTGCATTTTTGACTGAGTTATGAGTTTTTTATTTTTTGATTTGCATATAAAAATATCTACAAATATCTAGTCAAAGAATGCGAATATTTTAAGCTTCAGATTCAATTTTATAATTAATTTGCAAACTTCTTTTTAATAATCTATTTTAGAAGAATAATTCAAATACTTTTCCCTATTTTTGACCCAGTAAAAAGCACAATTTAAAACAATAAACTTACAGAATAAGGAAAACTCTCTTTTAAGTCAAGTAATATTTAAGTGGTTTAGTAGGAAAAACATAGCTTTATTTTCCCCCACTTAATTTTAATGTTTTTCCGCTCACTTATTGATAAACACTCAAGTTACCGAACAGCAACTCGCCCAAAGTCTGGGATTGATTTTGCCCAAGGACTTGGCCAGTTCCCTGCTTTCCCAAGTTTAAACTTGACCAACTTTAATGCAATTTGCCTGCTCGCGGAAAGCACTTAGTAAACTGTCTGCTAACTTTGCCTTATTCTCTCTCTCTGATCCCTTCCAGCAAAATGGACGAGTACCAAAGGGAGCATTCGGATGCCTCCGGTGATATTACTACCTACGTTTCCAATCCCATTAATGCTTACCTGTTGACCAAGAGGCTGACCACCGACTGGCGGCAGGTGGAGAATCTTATGGAGCACGACGTGGGCACGGAGTTCGTGCAGAACATCACCCAGTATCGCCATGTCCTCAAGTTTCCCTCGGACGAAGATCTCAATGGAGCGGCAGTGGCACTGCTCCGCCTGCAGGACACCTATCAGCTGGACACCTCCAGTGTGGCACGCGGCAAGCTGAATGGGATTCAGTACAGGTGAGAGGGGATTTTTTTACTTAATATATTTGTACAAATGAGACACCTTCGAAATTGGATAACTGTCGCTTAATCCCGGGGATTTTTACTGACCAATTTGGTATCCTGCAGCACGGAGATGTCCTCGGACGATTGCTTCGAGTTGGGGCGACAGTCGTACGTGAACAATGACTACCATCACACGGTCCTCTGGATGAACGAGGCAATGGCCCGGATGCTGGAGGAGCCGCACAACCACACCCAGAGTTTCACCAAGGCCGAGGTCCTTGAGTATCTGGCCTTCTCCACCTACAAGGAGGGTAAGTGCAGGCATCATTGTCCATTTTTACTTACTTCTATTTGTCCCCAAAGTGGGTGCTGCACCTGGAAAAAATTCGTACCTAAAATAATCATAAAATACTTTACATTCTTTAAGGTAGCAAAATTAATTTCAAATCAATTATTATAAATTTAAACTTAAGCTTATTATATTGTACACTTCTGGGCAAAACCTTCTAGGAATTCTTCCTTGAATGTTGTTAATTAAATTCTCAGAGTGTTTGCTGTCCATTCTCGTTTTAGTCCCCAGCTCGTTTGCATGGCACTTTCGAGGTCCATCTGGCTGCAGGAAATTGCACTCTGTCCCCAGCTACTGGGTGTCTCCTCTCCTCCTCCTGCCACCACTTTCCACCAGGTGATTCTGGCCAGGTGGAGTCCCTCCAAAGGGCCCTCCATTAAGTGCGATAAAGTGTTGGCCATCTGCAGCCAGCCAAAAGCGACAATGTAGCTCCGGTAGTGTTGGCCAAGAGCAATCACGTAGAACTGAGAGCTGGCCGGGGATCAGCACGTCCTCGACTTAGACCCAGGCTGGTTTATTAACGTCTTATTACCCCGGATTGCGTTCATCAAGGAGTTGTCTCAAAGCACACGTACTTGTATGTTTGTGGCCTCCGGAGGCGGTGCCTCTTACCACTTTTGTGTAAAGGAAACACGATTTATGGGCGGAGTGAAAGTGTCACCATATTGTGCTGGAAAAACCACACAAATGGGCCCGCCCTCGAGGAAAGTGACAGGCTTTTCCGCACTCCAGAACCTGGCTTTTGCCCCTCTCGTTCTATAAAATGGCACACATGTGTCGGGAGATGCAAATTTAAATTCCTGTCGCCGACAGGACCTCAAAAGTTGAGGTGGATGTGGAGGTTAAAGCTGAAGGCTGCCCGGAGTCAGTGATGGCAGGGAAATGTGGCACTTTTTTTGAAGTGAGATTTGGCTTTTAAAATACGGTAGAATTTCATTTCCATTCCCTTAAGCATTTAAAAATCTATTTAACATACAGCTTCACCTACTTTTCTTTTAATTTTAACCTATAACTTTGTTGTCACCACTTTTCCGTCTAACTTATTAGCAAAGTACTGGGATAAATGGTCGCCTGGCCCTGGACACAAATGAATAAATAAGTGAGCAGCTGGCAAAGTTTTCCAACAATCCAATCGACTCCGATGGTCTCTACAACAAAAACAAAACACAAAAATATAAAACAAGAAACTTTCAAAGTGGAAAACTCACCACAGGCAGCAAAGAAACTGTGGCATACTTTCGGGCGGAGTCATGTTTATTTAGTGGCGCATCACACTTAACCTTAACCCCTTCTAGCCACACCACCCTTAACCCCTGATGAATTAATTGTGCAGGTCGCCCAAGTGGAAAACTCTTGACTTTAAATAAGTTTTTCTTTTTACTGATGCCCTCCTTAAATATTTATGCCACAATTTTATCTCGTTTAATGATAGAGTTCGTGTTAATGTGTTCACCCTTTAGTGGAAGCTTTTGGGTTTAGTTAGCGAACTTTAGCAAGTTTTGTGTAATTAATGTGGAGTAAATTAATAAAGACTTAAATAAATGATTTCTAATATATTTGTTGAAAATATTTAAGGTGTTTTATAAGGAACAAAAAAGGATTCTTAGTTCAGCAAGTTAAGGTTTATAAGCCATTGCAGTCTGCAATTGAATTATAGGATTAAATCGCAAGTCAATTACAGTTCAAATTAAAATATCCGCATTTTTTGAACCGGTTTTTATCAAACTTTGTATATGACAATTATATCGACAAATCCAAGTTTCAAATACTCATAAATAAGCCAAAAATGCATTAATTTCAATTCGGAAAGCTTTTTTATGTTAGTTTTTGTTAGCTTAACAAATCTGCATACTCAGTTTAAAATTTTAATTTTTGCCGATTTTTGACAATTTTAACGATGTTACCCCTTATAAAATTTTGAAATTTTCAAAATTTTTCAAAATTTTATTTTTCTACCAGACAGTGCTAGATCGATTTAACTTTCGATGCTGATCAAGAATATATATGATTTATGGGGTCGGAAATGACTCCTTCACTGTTTTTAAAGCTTCTGACTAAATTCATAATACCCAATAATAATATTATACTGAAGAATGAAAGAACAGTTCATAATCAATTTGGGACATGGAATATTGATTACTTTGTCCCTTAATTATTCATATCCTATATTTTAATACGTTTTCGGTATGTTTTTCTTGACTTACAGGTAATATAGAGAGTGCTTTGACCATGACTAACGAGCTGCTCCAGCTGCTGCCCCATCATGAGCGAGCCAATGGCAACAAGAAGTTCTACGAGAAGGAGATTGCCAACCAGGAGCAGTTAAAGAAGATGAAAGGCGACGATGGCACCGACGAAATGCCCAAGTCCGATTTGGTAAGATATCTCAGAACATCTGGGAAAAATCTATTTTATAATAATAAATGTTGATTCACACTAGCCCGTGGCCAAGAGTGATCCCGGTGTGTTTGACATTACCGAGAGGAAAGCCTACGAGATGCTATGCCGTGGTGAACTGAAGCCCTCGCCCACGGAATTGCGACCACTGAGGTGTCGCTATGTGACCAATAATATACCCTTCCTGCGGATTGGTCCCTTGAAGCTGGAGGAGGCCCACCTGGATCCCTACATTGTTATCTATCACGATGCCATGTACGACAGTGAGATTGAGCTAATTAAGCGAATGGCTCGTCCACGATTCCGAAGAGCCACAGTCCAAAATTCCGTAACAGGAGCTTTGGAGACAGCCAACTATAGGATCAGCAAGTCCGCTTGGCTAAAGACCCAGGAGGATTCCGTCATCGAAACTGTGGTGCAGCGCACGGCAGACATGACCGGCTTGGACATGGACTCTGCCGAGGAACTCCAGGTGGTCAACTATGGCATTGGAGGTCACTACGAGCCACATTTTGACTTTGCCCGGGTGGGTTGTAACCTCCGGAAAATATTTTTGGTTTTAAATTTAATTTGTTTGTATATATATTTTTTATTTTGATGCAGAAAGAGGAAAAGCGCGCCTTCGAGGGTCTCAATCTGGGCAACCGCATTGCCACAGTTTTGTTCTACGTAAGTTTTTGATTTAATTGCAAAGTTTTTTTTGTGCTCCAAGGATAATTGGGAAAAACGCAAATTAATCCGAAACACATGCCCCTTTTTATGTTAGAGCTTATAAAGTTCCATGAGGTTTCTTTTTTTTCACTGGCCAGGTACACAAATCATTAGTGAGGGCTTATTTATAAATAGAAATCAACGTGGGCTGCAACTCTGTGGCATTCCATTCAACATTTTCAAAGTCCCGAGTGCATGGGGAGAACGCATAATGGCCACAAGAATATCTATGAAAAGCAAAACATTCGCACAAAGGTTGTTTTCCTTTATATGCAGTTTCCTTTGCTGGGAATTATATACACCTGAATTGAGCAGAAAAACACAATTAAGAGAGGTCTTAGGGTCTCAGAGATCTTTACGGTTTACTTGGGCAAATTAAGTTTAATAAAATATTTTGTAATATTTTCTCTAGATGAGCGATGTGGAGCAAGGTGGTGCCACCGTTTTTACATCCCTCCATGCAGCTCTGTTTCCCAAAAAGGGAACGGCTGCCTTTTGGATGAACCTGCACAGAGATGGCGAGGGAGATGTGAGGACTCGACATGCAGCTTGTCCCGTCCTGACGGGCACCAAGTGGGGTGAGTCTTGAATATAAATATTAATTTTACATACTTTATTATTTTATTAATTTAAATCCCTCTTCAATAGTGTCTAACAAGTGGATCCACGAGAGGGGCCAGGAGTTCCGCAGACCCTGCTCCTTGGACGAGGACCACGGCGAGTTTGCCATTTAGGCCTTGGAGTAGTTAGTGCAATGCAACGAATCTTAATGCGGAATCTCATCCTTCGCTCGGCCATTGAATTCCTATTGTAAATACACAGCATCCAGCCCGGAGGCGGCCGCATCTCTTCTACTTACCGGTTCCCCCTTCCAAGGAGCCCCCTCTCTACCTAGCTATATCCTAGACACGTATGGAATTTATCTACTTTTGTATATTTGCCTAGTTTAAATAGTAGAAAAAATTGCAAATAAAATTGAAATTGAAAGCAAGAAAACTGCGCATTTTATCTTTATTATTCGGAAAGGGCTGCAAAAAGAGATATATTAAATTCAATTAAATATATTAAATAAACACAGCATGAATTGTTTGCTTTCCAAATTTATTTAAGAAAAACCCAAGAAAATATGGGCAAATTACTATCTATGTCGCTTAGTACGAGATGCCAGTGTTGTCGCGGATCCAGTCCAGGTAGCCGGTGACACGACTGAAGACGGCGGGGTGTCCAGCCTGGCAGCCGGCTCCGGAGCCAAAGGAGGTCACTCCCACCAGGCGGTTGCCGTCGTGGGTGACCAGGGGGCCACCGGAGTCACCGCCGCAGGTGGACTTGCCGCCCTGGGTGTTGATGCAGATCATGTTGTCGTGCAGGTTCCACGAGCGGCTGCAGTCGCTCTGGGACATGATCTGGACATCGACGCTCTGGAGCCAGTCGGGCAGCGGGCTGCCGTCGTAGGTGCCGCCCCATCCGGAGGCCACGGCCCAGTGGCCGGCGTAGCTGTTGTAGCGGTCGTTGCCGCCGGGCAGCTCCACCTTGTTGACCAGGTGCCAGAAGTCGACGTGCGGGGTGCGGATCAGCGAGATGTCGTTGTGCAGGTTGCCGCCGTTGTAGTGGTGGTGCTGGATGATGTTGCCACTGCCCACCCAGTGGGAGTACTGGGGCTGGGTGCGGATGCTGGCGCCGTAGTTGATGGTCACGCCGTTGGCTCCGTTGGTGCAGTGAGCGGCGGTCAGGACCCAGGTGTTGCCGATGATCGAGCCTCCGCACCACCAGTTGCCTCCGTTGCCGCTGAAGGACAGGCCAACGATGTAGGGCACCTTGCCCTCGTATGCCGGGTAGCCGTTGGTAATGCGTCCCTGGATGTCCTTGATGGGCACCGGGGTCAGCTTCTCCTTCTGCTCGGTGGCAGGAGCAGGAGCTGGGATGGCGGAGGCACAGGCCACGGCCAGAGCGAGGAATACGAACAGCTTCATCTTGGGTAAGTCTTGCAACTCATGGTTTTCCCCAGAGGCAGCCGTCCTTTTATACCAAAAGCAGAGCCTTATCTTTGGGGAGAGATTAGGTTGGTGGAATGTAAAGTTCGATGGGGTTATATATTTTGGCCAAGTTTCGGCTGATAAGTATGTATAGTGGAAATCATTGTTAAGAGTAATTATAATCAATAAATAATATATTTATACTTTTAAATTTTGAATTCTGATACCTTTTCAGACACATAGTCAGTTTAAAGAAATTATTTTGCTATAAAGGATAATGGATAAGGAATGGTATGGGTATTTTTTACAAGAATGCATACTAAATTGTTTATAATATATATATATATAGCTTCAAACACCCTTTTATTTGTAGTCACTAAAGAAACACTTTTGTCGCAGTTTAATTATAAAATAACTTGCACTTAAAGCGAATACAGTATTAAATATTTTAGGTATTTAAACAGAAGGTAAATCAAATTTGGAATCCCTTCAACACTTGTCCAGCTCTCCTGTCCTCCAGGTTCTGGGCTGATGTTCGATTAGTGGGCGGCGATTCATCAGCCCGAGGGCTCATCCATCAAGTGCGGTAAGTGGAGCTTGGCTGCATCAGCTGTGGGTCGGTGGGGCTGATGGTGCAGTGTGCGGGGGTATCTGTGTGCTTGCATGGGTGAGTGGATACAAATCGGCTTAGTGTTCGCAGCTTCGTCGTCCTGTGAATATCCTGCGGCCTCTGCCGCACTAACGAAACTCGATTTGGTCCGGGAGGCGGAAAAGTGCAGGGAAAAGCGGGAAAAGAGGTTCGAAAAATGGCCAGCATTATTGCATTTGACAGAATCGAAGAGCATATATCAGCAGATGGGAAAACACATGGGGTTTGAATCAGAATTCGATACTACAAATAATATTGAAGCTTTAAAGACATATTTTAGGTGCACACTTGTTTCGAGACCTCAGAATATATTGCAGCGGAAACAGTCCCCATAATCTATTAAAATAATTAATTGATAAGGATCTAAAATTGATATTGTAAGCCAATGCTGTATAAAAAAACCCAAAAAGAATGAATGAAAGCAGTTATCAGCTCGAAAGGTCGAACTTTTAATTGTATTTAAAATTGAGTATTCCTAATCAGTGAAGATAGTTGTTAATTTATGGCACATCTTAACTGATATGTTGCGTAAATCAAACTGATTGTTTTAGATAATAATTTCATGAATCGTAGGCGTGTAGTATTTTCTATTAGGTTGATTAGATAGTTAATGCACACGGCGAAACTTGGTGCCTGGGATGACAATCTATAATCTATATAATCTATACGGCGTTCTCAGTTTTATAGGTTTAAGTGCAAAGGTTTATACTGTACATAAATTATCATTGATTATTCTTGTAATTAAGAGGTAAATATAAACCTGCTTGAGTTTGCGTTTTATATAATTAATATGCATTCCAAAGATGATTTATTCCTGAAAATTTAAATTAAAAGCGAATAATATGTTAAAGTTTGTATTTCCACTAACTTAATTTTTATTAACTATTTAATAATGTATCTTTAAATGGAAAAGTATAGTACCTCATAGGGGAAAAGTTCTTCCATTAGTGTTATAGATCACTCATTAAACTCCCACACTACGATAATTTATAGGACCTACTAAGTCCTATGTCTAGTCTTGAACTCATTACAGACATCTGTTCATGGCCAAGTACAAGCCATAATTTTAGCAAAGAGCCTACTTGCACCGGACTTATCAGCCGACGGAATTGTCACGACCAAAACTCGGCCAAAATATACAACCCCATCGAACTTTACATTCCACCAACCTAATCTCTGCCCAACGATAAGGCTCAACTTTCCGTATAAAAGGACGGCTGCCTCTGGGGAAAACCATGAGTTGCAAGACTTACCCAAGATGAAGCTGTTCGTATTCCTCGCTCTGGCCGTGGCCTGTGCCTCCGCCATCCCAGCTCCTGCTCCTGCCACCGAGCAGAAGGAGAAGCTGACCCCGGTGCCCATCAAGGACATCCAGGGACGCATTACCAACGGCTACCCGGCATACGAGGGCAAGGTGCCCTACATCGTTGGCCTGTCCTTCAGCGGCAACGGAGGCAACTGGTGGTGCGGAGGCTCGATCATCGGCAACACCTGGGTCCTGACCGCCGCTCACTGCACCAACGGAGCCAACGGCGTGACCATCAACTACGGCGCCAGCATCCGCACCCAGCCCCAGTACTCCCACTGGGTGGGCAGTGGCAACATCATCCAGCACCACCACTACAACGGCGGCAACCTGCACAACGACATCTCGCTGATCCGCACCCCGCACGTCGACTTCTGGCACCTGGTCAACAAGGTGGAGCTGCCCGGCGGCAACGACCGCTACAACAGCTACGCCGGCCACTGGGCCGTGGCCTCCGGATGGGGCGGCACCTACGACGGCAGCCCGCTGCCCGACTGGCTCCAGAGCGTCGATGTCCAGATCATGTCCCAGAGCGACTGCAGCCGCTCGTGGAACCTGCACGACAACATGATCTGCATCAACACCCAGGGCGGCAAGTCCACCTGCGGCGGTGACTCCGGTGGCCCCCTGGTCACCCACGACGGCAACCGCCTGGTGGGAGTGACCTCCTTCGGCTCCGGAGCCGGCTGCCAGGCTGGACATCCCGCCGTCTTCAGCCGTGTCACCGGCTACCTGGACTGGATCCGCGACAACACTGGCATCTCGTACTAAGCGACATAGATTGTAATTTGCCCATATTTTCTTGGGTTTTTCTTAAATAAATTTGAAAAGCAAACAAGTGTTTTTTTCCACAGATGGTATGGAAAATTCGTTTTGAGCATAGGAAGAAGATTATGTATATTTTCGTAACTCTCAAATGTATGCCAAAGCATCTGCGAAACATAGACAGAGAGGAAAGTGTATTTAAAGGCACTTTATGATTATGTTTACTTTAGTTTAATAAATACCATATACCAAAAAGTTAATTTTATAAAATTGTCCATTTGCACATGTCTCTCTAAGTGTGGGGCATGCCAGTGAGAGTGAATGAGTTGTTTGCTCAGCGGCAGCACTTGTCTCCATCACTTTCTGTGTGCCTGCGACTGGCATCTTTGTTTGCACAGCGTTTTTTGGGATACGTGACAGTTCCTAAATGGAATATCATACTTTGGAAGCGGGAGGTATGCTCTGCCCAAGGCAGTATCCATCAGTCAGTCGTCGTTTACGGTGCTCTCTTACCCAAAAAATGGCACATCAAAGTTGGTTCTGGGTTGTGGCAGCTTTGCCATTTCTAATTTGGAGTACAGCTGTCCGAGGAGAGTTCTACTCATCGGTGGATAAGATGCAGGATCTGGCACAGGTGGAACATGAGCTACTGAATGCCACGCGTTCGTATTTGGAGCAGCAGCAGCTGAAACTTGAGATATATATGAGGTATTACTCTTTAAAGTTATCAAAGATATAGGATTTGATTTGGATTATCTTCAAGCTATGTGGAGCAACTCAAAGAGGAGCATGAATGGGCCATGGAGCAGAAACACCTGGATGAGTATCTGGGTCATCCCTTGCATGCCTTTAGATTGATCAAACGACTTGTTAAAGACTGGGATGCATTGATCTTTCTTCCCATTATCACAAATGAGCCCAAAGAAGGTGGGTTATTAATTTGTTTAATATAAACTTACCTCTTAGATGTGATATATGCACAGAGTTCCGTCAATTCCTGGAGGACATAACCCATGATTTGGGCTATCCGGATCACTCGGAGCTTCAGGGAGCTGTAAAAGGCTTGGCCAGATTGCAGAATGTCTACAATCTATCCACCTCACATTTGGCCGATGGTGACATTGGTGGCTATATGTACGAATCGGTGTTGCAATGGCGAGAATGCTATGAAATTGGAGTACAACTCTTCGATCTGGGTGACTATCAACGCTCCTTGGAGTGGCTTCAAGAGGCTTTTATCATCCTCAGAGGAAACCCAGAAAAGGATGAGCAGCAACACGCTCGCTTTATGTCAGATATACGGGAGTACGCCGCCTTGGCTAACTTTGAGTTGGGTAATCCCATAAAAGCAGGGAATCTTCTCAATAGGATTCTAGAATATCCCCAAAAACCCGATCACATTGCCCAGCAGTCACGAAAGTATCTGGAGAACAAAAAACCGGCAAAGAATCTCAAGGAAAAGACTCAGTCTTGGTCTGCCAACTACACGAGGTTGTGTCAGGGCAGAAGAGTGCCCGAGGAGAGCACTGGTAACCCCTTGAAGTGCTTCCTCGATGGAAAGAGACACGCCTACTATACCCTGGCACCCCTTCAAGTAGAGCCAGTGCATGTGGATCCCGATATCAATGTCTACCACGGAATGCTCAGCTCCGAGCAGATCTTGTCCATCTTCGAGGAGGCAGACAAGCTGGAGATGGTTCGCTCCGCAGTGGCTGGAACTGGTGGAGTAAGAAGCGTGAGAGATCTCCGGGTCAGTCAGCAAACTTGGCTAAACTACACAAGCCCAGTGATGAGCTCCATCAGTAGGATCATCCAATTCATTTCGGGTCTGGACATAGCCGGAGCAGAGTTTATGCAGGTGGCCAACTATGGTGTTGGTGGTCAGTACGAGCCACATACGGATTACTTTGAATTCAATCTGCCAAAGGAATATATAGGAGATCGCATCTCCACCAGCATGTTTTATGTAAGTGGAATGTATATATTTTATCCTGCTACATCTGATTTCTTCTCGATGTTTAGCTCTCAGATGTAGAACAAGGAGGCTATACTGTATTCCCCAAGCTGAATGTGTTCCTGCCTCCTATCAAGGGAGCCATGGTCATGTGGCACAATCTACATCGTTCCCTGGATGTGGATGTGCGAACCTTGCATGCCGGTTGCCCAGTACTTGTGGGTTCCAAGAGGAGTAAGTAGATCTAGATTTACTTGTTCTTAGTTTATTTGTTTTTATACTTATACCTTTGCAGGGTACTTTCCTTTTTTTGTTTATTTCTTCTTATTGTTTAACCCTTTCAGGGTATAATACGTTTAGTGCGGAGCTTGCAAAAATGTAAAGGAGCCATAAATCATACATATTCTTGATCAGCATCAACAGCTGAGTTGATCTAGGCATATCCGGTTGAAAACAACAAATTTTCAAAATTTTTACAAATTTTAAAAATTTTATAAAGGGTTACATCATTAAAATTATCAAAAATAAGCCAAAAAAAATATTTTAAACTGAGTATGCAGATTTGTTAACCTAACAATAACTAACAAAGGAAAGCTTTCCGAATTCAAACTAATGCATTTTTCCCTTAGCTATGAACTTTTTAATGTTTGATTTGTCGAAAAAATTGTCATATAAAATATATATAAATATTTATTAAAAGAATGCGAATACTTAAAGCTTAGTTATGATCAATTACCGATATGATCCTATAATTTCGTTGCAAAATACTAGGGTTTATAATCTTCAGCTTTCCAAATTTAGTTTCCTTTCTTGTTCTAAATTATTTTATTTATCACGTTTGTGTTTCTCTTACAGTTGGTAATATCTGGATACATTCGGGTTACCAGGAGTTCCGGCGACCCTGCGACCTCACCTCCGATAGCTACAAGTCCCTGGCTTACCGGGATTGGCTTTAAATGCTTTTTTAAATAAATTAACACCTTAATTTAGTGAGTGATTTGTTGGTTTTCGATTTGTGTTTCAGTCAAAGTCCCTGTAATGCAATGAGATTTCATGGTTACGCTGGAGATCGCAGGGTCTAACTTTGTCCTGATGGCGTTCTCGTATCCAAACATTGGCAACTGCAAAGTATATAGTTATAGGAAATCCTTTATTTTAGATCTGCGTAAAGACTTACTCCACTTGCTACCCTGGAGAACAGGACAGGCGGCATGCTTGGTGCGATAATCATGGTCTCCGGAGGGATGAAGATTGTACCAGAAAAGCAAACTGCCCCTTTCAGGGGTCACTAGCAGGGGCAGGAAGGGAAAGGCAGTGCCGCCACCAGCCTCTACATCCGAGAGCTGAATTAAAATACAAATTTAATAATAGTTTTATTAATAATTAAAAAATACTCACATAATAAATGCCAGTTGCAATACGGTTTCCTCTAAAGTCCCCCTCGTCGTATACGTGATTTTCGGTAAAGGTATCCCAATGCGGCTCATAGTGACCACCTATGCCATAGTTGGCCACCTGAAGATCCTCGGCATAATCCATATCCAGACCCGAGAAGTCACCCACCTGTTGGCTAAGGAGCTTAGTGACCGAGTTCCTTGAATAATTGAAGGAGGCACCCTGGCTGGTGCGAAAAGCAGCGGCAGAAGATTCTCCGCCATTAAGGGAGTACACTGTGGAACGCTTAATCCTTGGCCTGGCTGTGCGTTGCAGGAAATCCGTTTCCTCGGCACTGACCACCTGATGCACTTGCACAACTAGGGGATCCAGATGCAGCTCCTCCAGCTTGAAGGGTATGTAACTAGAGGGACTTTTCCGTAGGCGACACCTGAGATTTCGCTGGGCAGCAGGTTGGGGTTTCAGTTCGCCGCGACACACCTGCTCATACAGGCGGAACTCCCGGGAGGCGTGGTAATCTCCAGGACGTCGAGCTGTGAGGTGAAGCAGTCCATTCTTGTCTCCATCCGTGATAAACTGCTCCAACTGCTGGCGGGTCTCTAAGAGATGCCTCCTTTGCTCTGGCTCTATGGAGAGTACATGGTTCACCAAGCCGAGAGCACTCTCATGGGCACCCATCTCTCGGTGGTAATCCACCACCGCCTCCATAAAGTCCAGGGAGGCAGGCTCCTCGCCATAGGTCTGCTCTCCGAGCAACTGCATCGATTGCTGTAGCCAGGGCACTGTGTGGTTGTAGTCACGCAGGGCATACAGATGCTGTCCCAGGACAAAGCAATCCTGCCAGGACATGGCAGTGCTGGAAATTAGAAAATTAGTAATATAACAATGTGGCATTAAGTTTAATAATGTAAGTTTCTCTGAAAACTAATCTATTAAATATTCAAGATTGCAATTGTTGCAATTTGTTTTCACAATAGAAAGCTGTTATAAATATGTTCATTGAATACATGCAAATTTCTTGCAAAATAAATCCTCTTAGAGATGATTAATCAATAAACAACAAGAAATCATTGAGGCTAAATTTCAACAGTAAACAAAACAAACAATAACACAACTCATCACTTTATTAGGCCACTTCCTCTTCCACTTTTGTCTTTTTACTTTTAATACAATTTTGACAACTCAAAATTCACATTACGAGCTGGCCACCGGAAGTGAAAAAGTTGATAGTTGCTTTGTTAAATCCAAAATGTAATAATTAAGTACTTGCATAATGCCACACAATGTGGTGACAATTTTATGAACAAGGTTCGTCGCAAAATAATTCATTCAGTTCTAAAAAATGAGACCCCAAAAACTTGTCTCTTCATTTTTTATTTGTTTTTTAATTCGTTTATAGGATTTTAATGACTCTATCTGGTGTTCCATTAAGACGACAATATTATATGGGTTAAGTGGTTGTGGCCAGGTTTATTGTCTATTTTGGGTGATACATTTTGCGCCGTTCTGTTTTGTATTTAAATTTATCAATTGATTTTATATTTTCACCTATTAAAGAGATTAGAAAGATTTTTATAGATCTACTGATTCTCACCCGTATTTAACGCCATTTAGAATGCCACTGGCCAGCTCTGCCACATCAAGTTGATAGGTTTGCTGGAGTCTGGTCAAGGCAATGGCGGAACCCAAAAAATCATCGCCTGAGGGGTAACTCAGGTTAGCCCTGTGCCCCGACATGGCTTCCAGATAGTCTAAAAATATGATTAATTAATTTTCTATTCCAAAAATCGACAATCTACTGACCTGCTCTGCTCGTATCCGAGGCAACGCTGCTCTCGAAGGTCTCCCAATCGCTGTGGAGGCGCTTAATCAACCGGAACGCGTTCACTGGATTGTTGAGGTAGTCATCGATTCCATCGGCGGCACTCTGATGCTCCACACGGATGGCATCGATCTCGCTAAGATCATAAGTAAACAGAGTTCTCATTAATCAGACTCATAATCACCAAGCAAAACCAAGCATAACTAAAGGGATTTGCATATATATTTTAGTGGTTAGTTTGGTCCAACTATATTTAGTATTTATACTATGAGTATCAGAATGAAACCTAAGCTAGGGAGAACGATTAATGGAATCTCTTAAAAACGACAAATTTCAAGACAAATTATTAGCAACACCACAAATTAAAGAGGTTGGGTCCCCAACATTTGTCGAATGAGTGTGCAGCTTTTAATATTTATGGCAAGCAGGTTATAAATTAAGGTACACTTAGGGAAATTGTATAACAATGTTTAACAAAATGTACAAATGTAACATTTATATAAATATATACTTAAGTAAAGTAAGGCGTTCTTAGATATACTTAAAGTTTTCCAAGACTTCTAAATATATTTATTTAAACATTATGCCAAAATCCAAACTTTATCCTCAGTGATCGAAAGCACCTGCTTATTGCGATCATTTTTCAGAATTATGCTGAAATAAATTTTGATAAAAATTTAAAAAATATCCAGGTATGTATTTAAAACTCTGGGTTATCGACGGTTTACCTGTTTTGTATAATTAACGAATTTATTTTCACGCCTGTCGCCTGCATTTGCGGCTCATTTAGAAGTCATTAAGTTCGGGAGCGGAACCATAATCTGAATCTAGAATCGAGACTCTGCTAATTTCAACTCAACTCTATTGTCTGTGGGTTTATTGTGTCAATGATTAAGTGCCGGTAATTGTGGCCAATAAATCTACATTATTTCAGTTCAGAGGAGCCACCGGGAGAAACTCAATTGTTTCTTACACGGTCAAAATAAGATCAGACCCGTTTTCACCGACAGATGACTCAGGGCTATACAAATTATATACTTTACAATTCGGATAACGGTTTAATATATATTATATATTATTATTAGACACTGCACGATCCGGTTTGCCGGTTTGCTCATGATAAACAAAATATCCGCCCAGAACGCGTGTATACAGTTACTGTATAATAACATATACTATATGCATATCTTTAGTGATGATTGCACCATATATTAGAATTCTAGAATCCGCCAAGTCGATGACACTTATGAGCTTAACAAAAACAAAAATAAACCAGCCAGCTCTGGATCGATTAAAAGATCCTGAAAGGCGATATTAGACAGTGGTAGCAATCGATTGTCACAGAGATAATGACATGCAAACTTTGGCAATGCCGCCAAAATGTTGTCCAACGATTTGTGCTTTATATGAGCCATTAATTAGTATAATAACCGGCGCGAATAAATCAAGCCCAGAAAAAGGAGAAATTAGCGGTTCATAAAATAAATTGCATCGTAGCCAAAGACCAAAACAAATGGCATCTGTTGGGGAATTAACAGATCCACAATCGGCAAACAAATCGCTGGGCAGTAATAATAAAGTCTATTCGCCATTCACTTTTTATGGTGGTGGCAACCGGTCAGGTAACTAAGGGAAGAACATTGAAAAATCTGCATAATTGTAATAAAAGCTAAATGAAGTTAACTAGTTAACTAGAATTTGAATCTCCTCCACACTTTCATTAGCCAAAAAATTAGAAATAAATATAAACAATCGCCCACCGAGCTGACAATTAATTCACAACTAACGTGGGCGCTTTCCATCCACGTATATGATATGAAAAATTCATATTCGGCTGTCACGGCAACATCTGCCTGTCAATTGTTTTTTATATTATTTTTTGGTTTGACTGATGGACAGACAATTGGAAAACAAATATTTGCCGATGGGAAATTTATTGGACTTGTATCTCTGCGAATTCCAAAATGATTTGCGAAATAAGAATCTCATTTGCATCTTATTAAACTTGGCCAATAGGCCTTAGGGATTAGTAGGCCTGGTCAGAACCACTTAAACTTTCCATTTTAATATGGCTTCTAACTCTGACATCTGAAAAACCAGACTTTAGTTTATATTAATTGGAATTTTATTGCTTAAGTTTGTGTTTCATTCATATTGGAATTTCTTCTGCTGTTGTTCTTTCTTTTATGTGTTTATTCACCTTTTATTTAACATTATTTTTGGAACCTGTTTAAAAGATTTATTAATTTTGCCTGCTTGCCATTTTTAAATACTGATAATATTAGCCACTAATTCGCAGGTGTAGCAATTTTTTTCTTTGTAAATGTTTCGTTATTTGCATTAACAATTTGCTAGTATAAGGTACAGAAAAAGGAATCCTGAGAGTTCAGTAACTATAAGATTTATATTAAAATAAATGCATAAAGTAATAGTAGGAATAATCGAAGTACAAATGCAATTGTTTGCTTAAAAAAGGCTTTGCTCAATTTTCTGTCATAAGTATTTCAAAGTAATGTATTTTTTGGATTAATTTTTTGTAAGCTTCTTTTTCAAATGTCTTAGATTCCATTGAATCCTTTATTAAATTAGTATCGATTTTCACTTCTAATTTCCTCTCACCTTTGCAAGGCTTCGGCATGTTGATAAATTCCATTCACATAATTCTGCAGCTCTTCCAGGAGCACAACCTCCGTTTGGAATAGCTTCTCCAGGCCAGAGGTGGAGCTAAAGAACTCCCCCCAAGAACAGGACACTGCCTGGAGCAACACTAAAAGGATACACTTTAAGGAAAACATCACACATTTGACCGACAAACGACACTGGACTTCAAAATCCCGACTCGCGGCTTTGCTTGCTCTTGCCGCCGCGATTCGTTAGAAACTGAATCCAAATCGGAGATCTGCCAGCGATCTTCTCGAGAAAAAATATACAAAAAAATAAAGTAAAAAGCTCGAGGCGCTTGGAACGTGTGAGTGCTGCGGGTGTCGATCGAGCAGTTGTCAGCAAACGAATCATTTTCAGCTGTAACTCTGGTCAAAGAACTGCCCTCGGGGGCCAGAGTTCTGCCTGAATAGGCAATACAGCAAAATGAGTACTCAACCGGAGAAGGTGGGTTCAATAAACTCACACATAGTCAAGTCATATTATATGTTATATCCCACAAAGTTCTGGCAATTATTCCTGGAATTTATTCCGGCATCATAACACAAAGTAAAACTAAAACTTTCCCAGCCGGCAGACTGAATTTTCCTTCGCTAATTACTTTCACTTTGCTGCTCGCACCAGTTGTCACTTCACAAGCACAGAATTCACAAATATATTCAAATCGCCCGTTCAAAACTTTGCCCGTGAACTTGTTTATGCAAATGAATGAAATGCCGGCAAATGAATACGCAACTGGCTTTCTGGCTTTTAGCTCATCTTAAAGCGAAGCTTCGAGTTTGTTTTGAATCTTTGAGTGAGTCCCAAAAAGGCACTCAAAGCTCAAGCTGTTAACCCACTGAGTATGTTGTGGGACCTTTTTATCTATGTCAAATTTTGTATAATTAAATTGTGTAAGCAAATTTATTTTAAATTTGAGGTTTATTTAAGGTTTATTTTTATTAATATTTTAACAATCGATAGTATTGTAATTTGTTTTAAACACTAAAGTATAAATTATGTACAACATTTACCAAGTTTTGGTATATTTTAAATTGTTCATGAAAGTACTTTGTATACTTGGTAAATACTATTAAGAATTATTCAAGATTTTCTATATCTTCCCAAAAAAGAGTAATAGGTAAAGATACTTTATACTACAATATCTTATTATAACTCTACTATATTGCCTTTTGCTTTAATCAAAGACACCCAAAGTAACCAAACTCAAGAAAACAGACTCGAAAAAGTATCTTAATAATATCACAATCTTTATTTAATTATTTCGTATTCCAGCGAGACCTCATGATCCCGGAAAACGTCGCAGGGTCTTGCAAAGGTCTGCGTCACCTCGTGAATCCAAACGTTGCCAACTGCAAAGATCAAGCCGAATAATTGCGTTAATTGCAAAGGTTAACCCAGAGGTGAAGTTGACACGAGAGATTAATTCGCGTCACTCTTAAATTGACAATCAAATTAACAAGCAGCTTAACTGAAGAGGCTTAAACGAATTGGTCAGGAAAGGAAAATTATCTTAATTTCTCTGTGATTTTAAATCAACTTAAATGGTAAAGTGAATACTGTATTTTATAGGTCATTTTATTGAATTGAATTGAATTGAGGGAAGTTGGGGAGCAGAAAAAGGTCAAGTAAATCAGGTAAGTTAAGTAAAATCAATCAAACAAGCAAGAATTGCTTCACCTTCTTCTTAAAGGAAATAAATGAATTGAGAAGAAATATAAAGACATTAATAATCAGCTAAACTTCTTCCAAACAAGATAATACTAATAACATAATAAGCCACTCTTAGTAATCCTTTCTCCAAACCACTTACTCCACTTGCTTCCTTTGAGCACCGGACAACCGGCATGTTTGGTGCGATAGTCCATGTCCAAGGACCTGTGTAGATTGTACCAAAAAAGGACATTACCCAGCTGAGGCTTCACGGCAAAGTTCAGGAAGGGAAAGGCAGTGGCCCCGCCCTGCTCCACCTCAGAGAGCTGAAATAATTACTTTCAGTAAATCATGCAAAAGGATTAGGCTAATTCCAACTCACATAAAATATGGCTGTGGCGATGCGGTTGCCCTCCTCCGCAGGATAATGATCGGGGTCCCTAAAGAAGTCCCAGTGTGGCTCATAGTGACCACCCACACCGTAGTTGGCCACTTGGAGTTGCTCACAGAAGGTGGTATCCAATCCAGTGGCTTCTCTAAGATCTCTGAGCATTCCAACCATGGTTTCATGGGACTCGTACTCCAGCCAGGCGTTCTTGCTCACCCGGAATGAGGATTTTTTATTCTGTCCTCCGGGCAGGGGATTTACGGTGGATCTACGCATTCTGGGCACGGCCATTTCTCGTAGTCCAGCGATCTTCTGAGGACTCAGCATGTCGTGAAAGGTAACCACATAGGGATCCAGGCTGTGCTCTTCCAGCTTCAGCGGAGCCAGCAGTCGGAAAGGATGGTGTCCTTGGCTTAACCTACATCGCAAACTGCGCTCCTGGCGAGGACTGGGATTAACCTCGCCTCGGCACACCTTCTCGTAGTGAGCAAACTCGTGGGTCAGCTGTGGAAATAATAATAATTATAATTAGTTTCAGGTTTATTTAGAGTATTTTTATAAACTAAAATTAAAGTATTTTGTATATTATTTCTGCAATTTCCTAAACCATTTTAATGCCTAAAATTTCTTCTATTCTCTTTTCTTTACAAAGTAAAGTATAAACCATTTGTGATTTAAATTTCCAACCTGTTTCGCACGAGCCCAGGGGACAGACTATGAATTATTTATTATGCCTTTTTGCCAAGTCATTTTCGTCAAGAAGAAATAGGAGTTTTCCATTAATAAATGAATATTAAACTTACACTATAAGAGTCCGAGTGCTTGGGCAGGAGTGCCTCCTCGGAGTCCTCCGTGGGTGGTGCTGCTCCCTTGTCGCCCAGGTGCCAGTTCCGGATCCGTTTGGGATCGAATTGGAGCACTCGTTGGCTGAGCTCGTAGGCCGTATCAAAGTCACCTAAAAATCATGTTAAGTGAGTATTGGTTTTTTTCTTTTTGTAAAGGCTAAAACGAATATTGCCCCAGTTTGACTGCTCACCCAGTTGGAACAAACTCTTGGCTGTCGCCTCCATTTTATTGAGGGTCTCCGTATCCGGTCCGGCGGGGGTGTGACTGTGTGGGGCGGAGCTACTATGTCGTCGCAGTCGGTCCATGGATTCCCTCAGCCATATCCTGGTGTTGTTGTAGTCCTCCATTTCAAAGAGTTGTTGACCCAGCTCGAAGCAATCCTGCCAACTCATGTCCGAGCTAAAAATAAAGGCTGCCAAAGTTAGAGTAGATGTTATCGACCATAAAAATACACTGAAATATGTACAAAGTTTTTATTTTCATATAAAAACTCTCTAATTTATATATGTATATATAATATTCTTAGTTTATGTTTATAAATTATGTTAATTACCGTTAGACATAAATTGCATAAGTTTATTGGGTGACGGTGGCGTATACTTAATATGTATCCAAATTATTTATGTTTATTTAAGTTTTTAAGAAAAGGAAAACAAAAAGCTATTTAACGGAAGTAGTTTTAGAGCAACTTTTATTTCCTTTATCTATAAACTTTAATAAACATAAATAATATTGATACATATTAAGTATACGTCACCGATACCCTTTAAGTAAAATATAGTAAATTCGATTGGGATCATTTGAGGCAGGGTAAAACCTCGTTTGGCCCGGATTAGAGGACATAAAGCTCTATATTTTAAGCCTGGCTGGTTATTGCTTATTCGCTTCCGCCATACCGTTACCCGTTTTCCATTTCCCCTTTTTCCGGATTTATTCTCACCCATATTTGACGCCATTCAGAATGCCAGCGGCCACCTGGGCCACATCCAGCTTGTAGGTGCTCTGCAGGCGAACCAAAGCCAGGGCAGCGCCCTCCACATCCTCCTGGCTGGGAAAGCTCAAGCCATATCCTTTGGTGGCATTGAAGGCTGTCGAGGAGTAGGAGAAATCATTGATAACAATTGATATTTTTGGTTTTTTGTAAGGAAACCAAAATTATTATTTACATTTCCTGATTCGTTCAAACTCACCCAGATCCTCGGAAATCTGTTGAACTCGTCCTTCGGTAAGGAACCAGTCCGTGTGAAGGCGCTTCATCAGCCGGTAAACATTCACCGGATTGGTCAGGTAATTCTCCGTATCGGATGCTGCCAGGGAGTGCTCCTGTTCGATGGAGGACAACTCACTGCGGATTGAACGAGTTTCGGATTAGAGTTTAGTGCCGCCTACCAGTTTAACCGATTTATTAGCATTGTGTCGTCATAGGAGTTGACTTTGCATGCGCATACTAGTATTTCGGCTTAATTAATTCTAATTTATGTGTGATTCTATATTCATAATAGTTTTTACGATCGCAGCGATAACAAAACCGCCAGCGAAATGGCATAAAACGAAAGCGAAATGCCATGAACACCAGCTTAGGAATCAATAAGAAGATCTCTGATCAAGAAATAATAAAGTTTGCATCGATAGATAGTGGATAATGTTCTAACTATTCAAAAAGATTAATGACAGATGGTTTTTCATGATAGAAAACCAATTTGAGACCAAAAGCATGACATGTTCACACATCGAAAGTAGACATAAAGTCTGGCACCTCGTGTGTCCATCTGACTATATAAACTAGTTCTCGAAAGGGTCATAAAAAAACACATTAATGGATATGCTAACGACAATGGGTTGTAATTAAATTAGCATTGTTTCAAATATCGTGATCTGCCAAAAACTATCAAAAGTTCCTATGATATGAGATTCGACTGCTCAATATCCTCTAGTAATAAATATATAATTTTATAAGATTGCTACCACCAATTGGATCTTAATATATTTTTAACTGTATTTCTTTATCTAAATGCTCATTTTTATGACTGCATATCAATCAGAAGTTCACAAAAGACTTAATTGGCACGATAATGAGATTCTTATTTGTCTTCAGACTTTGATTCCATAAAATTTATACCGGTTACCTGCAGTCTCAAGTAGATTAAGCCACTTAAAATTCCATTAATAATTTTCAGAATATTGAGAGACAGATGTGTAGCTTCTTATATTAGAAGATATTGCTATATAGTTCACATAAATTTAATGTACTGTTAAGTTTAGCACAAAGTTAGATTAATAGTGTATCGTATGAAAATATTTCGTTGGCTTTACCTATTTTATCATTCATTTGGAGTTATGTTTATCCTTATTATTTAGATTTCTTCACTTCATCTGTTACTCACCCTTCCAACTGCTGCAATGATGTCCTGACTCCATTAACCATGGACCTCAGTTCCTTGATGAGATACTCCTCTGTGTTCAATAGTTGCTCCAGTCCCGTGATGGAGGAAAAGTAATCCGAGGCCAAAGAGTCCCGACCAAGACAGGACACCAGTCCCAGGACTAGAATATGTTTCCACATGGCTCTTTACTCTCCTCTCCTATATTATTATTAATTATCTCTGTAGAAATCCTTTCTGTATCTAATATAATCCTTTATGCTCTTGAGACCTCTATGTCCGCCGCTGGCCACGTCTCGAGGCGAACTGATTTGGTGGATCATAATGTCACCGGGGGAGATCTCTATATCGATCTCAGAAATCTCAGAGACATCCCGGAGAGACGGAGCACCAGAAACCAGCGGCGTTTGCGTTGAGAATTAATTTCGCGTGTGCAAAGTCACAGCGCGGAGATGAAACTAGTTGGCGGTGTTGGTCTATGATTTGAAGAAAACTGTTTTATTAGCCAGTTCTGTGCAAGTTCCGACGCAGAGAGGAGCCACCATCCGTACGGGTTTCTCGGTGCCGGGCGTGTTTTATGGCTTGTTTTGCGCTGATTTACTGATGCTTATCGAGCCGAGCTCGTTTCGAATTCTAAATTCGATTCGGACTTAGAATCAGAATCGGAATTGGAGTCGAAATCGGATTGCCACGGCTATTGTCTTTGGACGGATTGGCTTAGAGCAGACGAGCATATTAATACGGGCTAATTGGCAGTTAACTGTTTGATATTTAAGACTGCAGTTCGAGTATGAGCAGGCAGAGATGGCATTTATATATGGTTTAAAATATTTAAAAAAATGCGTGGAGATTCATAGAACACCCAAGGCTTATCTGCAATTTATTATTAATTAAAAATAAATATTGTTGCAATATTTATACCCTTGCAAGGGTATTATAATTTTAGTCAGAAGCTTAAAACTAAGTAAAGAAGTCATTTCCGACCCTATAAATCATATATATTCTTCATCAGCATCGATAGCTGAATCGATCTAGACATGTCTGGGAGGAATTCAATTTTTGCAATTTTTTCAAAATTTTAGAAGGGTTACATCGTTAAAATTGTCAAAAATCGGCAAAAATTAATATTTTAAACTGAGTATGCAGATTTGTTAACCTAACAAAAACTAACTTAAGAAAGCTTTCTGAATTAAAATTAATGCATTTTTGGCTGAGTTATGAGTTTTTTAAATTTTGAATTTTCGGAAAAATTTCAATATTATTTTATTATTAAATATATTATTATATATTATTTGTATTATTTAAAACTTATTTGTATTTGATTTCCAATTTGACTCTATATATAGAATATAGAAATATCGGCTTCCGAAGTAAGTTTCCTTTTTTGTTTTACAATAATATCTTTAAGTTTTCGACATCGAAAATATATTTGAATACCTTATGATGTTAAAATAAATATAAATTCGATAAATATTATTAAAACTTATCAGATTTTCTTGAACCAATGTTGGAAAACACATCGAAAATTGGAAACTTGATGGCCAATTAACATTTCCAATTCGCTGCGCGACATTTCATATTGGTTTATGGACTTCAAGCTGCGTATTGACAGGCCATTGTTTATGTTTATGGATACTATATCGATTCCGATTCCGATCCGATCTGATACCTATCCCCTTTGGGTCTCCAATTTGGAGCAATGATTTGTTAATGAGCGCTGCACCACTTCAACCATAACTCACATTGTTTTGATTCGCAATCTTTGCTGATTTACCGACTTCAAAAGGCGGCCAGGCCAGGCCGGCAGCGCTCACTTGTTTTATGGCCCGTGTAGTGTTTGACTCAGTTTGTGGTTTCCTCTTAACAACAAAAAAGAACGGAGAGAAAAACAGGAAAAATAAACAAACCAAAATCAAACAGGAAAGGTAAGTAACTTCAGGAAGTCGAAGTTTATATACTCTTGCAGTTTGCAATTGAATCGTATTTGAAATTAATCGTAACTTACTTAAAATATTTGTATTCCTTGAAATGTTATTTGTCTCGATTTTTATGACCATTTTACCGATAAATACATTTTTTAAAGTCTTATAACTCAGTCAAAAATGCATTAAATTCAATTCGGAAAGCTTTCCTATCTTAGTTTTTGTTAGGTTAACAAATCTGCATTCTCTGTTTAAAATATTAATTTTTGTCGATTTTTGACAATTTTAACCCCTTATCATTTTTTCAAATTTTGAAAATTTTTCGAAATTTTTTTTTTAACCATACATGGCTACATTGACTCACCTATCGATTCTAATCAAGAATATATATGATTTATAGGGTCGGAAATGACTTCTTCACTTTGTTTTAAATTCTGACTAAAGTTACAATACCGTACCATAAATAGGTATCTACCGCTGATGGCCTGCAATTATGGAGCCCATTCAAGCCGAAATGCCTCCCATTCTGGCTTTTGTTTGTCCAACCCATTCACACCGACCACTCCCAGCTCCCGAGTGGCAAAAACGCAATTATAATAACGCGGCAGCGTAATAAAAAGCTGATTTTTAATCAAATGACAAGGTCAACTTTATTCACGTCTCCCCCCTCGGCGGCAATTAATGCATATGTAACACGCATCGGCAAATCTACGGAGTCCTTCCGCCTCGCTCGAGTCCTGTCAACTGAGTCCTGTCCACGCGGCTGCATTCGAAATTGAGATGAATAAAAAATGGAAATTAATACGATGGTAGAGTGGTTATCAACTACGAGATACCCTAGGCTAGGAATACATTCTTATTTTATATTTAATTCTATATAGCCTATATAGTAACTAATTTGGATCAAAGCTAAGTTGGAAAACAATTGTAAAACATTTTTAATTAAATATGGAATTCCCGAAATCAACTTTCAAAACCTAGATAAGAAATTCAACTAAAATTCTTTCCTTTTTACTCCATCTATAAATTATTTTAGTTAAGTTTTTGCCTAGGTTTTATAAATACTTTGATGTTCTAATTAATATTTGCCTATTTAGTTCTCGACATCTCTAGCTTATCTTACTTATTTTATGAACAAATCTTAATATAATTGAATCGAATATACCCCACTTCTTTTTCTTCTCTCCTAAAACACGGTATCCCTGGGACACGTTCGTATGACAACCATGACGTGGGATATGAGAAGTGGCTTTGGGCCACAAAACTGAATCCCGGCACGCACTCTCTCCTCCGCGCATCGATACTTACACAACTGTGCACCGAGGAGCACGGGACAGACTGCCTGGCGACTGCGGTAGTCCCACTCAAAGCCATGTCCGGATGCGGATCCCAATCCCAAACCGCCGGCGGTGCGTGTGTGCCACAGCAGCAGGGCGCCACGTGGGACATTCACGCCGAGCTCCAGTTGGGGAAAGACCACGGCGCCGCCCATTCCGGGTGCCTGCAACTGGAGCCACGGAATTTAATTAGCGACACATTAGTCAATTAATTAGGCGAAGGTTTGGGGATAGCCACGTACGCTTAGCATGCCACGTGCCGCATGACCACGACCAAGTTCGGAGTCCTTCTCCAGCTCGCTGGTGTGCCCGTGGCCATGACGACGTCCCTGCCAGGGACTCGATGATTCCCAGAGCTTGTGACTTAGATGCAGCCTCTGGTAAACAATCCTCATCTTCTTCTGCGCCAACTTGGTTAACTTCATGGGTTGATAACTGCCACCTCGGCTTGAAACATTCTCTTCATCCTCATCCATGAGTTCCAGCAATTGATCAGTTTGCTTTGTGGTCAAAACATCGTGATGGAGAACTATGTGAGGGTTGGAGCTCAGGGGTTCTATCTTTTGAGGCTGCAAGAGTGTCCAGGGAGTATTTTTAGCCAGATGGCACTGGTGGAGGCGACTCCCGGTGGTGGCTTCATGGGCTGCCCCACGGCAGAGCTCTTCTATGAGCTGCTGCTCGTCTGTCTTGGCTTTCTGTGGCAAAAATAGGAGGTAAAGGTGGGTGGTTACAAGATATTTCTATTAACATTTTGTTGAAAGATTTATTTCTATTCACTTCAATAAGGGTATAAATTATATGTTAAGAAGCTTGAAGCATAGAAGTTATTATACAAAATTATTATGGAAATTCAGGGCATTTAAGCTTTGACTTCTTTAATTTCTATTATTCCTTGGGATGGCATCACCTCAGGCTTTCGAATATTTTTCATTTCACGGCTCAGATTTCTTACGCCGAAACTTTAGCACCCACTTACTTGTGTCTTTGTCCTTTTCGACTTTCGTCTTTTGCCCTTGGGCAATTCCTTATTGGCCAAGGTCTGCTCAATCTTTTCTTTGGCCTTCTGTAAACCTTTGTCCTTGGGCCGCAACAGGATAAGCTCCTCGGCTGCTACCAGGGCTCGGGAAAGTTCGCCTACGAGAGTAGCTTGAATTAGTCCTAGGGAATTTTCGTTTCATCTAGGGATAAAACCCACCAGCACGGTATTCCATATTCAGTGTTGTTTCCAGAATCGTGACTTGTCCTCGTTCCCGCTCCCTCTGCAACTCTGTGGAGTTTTCATTGGGACCGGGCAACTTGTCCCGAGCAGTTTCTAGCCAAAACCGAGCCACCGGGAAGTCCGCCTTACGAGCCAGTTCTAGGCAGTCGCCCCAGGACATGGCGGAGCTATAAGTATGCAAACAATTTTTGATTGCTTTGTAATGTTGGATAATCTGCTATTTTAATTTTCCTTACCCCAGCTTCAGGCCATTCACTACTCCAAGGGAGAGACTTGCAGGTTCCAGGTCGTAGACCGACTGAAGGTGCAGCAGGTGGCTGAGTGACTCCTCGTACTCCTCCTCAGTGGGCAGGGTGAGGTCTCTACCGGACAGGAGTCCCTCTCCTGGACCCAGCTGGAGTGTGGCATTGGCTTGCTGCTCCAACTTGGGCCACACACTCTCAAATCTCTTCAGGATGATCAGCACATTGAGGGGATTGCCCATGTGCTCCTCCACTCCATCAGCGGCCACTTGGATGTGAATCTTTTCAATCTCCGCCGTCTCTTTGCGAATCTCCTCTAGCTGAAGCTCCAGCCTATCTATATAGTCACGTAGTTCATCAATGAGGTGAGTCTCCGTGTCCAGAAGAGCCTCCAGTTGCTCTTCTCCCCTGGCAAATTAGCTTCAGCAAAAGAACTCAAAAGCAGCAAATGAAAGAGCCATAAGAAACCCGCAAGCGTGGTCATTTGCATAATTACTAATATGTATCTTCTTCAGTCTTTATTCTCTCAGGTCAATGACTAGAAATTATTGTGTATTTAAATGTTTGAACGGAGAATCTTCGACTGACCGGCTCGGCTGATGGAACGGAACTGAGGCCTAGAAGTTTGAACCTAGAATCTGAAGCCCAAAGAGACCAAAGGTTAATTTATGTAAAGAAAGTTGTAAAGCTGGTTTTTCAGTCAATCGATTACTCAATAGAAGTTTTATATACGCATATATTTTCTAATATGTGTGGTGAATATCGGGGGTCATTGATTGTTTTTATTAAATTCTGCAAAGAATTTTATTAGAATAAGTGGAAATATCTCTAATCCAATCCAATCTCTTTTTAAAAATAAGTTCAAGAGTTTATTTATTTCAGTGTAAGTACTTTTGTAAGAGAATATTTAATAAACTTAAATACTTATAGAGTTATTTTTCCTCAAACTCCTTGAACTTTCCCTCATCGCTGGTGAGACCGCAGGGTCGGTTAAATTCCTGGCCACCTTCATGGAACCATTCATTGCAAACTGAAAAATATATAAATAAAATTAAATTTCATCATAAATTAAATACTTTTTCTCAATATGTCCGACTTACTCCACTTGGATCCTTGAAGAACTGGACAACCTGCGTGCTTTGTTCGATAATCCTTGTGTAGGGAACGATGAAGGTTATACCAGACCAAGAGACTGCCCTTGACGGGAGGCACAGCCAAGTGGAGGAAGGGAAAGGCGGTGGCACCACCCAGGGGGACATCATTAAGCTGTAAATATATTTAAAATTAAATAAAGTACCTACAACTATTATTTAAAGTCCACAAAACTCACATAGAAAAGAGCTGTCAACAGTCGATTACCCTTCCAGTCGGAGGTACTCTGTCAAAAGTAATACATTTAAGTATATAATTATATAAAATAAATTCCTTAGTCTCACCTCCATAAAGTCAAAGTGCGGCTCGTACTGACCACCGATGCCATAGTTGACCAGCTGCAATGCCTCTGCACTCTCCGTGCTGAGTCCTGTGATGTCCTCCAGACGCTGTTTTATCTTTGACAGCCAAGGATTTGCTTCGTACCAAAGCCAAGTATTTTGACTAGTCCGGATTTCAGTGGTGGTGGCATTCATAGATTGACCCACCCTGGAACGCTTCATCCGTCCTTTGCCGTACTCCATAATCTGCTCCATTTCGCTGTTACTAATTACATCATGAATATAGGTCACATAGGGATCCAGATTCAGTTGTTCTATCTTGAAGGGAGAGAGGCGATGGTAGGACACATTCTGATGGCTCAGATAGCACCGAAGTTTACGCTGTTTTCGAGGAGATGGGCTAAGATCACCCCGACACACTTGTTTATACAGCTGGAAACTCTCCTTTAGTTCCTAAGAATTTAAGAAATTTAGTTAAATAAGTAGAAGTAGGATTCCCTACCTTTTCCGATTTTTGAGGAACAATCACTGGCTTAGTAGGCTTTTTATTTCTTTCCCTTGCTAGCTGAGTCTCATAGAAAATCCTGTTCTTTAAAGCCTCTTCGTGACTGGGTACCTTATCCAGTATCTCACTGTTCAGTTTGTGAGCTAACTTGAGATTACCCATACCTTTGAAGGCGGGCGAGAGATGCTCCAGAATCTCAAAATCAGTCACATTTGGGGAGAGAAAGTCCTCAGGTTCTCCATGCAATCTCATTCTGGCCTCCAACAGCCACTCGGAGCCATAGGTGTACTCCTTTAGTTCGCAGAGATTCTTTCCAATCTCGAGGCAGTCACTGGCACTTAAGGTGGCATTTAGTGGATTCTTTTCCCCCGGAAGAAATCCATCTGCCAGCTGAGCTGTGGGCAGCTGATAGATATTCTGCAGGCGGAGCAGACCACGAGTGGCTCCCTTGAGATCCTCCTCTGTGGGTCCCTTGAACTTTATCTTATCCGTAGACTCACTCAGGGACTTCTTGTAGGTCTCAAAGTTGGTTGACTCCAAAATGGGATCAAAAACATTAAACTTCCAGTCGTGAACCATCCTTCGAATGGTTGTGAAGGCATTTACAGGATTTCCGAAGTACTCCTCAAGATCACCTCGATTCTTTTGCAGTTCTTCTACTTGGTCAAGGAATCTGTGAGAAAGTTTATGGTTAGAAACTTATTAACTTACTGCTATTTAAAGTTACTTTTTAATTTCCTGCTGTTCTTGCTGAGCTCTTTCTAGATACTCATCAAACTTCTCCACGATAAAAGCCTCCACATCGAGGAGTCTCTCCAGGTCGCTGATTGCTGAGTAATAGTCCCCATTAACTGAAGATAAAAATAAACTCACAAAGAGTGTTAAAAGAAAGAATTTCAGCCTGGACATGGTTTCTGTTTGGAGTTCGTTTTATAACTGCTCTAAATTTTGAGTAAGCTAAACACATTTGGAGGCAGTCTCTTGGCGAGAAGTGCAGCTAAGTAAATATTGAAACAGTTGGCGGGTTTTCGGCATTTTTCTGGCATGGAAAAATAGGTGTCTTAGATGAGCATCCAAATATAGACAGATAAACACTTTTTATTAAAATAATAAAGAAAATAAAAAGTTCAACACTTTAACAAGTACACAATGCAACAAAGTAATATATAAACTAACATGGAAGGCATAAAAGTCAAGTACCATTATAGGTAGGGTTTTAAAATCATTTTTTAAATATATTTATTGAAACTTGTAACATTTTTATGATATTTAAATGAATTAATATTGAAAATAAGGGGGCTAAGATGTTAACTTTGTGCTATAAGGATCTTCCAAATCAAAGCAGGGCTTCCTGAACTCCTGTCCAATATCCTCGATCCACTTGCTCATGACTGCAAAGTAATAAATAAAAACTTTAAAGTCATAAGAAATATCTCTACTCACCCCACTTGGAGCCAACGATGACGGGACAGCCTGCATGTGAAGTATATGTATCCTCATTTCCCCTGGTATCCTGATTGTACCAAAAGAGAACCGATCCTGGTTGTGGAAAGACAGTGAGGTTCAAATATGGAAAAGTGGTTCCGCCACCTTGCTGAACCTCGCTTAGCTGGAAACAAAGTATCCAAAAGTCAGAATATGTTGCTTTCATTAATAATAATTTACTCACGTAGACTAGGCCAGTGGCTATCCTGTCTGCGGTGCCATTGAAACGTTCCTAGGGGAACATTTTTTAATATTGTATAAAATTAAAGTTTTAAGTACCTCATACGCACCTCGTCCTTGAGCAGTAGATCAAGATGGATCTTAAAGACACCTCCCACGCCATAGTTCATCACCTGAAACAACTCCGATTTGTTCATGTCCAGTGAGGTGGCATCTTCCAACATGGTGGTGATCCCCATGGTGGCATTATTCAGGTCCCAAGGTAGCCACACCGATTTTGAAGTACGGTATGAGACAATTCTGCTCTTGCCCTCCTTGGGGTTGTAGGTACTGGTTGGTAATAGATACGACTTGCTTCCATTACGAATATCATGCATATACTTAGGGGAAACCACATCATGGAAGAGTACGATGTATGGATCAAGGGAGAGTATCTCCGTTTTTATGGGAGCCAGACGCAAAAAGGGGAAAGCTTTGGTATTGTACAGGCAGTAGAGCTGGAGCTCCGGATGTAACTCACAGCGACCGCTGCAGCAGGAGAGCTTCTGATACATATCTGAGCTATCATCATCCAGCTGAGCATCAACTGGCTTAGTTAGGAGCTCCGTCTCTGCCAGGTGAAATTCCTGTAACAATTCGGCATCGTAGGGGGATTCCTTCAAAGCGGTTTCATAGGCTTTTAAGGCTGCTGTAGAATCATCTAAACAATTGATAAGAAACAGTAAAGATCTGTGGCTTACTATTTTTCTTTTTTCACTTACTCATCTTAACCAGAACTTGACGCATAGTTGCCAACAATTCCTTCTTGCTGGTTCCCACTAACTCCTGCATCTCCTGCTGAAGATTTATCCTATTCAATGCCTCAATGCCAGTGTCGATCCACTCCTTGGCTTCGTTCCAATGCGATTGATTCATGAGGTGACGACCCATTTCCAAACAATCACGAGCTGTTAGCGAGGCGCTTGAAAATTATCTCTATAAGTTACTTTTTCTTAGTAAGGGAGGGAATTATCTGTTATCACCTACTTGTATTGTACTCCATCCAGCAATCCACTGGCTATGTCAAAGGCTGACATTTCATAAACTGATTGGATCATCCAGATTCCTTCAGCTGCGTCCTGAAAGTCGATGTCCTGCGGCAACAGCTGCATCTTTGAGTTCAGGTAATTAAGTTGCTCTGAAATAGAAAAATTAGTAAATAACAATAGAAACAACATTGCTTTACCTACCCTGACCCACAGGTTTCTTCAAATACACTTGCCACATCATCCAATCCGATTGCATGTGTCGAATGAGGGAGTAACTATTGAAGGGATTCCAGGCTGGCTTTAGTCCGGATTCCAGCCTTTCCTTATATCTGGTTGTCATCTCTTGTATTCCCCTTGAAGATTTAAGAAGTTTTAGCATATTAGGACTCCGGAGAAGCTCACTTACATCCTTATAGTATTAGCTTTCTGGGACAGGGCCTCTATGTATTGCTCCAAGTTCAATACTAGAAAGTCTTCCAAATAGAGCAACTCGTCCATGTTTATCACAGATCTGGCAAAGCCCTTGGGCGGAACAAAATCATATTCGTCCACCTCTTGGCCCTGGCCAGGACTAAGGAAATAAAAAAGTCCTAGTAGTAAGCAAGAAACCTGCATTCTAAGCTAGTCTAACTTTGGATAAGAAATGGTCTTTTCAGTTCGGAAATTATTAGATTATACTAATTATATAGTTATGGCAATCAGTTATGCATTAGGGCGTATCTCAATCAATTTAAAAAATGGTTTCTTAAGATCTTATTTTATTTGCTTCATTGGAATATTTTCAAATTGTTTAACATTCATAGTTTCTTGACTTCTAAACCTTATTTCAGGCAGGGTGCCCTAAGCTCTTGTCCTAGATCGTAGATCCACTTGCTCATGACTGCAAAGAGAAACTTATAGACCAAAGAAACAAATCTCAACTATAAATATACGAACCCCATTTCGAACCCACGATGACAGGACATCCGGCATGCATCGTTCTTACATTTTCGTAGCCTTTTCATCAGTATTATACCAAAATAGAGCTGCTCCGGGTTTGGGAAACACAGCGAGATTTATATATGGAAAGACAGTGGCACCACCCTGGGGAACTTCACTCAGCTGAGGAAAATATAAAAATTAGGTAATATAACCGGGAATATAAAAACTCACATAGAAGAGTGTGGTGGCCATTCTATCTCTGGTTCCATTGTATCGATCCTGAAAAGAAATCAGTTTAAAATAAAATAGAATAGGTTCTCAATTAACAGTTCTTACTTTGTTGTCAAGCAAAGAGTCCAAATGGGTTTCAAAGACGCCACCTATTCCATAATTATTAACTTCAAATGGATCCGAGTGTCTCATATCCAATCCAGTCGCATCTTCCAAGAGGACAGTGAGTCTTTGGGTAACATTTGTGGTACTCGCATTATACGACACAGACTTGGAAGTGCGATATTTATTGATTTCTTTGAAGCCCGCATCCATATCGACCGTACTTGATGGCAGCAGATTATTTTTGCTTATCGATCGTAAATGATTACGTTCTGCCTCAGAAACTACATCATGAAGGAGGATCACATGGGGATCGAGCGACAGGAGCTCCGTCTTAATGGGAGCCAGGCGTAGAAAGGGATGCGTTTCGGTGTTCCAAAAACAATACAGATGAAGATGTGGTGCCAGCTCACAGCGACCACTGCAACAGGAGGGCAACTTTATCTCCTCGTTAGGATCCATCTTCTCTGGTTTTGCGGGATAGCTTTCAGGCAATATGAGATTTATTTGTTCCAAATTAATAAACTCTTGCCATAATTCCGCATCCTGGGGAGAGTAGCTTACAGCAATCTGGTATGCCTTTAAGGCTCTGTTCACATTTCCTGCATGCAGAGTTCTGTACTACAATATCTCTGAGAAACCAGACTATTTATATACACACCCTCCTCCAAGTGAATTTTGCCCAAAGTCCTGTAGAGCAGCGCTGGGGTTATTCCTCTTAGCAATTCAATCGCTAGTGGAGGATTTGAACTCTCCAAATCAAGAGAAGCTGCTTCAATCCAATTCTGGGCAATTGACCAGCGCGATCCATTGATGAGGTGTTCAGCCAAGGCAAAGCAATCAAGAGCTGTTAACGAGGAGCTAAAATTGAACTTTCTTAGAGAATATATCTCTTCGAATAATACTCGTACATACTTGTACTGCACTCCATCCAACAATCCCTGGGAAATGTCCGTCGCTAATAGATTGTAAGTTGATTGCATTCTTCGAAGGCCTTCGGCAGCATCAAAGAAGTCATGATCTTGAGGCATTTTGGGTTTCAAATGCTCCATATTAGATAGGTATTCTGCAAAGTAACTTGATCAGGTGCTGAAGTTAGCCTTATGATTATGGTACAGACCTAGACCCACAGGCTTTTCCATATAAAACTGCCACATATACCAATCTGACTGCATGTGCCGGATGAGTGAGTAACTATTCAAAGGATTTTCCCAGAACTTATTCGGTCCCTGCTCCAACTCGAGGTGGTGTAACTCACGCATCATACTTATACCCCTTTAAAATGTGAAATTTCAGACCTCTCAATATATTTTGTGGTATATCAAGTGTTTATCCTTAACTTACTGCAAAATAGTCTCATGTTTAACAATAAGCTCAGCAATATATAGTTCCAGATTGAGATACAGTCCTTCCTCCAACTTAAGCAGTTCATCCATATCTGCCACAGACCTTGAGAACCGTTTTTCTGTGTAATTTTAAACACTTGTCCCAGGATTGGACTCAGGAAGAATAAACCGACAATAAAAGAGATAGATGTTCATTCTGAATCAGTAACAAATCTAAACTGAGAAGGGAAACACAACTCACAGGAATAATTACATTTACATAGTAATTAGTTCCACTTTATGTTGCTAATTTGATTATTATACTTTTAATACTTAAATATTTTCTATTTTTTAGAAATGTTTTTAAGAGAGCACGCTAGTTTCTAGCTTCAGCTTTTACCCATTTCATTGTCAAGGCAGAAACCAGTTGCCGGCCTAATGAACCCGGCATTATGACTTTCTTTGGGTGCGTGCAAAGAACTGGTTCTGACTTCTATATAAGCTTATTCTTATGTAATATTCTCAGGGGTCAAATGGCGGATTCAGTTGGAATCGCGAAGCTCTCGAGAGTAGATCTCAGTCGGAATAATGTTTCCGTGTAAATTGATTTTAGTTTTAATGCTTCAGTTTGGGCTCCGAGGTGTTTCTGGGGCCGAGTTCTTCTCATCGATACACATGATGACAAAGGCCTTTGAATACGAACAGAAAATGCTCCGCCAGATGCAGAAATTTCTCAACAATAACCAACAAAAATTGGATTTCCTGAAAGAGTAAGACGAGTGATTTTTACTTGAATTTAACCAATGAGATTAATCCCTTTCTATAGTACCCTGCGGGACTTTGAAAGTGAACGCAATGAGGCTCGTGAGTGGGGTCCAGCGTACTTTGATAGTCCGGTAAACAAATATTTGCTCAACAAACGCTTGACCGTGGACTGGCAGAGGGTGGAGAATCTAATGGAGACCTCGACTGGAGAAAGTGGGTTAACTTAAACCTATTGTAATGGGATTCTACTAACCAAAAACGAATACGTATTAACCCTCCAGAGCCTCTGAAGCGCCTGCAGGAACTGCGAATTGGCAAGGGAGAACTAGAGGGAGCCCTTGATGGTATTCTGCGTCTGCAGTTTGTTTACAGGCTAAAGGCCAAGGATCTGGCCAATGGAATCTTAGATGGCGTGAATTACGGGTAGTTATTAAACAAACTTCTTCAAAACACTCTTAACTAAACTCTATCCCTACTATCCTTAGCACCCAGTTGAACTCCGAGCACTGTGTGGATATAGCTCGACTGGCTCTGAGGGATCAGCATCCTCGATTGGCACACTCTTGGCTCCTGGAGGCCAATGAACGCTTGACGAGTGGAGAAAAATCCTTGGAACTCAAGCCACAAATCTTGGCCATGTTAGTGCAGGCCAAGGCGGAATTGGGTGACTTGAGGGGTATGAATGAGACCTATCAGGAACTCTTGCAAATCCAGCCAGCCAGTGAGGAGCACAGGCGGAATTACGAGAGCTTTCTGTTAGCCCAAGGTGATAAGGTTTCACTCAATGAGTCTCAAATAATTGAAGAGCATGGAGTGAGTATATCGAGTAGATATATTAAGATTTCAGTAGTTAATTTATATAATTTATATTTAGCCCATACCCAAGGAAGATGAAGTGGTTACCCCTTTCCAGGCCTTCTGCCTCACCTGCAGTGGCCATTGGGAGCCCAAACCGCATGAGCTCCGAGATCTGCGTTGCGGCTACTTGACCGAGACACATCCCTTCCTTTGGATAGCCCCCTTCAAGGTGGAGGAGCTCAACCATGATCCACTCATCTTGCTCTTCCACGATGTGATCTATCAAAGCGAAATTGATGCCATCAAGGAGTTGACCAGAAATAATTTGAATCGCGGTCAGGTGACAGGCCTAAATTCCAGCTCAGTGTCCAATGTGAGGACTAGTCAGACCTCCTTTAGACCCGTGACTGCGCATAAAGTCCTGGAAACCATAGACAAGAGAGTAGGGATTATGACCGATTTGAATATGAAATACGCCGAGGATCATCAGTTTTCCAACTATGGAATAGGTGGACATTACGGAGAGCACTACGACTGGTTTAATCAGATCACTGTAAGATATTCATACATCTATAATACATTAAGTTTTATTGAACTTTAATTCAAGGTCGATTTATTTTATTATTAAATAGATAGATAGCGGGGTTGTCAGCAACCCGGAGCATGGCAATCGCATTGCCACGGTTTTATTTTATGTAAGTATTGGGAATTGTTTGTTATTTTATTTGCACTAAAAATTTATAATTAGAGACTGTCTTTATTTTTTAGAAAATTTAAGAAACTAAGTTTTTTATAATATATCAATTTGGTTGCTTTTATAGCTCTCTGATGTGACTCAGGGCGGTGGGACTGCCTTTACCTATTTGAAAAAGCTGGTGAAACCGAAAAAATACTCAGGTATTTGAGTAGTTTTACTTATTTTTATGATATTTGATATTTATATATTACTCTGTTACAGCTGTCTTTTGGTACAATTTACATGCCTCAGGAGTCGGGGATCTGCGCACTCAACATGGTGCTTGCCCCATAATTGCCGGTTCCAAGTGGGGTAAGTCTCTGAAAAACAGCTAATCCTCATAACTACTAAATTTTCTTTATTATATAGTACAAAATCGGTGGATTCGTGAGCTAGGACAATCAGATCGTCGTCCTTGTGAGTATTGGGATGATTCTTTGGTCACCAAGTCTATGATTATGGAAAGTTTAAAAAAAGAAAAGGCTTTAAAAGCGGCTAGTGATAGTCAAGCTATATAGAATAGAGTCTGCTTAGGTGTAGCTATATTTTAAGCTTAAATATATATTTTTACTTTTATAAACTTACCCGTCTTATTATTCCCTCAACCCCTGAATAAATAAACCATACTGAAATACCTGAGGTTTCCCCAGGATTGGGAAACCCCTTTCAAAATGTTGCTTTATTTTCTGATCTCTTCGCTCGCTGCCTCTTTAACAATCGCCAGCTGAGTTGGAATCAACACTAATTAATTGTGTACTTTTAGTTGTACTAGCTGGGATCCCGCTACAAATCCCCAAAAGGATCACAGGATCGTCTTCTTTTGCCTTTGGCTTGCAGCTTTTCCTACACTTCGATCCGATCCCGTCCGATCTGGGTCTGGGTCTGGTCTGATCAATCCGCAATATGTGTGTATTTGAATAAATTCAATATATATAGTATGTCTTAAAACAAACATTCATATGTGTTGTAATGTATATAAGTAATGCCTTTAAGTCCAGCAACAACATTTATGTAGTAATTATTTTTCACTGCTCTGCGCATAATAGTACGATAATAATAATGACAATAATTCTCTGCTATTTTGTATATACGTTGAAAAGTTCACCACTCTATCCATCAAAACATTTATATAAATTTATTTTCTTTTAGTTTTCTTCTTCCTCTTTTTTTTGATTTTTTCTTTGATATTTTGTCGCTTTTTTTGTAGATTTTCTTTTTCTTCAGGTAGATAAAATAGTTTCAGTTGTGTAGATTTCTTTCTTCGCAATTTGTGTTGCACTTTTAAAAAGGACACCGAGTGAAAGTTTTCTTTTGACTATGCAAATGTGTGTGTGTATGTGTGTATAAAGGTTTAAATTCGCTTAAATGTGGATATAATCCCCTCATCCTTCTCTAGTTTCGTGTGCTGGTGGGTGATTTTTGCTAGACTGTCGCTAGTTTAGTATAAGTATTTAGTATTTAGTTGTTCAGTTACAGTTACAGCTTAGTTTTGTTTGTTTGGAGCTCCCTATTTAGGGGGAAGCACCGGCCAAGGGATTGTCTTGGGGTTAGTACATTCATGTTTTTTTGGTACATTGAAACATCGATATACAAATACACTGATTACATAAATATATATTTGTATTTATATGTATGTATGCTTTTAAAATTTGACTAATTATGCAATATAAATATGCAACTTAAAATTCTTGCCGCTCCGCTTTTTTGGGTTTTTGTGTTTTATTGAAATTACAGTTTCTTCATTTGTCATAAATATATACGTTAGTTAATTACCATTTTTCTTTATATATATTTATATATATAAATATCATTTTTGTACACCTATAAACATCTAAATACGAGTGTATTCGAGTATCTGTGCTCAGTAGTTCGCAACGCTTAAGTTCACATCAATAATGTCTGAATTCTGATTATTTTGATATAATTGCATAGCATTTTTATGCTCCTCCATTACTTTCCTTTCCTGGTTTGACTTGGGATGTGCTTTATTCCTTTTTTTTGTAAATTGAAACTTGCTTTTCGAGATCTTGGTTTCCTTAGATCTCGTAATTGCGGAACTTGTTGGCCACATCGGTATTCTCGGTGCCCCATTCGGCCTTGCGACTGCCATAGTACAAGGCTGCACCACCCTCCGAGGCCCGTCGATGGGCAGGATTGGGTGAGGCTGCGGTCAGGCCGCCGCTGCTGCATCCTGCTCCGGAACCGGCTCCAGGACCTGCACCTCCAGCTCCTCCGACCTCGGGCAGCATGCGATCCTTGGTCTTGGGTGTAACCCAATGCATGGACTTTTGTAATCAAAGAGAGAGAGTGCACAGAGAGGAAGAGATATTGCAAAGTCATTTTAATTAAATTAAATCCAGGCTGCTAACGAGAACCAAGGCATCTTTGGTTGGAGTAATTTACTCCCAAGGTTGCATTGGTCCTCTCTTCACATGCAAAACACACACCGTACACACACACACACATTTTGGACACACATTTAGAGTTGGATGAAGAGGCACATTCAAGAAGAGGTTTTACATTCCGTGGAGTTCTTCGGGCACTCAGGAGCGGGCTTATAGAGAGAGAGATTCTTTGAACTTGAGGGGGTGGGATTTTTCCGCAGAATTCTTCGAATTGTGTGTGTTTTAATAGGCAAGCTACTTAAGTTGGGAAAAACACTTAGAAAACAATATAAGGAACCAAGAGAGATTTACAAAGGTTGCAGGGGAGAAATTTGGAAACTTAATTTACAATTTAAAGGTTATTAAATTAAGAAAAACTGGTGGAAGTGCTTGAAATATTGGTAAATTGTCAATTGGAAAATATGCTTTGGATGCTGTTTTCTGCATTTGTTTATTATTTTCATCGTGGAGCTCGATAAAACAAGAAGGGAAACTAACTTCGGTAAGCCGATATACCCAAGCAATTTGCAATTGAATTATAGGTTCAAATCGAAAATCGATCATAACAAATCTTCAAATGTTAGCATTCTTTGAATCCAACCATATTGATAGTTTTTCCTCGACTTTTTCAAGTTTAGGAATGTCATAACTCGGCCAAAAAAGAATTAATTCTAATTCGGAAAGCTTTCCTTTGCTAGTTTTTATAAGGTTAATAAATCTGCATACTCAATTTAAAATATAGAAAATATATTTTTTATAAATTTTTAAAAATTTTAAAATTTTATAAAATTTTCAAAATTTGGAAAAAATTAAAATTTGTCCGGAAATAGCTAGATCAATTCAGCTGTTGATGCTGATCAAGAATATATATGATTTATAGGATCGGAAATGATTCCTTCACAGAGTTTTGAGCTTCTGAATAAAAGTATAATACCCTGCAATTATAAATTATGGCATTGAAAAGGTTATTCCTTCAACTATAAGCCGATTAGATAGGTAAATCTTGTAATACACAAATAAATAAATACTACAGTATATATATATAGTATATAAACTACAAGTTACTAAAATTTTCGAGATATTTTATCCCTGAAAACTACTGAAAGTGCTATGGAAGCTCCATCTGAGTCTGTTTATGTTCCTTCCCCTCATAATTTATTGATTTCAAGCTACCTACTCTAATTTAGTCTAGAAGCTCTTAGTAACCGTGACGTTTCAGGTGATTGTCCAAGCTGAAAATTGGAAATGCAAATGCGGATTTGGAGCGTTCATAATCTCCTTCAAGGCTGGACACTGTCCGCCATTTTGATGGATGGCGACAATTTCCGCTTTGGGGGCAGTAAACGGAAATTACCAAAGGGCTCTGGCCACGGACTGCCGGGGGTTTGTCGGTTAATGAATAATCGCGTTAATTGTGCTACAACAAAAACGTACTCCTGTTTGGCTGACAAATTTCATTAGCTGTGCCAACGACAAAAGGTAAACAAACAAATGCGGGTAAGAGAGAGGGGAGGTGATAAACAAAGGATCTGAGCCCGAAGGACTAAGGGTAGAGAGTCTAAAAAGAGAGAGAGTGAAAGGAAGGACGGACTTAGTGAGGGACCACTACTTCTCTGGTTCGCTGAGTTCCCGGCCCGTTCGCATACCTCTTTATCCACTTTCTCGGCAATCGTGTATCTTCTCACCTGACCGACATGCTCCTTCATGCCCAGCCACTGTTTGTAGCTCATCGAAATGCCGCTATTGCGCCACTTGTCATAAATGGCCCGCTTTTCCGGATCGCACAGCGTCTCCTTGGCCTCCTGCAGGATAGAAAATATTATTCAGCAAATTGTTATTGCCAAAATGGAGAAGCATTTTGCACTTCCAGGGAAAAATATGTGACAGAAAATGATCAAAACAGAGTCTCTTTTATATACCAAAACAAGTTGTTTTCAAGGAGTGTTTTTTGAAAAAGACTTAACTCTAAGCGGATGAAAAATATTTCTACAGAAAACGAAAATACACTTAAATTTGGAAAAACAATACATGGTACTTCTAGTTTCTTGTATTATTTTATAAATTAAATTAAAATCCGTTTTAAGTCGCAATTTCCAGCACAAAATGTGTGTAAAGTGAGACACAATTTAATATATTTTCCTCACTGCCTAAACATGGAAGAGGCACCCACATCTATGCCACATTTTCAACACTTTTCCTTTGGCACACACACAAATCTGTTCTTTATGGTGAAAACCCCCATGAAAGTCAGGATTGGGATTTGCTCAAGTGCAAAATCAACAGCTGCACAGGTTTCGGTATGCCTAAGGATGCCTTTACACTCATTTTTCTCCCCGTTGGGAATTTCAGCCTCGTCCTGCCTTTCGCCTGCATGTTAATCAATTTCATACTATGCCTTACTATAGCATACTTATTGGCATTCCCCCCTATCAGCATACACACACCCACACCACACACACTCATCTGTGAAGAGGCTCTCACATATTTGTGCGCTCAAGTGATTTTGATATGTATCTTGACTACTTTTACGGCCAGACCCAACACACACACGTGCTACCGAACACCCACTCAGCGGTAGGCACCGACACCCTTGGTTGCTGTTCTATATGTATAAAAAAGTACACTGAGAGAAAATATTTGTATCTATTTTGCACAACTGAGTCTATAAGATATGTAAGGATTTGTAGTTTAATATGAATTTATATAAAGCGAAGAAAAATTCATATTTAAGTATGGCATATGTAAACAAAATATACAACATTTTTCTCGCACAATTTTATATAATTTGATTCAAAGCTATCTTTATAATTATAGAATCTCGTTTTATATTTATGAAAATCGGAATACTATATTATATAACTGCCAGAGAAACGGTTGTAAATTGTAGAGGATCAGTAAGTATCTTTCAACGTTAAGTAACTATGAGAAGTAAGTAACTCTGAACAGTAAGTATCAATGACCAGTAAGTAACTCTGAACAGTAAGTACCTATGACAGTTAAGTAACTAGGATCAGTAAGTATTTGACCACTAAGTATGTATGTATGATCAGTTACTAACTTTAAACACAAGTAAACAATGACTTGCAACTTTTGTAACACAACACATATCTGTGACTTGGCCGGCAGAAGTCACTTCGTTCCGGGGATGTTTGAACCAGTTGAGAATTATAGATATATGTGCGAGATGTGATTTTGGATCAGTGAGTAACTATGATCAGCAATTAACTACGAGCACTAAGTAACTATGAGCACTAAGTAACTATGAGCACTAAGTAACTATGAGCATTAAGTAATTATGAGCAATAAGTAACTCTGAACAGTAAGTATCTATGACCATTAATTATCAATGGACAGTAAATACCTATGACCAGTGAATATCTATGACCAGTAAAGATATATGATCTGTTTCAAACTTTGAACACTAATAAACAATGACTTGCAACTTTTGTAACACAACACATATCTGTGACTTGGCCGGCAGAAGTCACTTCGTTCCGGGGATGTTTGAACCAGTTGAGAATTATAGGTAAATGTGCGAGATGTGATTTTGGATAAGTGAGTAACTATGATCAGCAATTAACTATGAGCACTAAGTAACTATGAGCATTAAGTAACTATGAGCATTAAGTAATTATGAGCAATAAGTAACTCTGAACAGTGAGTATCTATGACTATTAATTATCAATGGCCAGTAAGTACCTATGACCAGTAAGTATATATGACCAGTAAAGATATAATATGATCTGTTTCAAACTTTGAACACTAATAAACAATGACTTGCAACTTTTGTAACACAACACATATCTGTGACTTGGCCGGCAGAAGTCACTTCGTTCCGGGGATGTTTGAACCAGTTGAGAATTATAGGTATATGTGCGAGATGTGATTTTGGATCAGTGAGTAACTATGATCAGCAATTAACTACGAGCACTAAGTAACTATGAGCACTAAGTAACTATGAGCACTAAGTAACTATGAGCATTAAGTAATTATGAGCAATAAGTAACTCTGAACAGTAAGTATCTATGACCATTAATTATCAATGGACAGTAAGTACCTATGACCAGTAAATATCTATGACGAGTAAAGATATATGATCTGTTTCAAACTTTGAACACTAATAAACAATGACTTGCAACTTTTGTAACACAACACATATCTGTGACTTGGCCGGCAGAAGTCACTTCGTTCCGGGGATGTTTGAACCAGTTGAGAATTATAGATATATGTGCGAGATGTGATTTTGGATCAGTGAGTAACTATGATCAGCAATTAACTACGAGCACTAAGTAACTATGAGCACTAAGTAACTATGAGCACTAAGTAACTATGAGCATTAAGTAATTATGAGCAATAAGTAACTCTGAACAGTAAGTATCTATGACCATTAATTATCAATGGCCAGTAAGTACCTATGACCAGTAAGTATATATGACCAGTAAAGATATAATATGATCTGTTTCAAACTTTGAACACTAATAAACAATGACTTGCAACTTTTGTAACACTACACATATCTGTGTCTTGGCCGGCAGAAGTCACTTCGTTCCATGGATGTTTAAACCAGTTGGGAATCATTGGCATATGTGCGAGATGTGTTTTATAAGAAATTGAAGAGCAAGCAATTTAATGAAACTATGGAGTTATTCTTCTATATAATTTTACTAGTATCTAAGTCGGAGCTTGGCGAATCGATAGACTATATATATAAAGATATATAGCTGCCATACAAACGATTGTTAAAAGTAGAGGAAAATACAAAACGGCGACTGAAATGAAAGCAGGCAATACATTATTGTTTTTTAACATAAATATATATATTGTATATTGAATTAATTCCGAGTGATCGAATTTCAATCTGCAAGGGTATACAAATTTGGCATGCCAAAGTTAACTTCCCATTCTTGGTTTTATTCTAAATAATATAAAATATATCAAATTATTTGCTTAATAATATATCTCTAGAAACAAATATACTTTCAGTACACTCCAGTATATTTAGTACATTACTTTCAGTGTATAAAAATCCACAGATAGACACAGACACCCACTCATAAACACACATGCACAATTGACGCTCTGAGATTCCATCGGCATCGCCCGCTGTTTTATTGTTCCTTTGCTGCTTTTCGGGCCCCTGTTTACATGATAATCAATTATTTCACTACCCACTGATTATGTGGGTCAGCAAACAGGACTCACTCCTTCTTTCCTTCCTTCGACAAGGAGCCCAAGCTAGGGAGCTTGTTTGTCTTCAATTAGGGCAATCATTTGCTTGCCTATCAAAAATATTTAACGGGCCCAATTAACAGTTCCTCCACCTGACCAGAATCAAATCGGAATTTCAGATTTCAATCCTGGCAAAGGATTTCACTAAAGGATAAACTCCTTTTGATTATGATGATGGGATCTCTAGACAGCCCCAAAGGGACTTGGCAGCCTGTCAACTGCAAATTGTCCTGTATGTTGTTAGTTCTACGAGCTGAAGGCTCATGATGAAGTCTGCCTCATTTGCATACTCCTTTGGGGACTGTAAGGAATGCCTTAGAATTTTCTTAGGAATCTGGTCCTTTTTACAGGAATCTCGACATTTCATTTTAAACGCTTCATGGGCCTCACAACCCACTGGGTTTTGTTTTATGGCCAACCATAAAGGTGAAGCTTCCCTTGCTTATTCCGGAACATATTTACGAGCTCTGGCACACACATGTACGTCCAATTTTACGAGCCGTAAATTGTACTCCTCCGCGGCCGGACAGCTCCTCCTGCAGGACCTCCTGAACAGCCTGAAGAATGATTGCTCGGGAAACGTGAAGTTGGACAGGAGACCCTCTTGCATATTCAAGGACGAGAGCCTCCTCCCTTTGCTCCTTAATTTTCGGTATTTGTTATTTCAGTATATATTTTAAAATTCGCGGAGCGGGAAAATGTGTAAGAAAACATGGCATAACAAGAAGCTCGGGGGAATTTCAATGAACTGAAAGATACATCGATGGGTTGATGGTGAGTAATTTCTGGGAAACCCTTTACAAATCAGTTTGTGTGTTTACAAAATCTTGAAATTTCAACCAAAATATGCTAATGGATCTTAAGAGTTTCCTTGATACATTTTGAGGGGTTTTACCCAAGAAAAGCTATTTCTTTAAATAAAAATAATAATAGATAAATTATTTGTATATTTAATATGTTTTAAGCATATGTTTTATATGTCCAGGACATTTAAAACACCAGCTTTAAGCTTTCAAACAAAATATTGCACCCCTTTAAAAGCCACAAATTAAAAGTGCAAATCAAATTCCCAAAAGTATTCAAAACTCCAGCTAATGGCACCTCTTATCTTTGCTAAAAACCATAATAATTGAGTTACTTTTGCGCCAAAAAATTATAATTTTATTGTCATATTTTCTATGAGCAATCAGTGAGGTAAATCAACCCCTAACCAGAAGCACACACACATCCTTTTTACCTCAGGCATCCCTTCACTTCACTCATCAATTTGATTTTGTTTTTAGCCACACACACACTCACATACACACATTAATGAGTTGTCAGGTCCTGCCACGCCTTTCTCCCCCGCCCACCAATCGCTTTTGACATGAGGAAAAATCAATAAACGTTTTCAAAAAATATATATTTTTTGTATGGGTAATTTATTTTATCTCATCGTTGCCGCCTTGTTTTTCCTTTGTCGCTCGGGAAAATTCAATTTTGAGGCCGGGGGTGCGTGTGTGCCTGCATGGCAAGTGCGTGTGTGTGGGTGTGTAAGTGGGTTAAGTGCACCAGTGTGAGTGTATTGTTTAATATTACAAAAAAAAAAAAACAAGATATGTAGGGTATAACTTTTACCAACTGACAGGCAGAAATCTGAATGGATGCATTCGGTCGAGTGGTTTGCCAGCTAATTACTGAATCTATTGAAAAGGAGACTTTGAAGGTCTCTTTGCAGAATCCCACTAACTTATTTAGATAAGAAACAATAAAGTTTTGCAAAACTCGAACTAAACGCGAACTTAGAACTGTGGCCTTCAAACGCAGACAAACTTTTACTGAACTCAAATTTATGCAATTGTTGCCATTCTTTGTAATTTGCGGAATTTCTATAGATATTCATAAATGAGTTTGGGATGAAATTAAATAGTAAATAGCGGAAAGTATTCTTTGATTGAATAAAATAATTTTCAAGTAAAATATTAGAACGTTATAAGTGACATAAAATCATAATTTAAAAACGTTATAAAACCATTAATTTCAATTCGGATTTCCTTTGATAGTTTTTATTAGATTAATTAATCTGCATACTCAATTTAAATTTTAGAAAAATTGAACTTTTATCAATTTTTAAAGATTTTAACGATGCAACCCCTTATAAAATTTAAAAAATTTTGAAAAAATTAAATTTGGTCCGGACATGTCTAGATCGATTCCGCTGTTGATGCTGATCAAGAATATATATGATATATAGGGTCGGAAATGACTCCACAGTGTTTCAAGCTTCTGACTAAAATCATAATATCTTGCTACGATATAAACTTAATTAATGGACCCTTGTCTCACAATTGAAATTAAAGTGACAAACAGACAAGCAGACTCGACAGTTCTTGTTTATTTTGACAAGGATTAAAAGGAAATAATTATTATGAAAGCAAAATTAATTAATGATTATTTTATGATTAGGGGTTTATCTTTTCCACAAGCCTGTTTTCATAAGCTTTCCGCATAAAACCAAGTTTAATGACACGTGTCTCTGCGTAAAGCATTTCAAATCAATTTCCATTTTAATCTAGATGTAAATTAGACATAATCTTGTCTTTCAAGGAATCAGAAATCATCTTCCATTCAAATTTCATTTCAGTAAAAAGACAATTGTGTTTTTTCTGTGAAGAAGATAATTATCCTCTGCGTTTTTACATATCAGAGATGTATATATATATAATCAGCTTCGGGGTATATATTTCCCAACTCCACCTTAAAAACCTTTTAAGCTGAATAAGTATCAGGTTTAAAACATCTTTTAATTTTAAGACAGCTCCGGTAACTTTCATCTCGAACATATTGCCCCACAGGCTGTCAAATTTACAATCGACCCCCCGCCTTTCCATCGGGGAAACTTCATTAAATATGTAAAATGCCGAAACGCTTGCCTTTTCTTTATTTCTCGGACCCAGTTTTCCCTTGGATCTTTTTGGTCCTGTTTCCTCCCCCCCTCCCCTGCCTTTTCCTTGATTTTCCCCCAGCTTTTAGCTCACCTTTAGCTGCTGGAACTTGGCCTCCGCCTCCTTGTCGCCGCTATTCTTGTCGGGATGGTACTGGAGGGCCAGGACCTTGTACTCGGCCTGGATCTGCTCGAGCTGCGAAAGAAACAAGAGATGGGAAAAAAAGGAAAATTAGTTGGCCAACTTAAGTGAATTGCGATGATGAATTCCCTTTGCCCTCCAAATTAACTAAGTATTTTGTGGCATGAATTTTTAAAATGCGCTTTTCCAAGGCAAATAACGTTCTTACATACACATTATTATATAATAGAAGGACGAACAAGCTCACATACACACATTTTTCGTGTGGGATGCAGATTTTGGAAGACAGGACTCCAAGGAGACCGCAACTTCAGGTAAAGCCTGTCGTCTGCAGACGCAAATTGGAGGCAACTCAAAGTGGCAAGGATATCATGGCAGGACCTCCTTTTGCCCCATCAACAAACATCCCCAGCGAATAACAAAATAACAATAAGCAAACATTAAAAACCTAACGTTCGTGCGCTGTTGAGGACCACTTAAAGTAATAGAAAAGCTGTCGTACTTTGGCTTTATTGCGGCAAAAGAACAGTGGTGCCAATGTTAATCTCTTTTATTCAATTTTTATATTTGAAAAATATGTGGAAATAATTTAAAGGGTTTCCGTACTGTACTGTCAGCTAGAAAAGTTTGCAACCCTGTTCTTTTGTTATATATTTTACAAGACATTAAATACATTTAATGAACCCTTGATTTCAACCACTGTGCAGTGCCACAAACTAACCAAAGGAAAAGTGAAAAACTTCCATTGAAAAAAAGTGAAAACTTCTGAGGGCTTAGAATGATGTTGCCAAATTAATTCACTTGACGCTGTCCTTGACTTTACCAACTAAAGGCTTGACACTTGGCAAACAATTGAAATTAATTAAGCTCGAGTGCCTTTCGGTCGGAGCAACAAGTTGACAGCCAGTCAGGGATGATCTGAGCCTGGTCTGAACCCGGGACACGGGACCGGAGATGACAATGATGGCCATGATGATGGAAGCGATGGAGGCGATGGCGATGGGAGCAATGATGTGCGCTGGCTGCCACAGTACAAAAGCCGCTTGTTTATTGTCTTGTAAATGGAAATGGCTTTTCGCGCACCATCGGTCGACGCACAAAGGACTTGGGCAGCCGCAGAGAGAGCAGGAGGCTCTGACCAGCATGGGATCCTTTTATTTTTTTCCATTCTATTGTTCACGGAAAGGGGAAAACGTCAAAAAGCAGTTGGTGCCGGTGGAGCAAACATATTTAGGTCAGTGTCCACAGAGGGAAAAACTTGGTCATGCCTCAATAAATATTTATATTGATTATATATATTTATATAATAAATAATCATGGTTTTGATTTGCAAAAGCTTTTCGACAATTGCAAATCACTAAGGACCAGACTGTATTTATTTTATAATTTTTTCTCTGTATGAAATTTTCCAAATTACATGTTCCTTTGATGTGGCCAGAATTTTATGAATTTTCCTTTACCCCTTGATTTTTTTTGCTGGTCTGCTGCCAGGTCTTCCAGGAAACACAAAGTGGATTACTTGCATGCATTTCGCTATGCTCGACGCTTCCAGCTTCATTTGCGGTGCTAACCCTGCTGCAACGGGGCGTATAATTAATTTCAAAGCAATTAATATTACTCATACGACAGCGTGTACGCGGGAAAAGCAGACAAAGCAGCAAAACAAGAGGGGAAAACGTGAGGGTAGCACGAAATCCACTCACCTGAAACTCCTACACACAATGTATTCCTATAATTAGAGAAATGGTGTATGTTCAACACACATTTGTGGGTCTCTATATTCCTATTCCTCTGGATATCCTTAATGGATAAAGAGCGTGATTCGTGCTTACATAGAGAACTTATTATAAATTGAAATTTTAATTGGAAAGTGAAGTGAATTTAAGAACATCATCTCTCTCATTAATACTACAAACAAAAGTTAACTTTATCCTTATGACAATATATATATTTCTCCAATTTATACAACAAACAAGATATTTATCTTCTGATTTCATTCATTTATTATTGCCTTCATCAACTGACATCACACCCACTGGCATTACACAATCAAATGGAAGCAATTAATTGGCATTGCAATTGCACCATCGAACCAATTTGCAGTTTCCACTCGATTAATTAATTCCTCCCATCGGATTGCCAATTAAAATGTACCCAGAATCGCATCCAAAGATCTGTGCAAATTAGTCCCAAAAACATTTGAAGACTGTGCAGTTCTAGTCACTACTCTATAGTTGGACTGTTTGGCTTGGGTATGCAAATTCCGAGCTCCGAGAACAACTGCCAACTAATCTGCATGAGAATGGCATTGCTGAGCTGCCTTCTCAAGTAGCCAGAGATAATTGCCGGCAAATAGAGAGACGGTTCAGTTCAGGGGTCAGGGATTGGGTCAGAGTCAGAGCTCAGGGATGCGAGCTACGTGATCAGGGCTCGTCCATAATGCTTAGCATATATCCTTACCCACCAAAGTCTCTGAGGGTAAATATTTGATTCTGTTTACATGACCGGGCAAAATCGATTTGCAGGACGTAGGAGCTGGGTGCCTGGGAGCCTCCTTCTCCTGCATAATTCAATAGAATTCCGCACTCAGCCTGATGCAATCGACAGCTCGCCAAATTGTCTGCTCTTGTCCTGGTGCTCACAACATTTTCCGGGCCAATAAATTTGATTACACCAGGATTTTCCCACCTGCCATAGAGAGCCAGTGAGCCCGAAAATGTGACAACTCAAGATGAATGTCAGGACGAGGGACTGAGGACTCGGGAGCCAGGACTCAGGTCTTGAAGTCTTCTGATGGGTAAATGCCATTAAGCCGTCCCGAGATTGCCTGCCAAACCGAGCTCGTTAATTCCTTCCTGACAGGGGAGTAGGGAATACCCAACAATTGCCAGGCTTAGTCTCTAGATTCTTGGGCTCTGACTTGGCTTTTCACTTGATGTGTGAGTTTTCCTCTCGCCCACGAGCCTAAGCTGGAAGCTGCAGCTATCATAAAGATGCATTGCATCTCGCCTGCGTCGGATCAAAGCCAATTCTGCCAATCTACGATGCCTGGCTGAGTAATTGAAACTAATTCTCAAAGCAAACCTCTCTCGCCTCTAAAAAGAAACTGCTAGAAAAAATGTGGTATTTGAAGAGAATAAAGTTACTTTTAAAAGAGTATTTATTTAGAAACTAATTGAAGAGATTTTATGAAAGTAAATTGTGAAACATGGATCTTGATCGAGGCAAACAATATACTAAAGTTCTTTAAAAATCAAATCACTTCTCTGAAAAGTAAACCTAATTTCAATAATTTCAAACTTAAATACTATACATTTAAGTCCCATGCTCTTTTCTCTCAGTGTTAGTCTTTCCCACTTGCGTTTTATGTGGTTTTTATAGATTCATGCAAAGGTTTATGTTGCTTAAATCAACCTTTAGTATATTCTTTCCACTTAAGGCTCATTTAGAAGCTAAACAATTAAGGCACCTCATCGCGTTTTATCAACAAAAAACTGCGAACCCAAAAATTCCCCAAATTCGATTAGTGTCAATTTTTGAAGGCCGCAACTTGATTAGTCTCTAATTAAATTCGCAGAAAAGTTAAATGGGAAAAGTGGTGACCTTGTTAGGTATCTCTCTATCCCTCGGAAAGGGTGTTACAGTGGGGTGGGCAAGGAAGGATTTTGGGTTCTTTAGAAGTATACTTACCGACGAAGTCTCATCGCAATGGAGCAGAGCGTAAAAGTCCTCATTGGGACTGCGCTTGTAATTGATTATGGCATCCACGGCGCTCATTGCGTCAGTTTGCTCTCCTGGGATCAGTCGGAAATATGTCTATATATAAGTTCTACATAAAAAAGGGAGTTTTTTGAAGAAGGGATATTATTACAATCGTAATAAACATACAAAAACTTAGTGAACACTTCAGATTTGCTTCATAATTTACACAATTTATACAAATTTACTAAAACATCTCTTTTGTTATTAAAATAAATATACTATTTATATAATTGTTTGAAGTATATGTTCATATCTTGTAAAGGCATAGCTTTATTATATATTTAATATATTATTAATGGTCATATTGTTTTAGAGTGCACTTCAAATAATTAGGTCAAGCCAGGGGTAATATGTATGTGGTTTTGTATATATTTATTTATTTAAGGGAGTTAGCAAGTTTAAGTTTAATTATTTTATAAATATATTTTTCACTCATCAAATCAATTAACTTATTTAAATAACTTTTAGACACTTTCTTTAGTTTTTAATAGCATAGAAAATGTATGAAAAATACACAGAAATTCAAAGTAAGTAAGTAACTTGATCTTTTATCACTAAAAACAGTTCTTGGTATACAATTTCTCACTGAATTTAATCATAATATAATCATAAATCACTTTTTCTTTATTATTCTTTAATTTTGTCTTTTTTTTAAGGTATAAAGCTGTATAATAACTGAAAGCAAAACTGAGAGGGGATCGCGTGACCTTCGATTTGGTACAATTAGTTGCTAAAAATAAGTAAATAAGAGCTAATCACAAATGCACAAAACTGAAATCGCTTAGTAATCAGCTGGAAAAGATCTGGTTTTGTTTTGGTTTAGGTTTTTTTTATTTTTGTTTTTTTTTATTTGTTTTGCCGTGGTTTCACTTTCACTTGTTGTTGTTTTCCGTTGGAGGTTTATTGTTAACACTGAGATAAAGTAGCGAACTGTTGAACTATTGTTTTGTTTATTGCAGCTCAAAACTTGGCTTAGTACACTCTTTCTTTCTCTCTCTCTTTCTCATTTTCTCACAGATTCTCACTCTCTCTCTCTGTGTCTATATTTAGCCTTTCTCTTTGGTTATTTACTTTGGTTTTAAGGTGTTCACGATGTTTCTGGCAGCGCGTCGCAAGTCGAACTGCCAGCGTCGCAGTGGCAAGCATTGCGCTTCGGCTACATTTTCACTTCGGCTTCAGGCACTGGAAGAGCTTGGAAAAGTTCCGTTTCTCTCAAAGCATTCACAGCCTCCCAATCTCTAAGTGTTTAAAGAGCTTTTTTCATAGCTTTAAACTTGGTTTTTATTGGAAGAAGAACAGGTTGATCGGGGAATTTTTGGAGAGGGCTAAGATTGGTGTGTCATCTGGACAACTGACTCAGTGGGGATTTTTTAAAAAAGCAGTTAATAAAATAATTTTTATTAAATTGCGCGATTATTTGTAAGCCCCGGCAATGAAAGAGGTAAAAGATAACAGGATCTGGAACCTTCATAAAATATATATATTGAAAATAATAATATTGACGAGTTTAACACAAATATGTTGAAATTCCTTCTAGCAAAATTATAATTCTAAAATATATATATACTTTCGAATAGCTTAAAATAATATAAAAGAACATTGAATACAAACAAAGTACCATTTTTAATAGTAAATCAAATAAAATGTAAATTAGACTTTCTATTTTTAATGTTTTTAGAATAAAAAGACACATTCTCTAGGGTTAAACAAGACTTTTAAGCTATTATAACGAATGGTTCTTGTCCCCAATTATCAGCCCCAAAACATTTCACAGCAAAAAGCTTTTGCTATAAAAACAATGCCATAAAAAATACATTTTTATAGCAACCCAACTGCCACTTGTTGCTATCAACACTGCCCCATTCAAAAACGAGTTTATTCTTTTGTCTCGTCTCTCCTCTGGCTGTCAAAGTTTGTGGAATTTGTTAAAGGGAAATTAATTCGCCACCCACAACAAAAAAAAAAAATATATATATAGAAAGAAAACTCATCAATCTATGGCGGTCAGCAGCTGTTCGAACGAAACTTTTCCGCAAATGAAGTCAAATCGAACTTCGAGCCCAAAAACGCAAGCATTCAGCATTGGTTTTCAAATTAAAAGAGGCAGCCGACTGTGAAGGGAAATTGGAAAACTGTTGCATACTTGAGGGCGGTGTGGACTATGTAGACCAAATAGCACGAATAGCACCGACAGGCGGGTGGTGATTTTTCCCCACTCGGAAAAACCCACAAAAAAAGCCCAGTGTGCTCTCTCTTTCTCTCTGACCAACGAAAAATGATTTCCGTTCATAAATCATCATAATGGCGAAGCCAGGACCCAACACAGGAGTTTGTTAGTACGGAAAACATGGCCAAAAACCAGAAGGGAAACCCAGAACCAAATGAAGACGAAACCGTTTGACCAGCTAACGATGGGGCATTTCCCCCCTAAAACAATGGGGAGAGGTAAAGCGGGGGGAAAAGTAGAAAAGTGCGCCCGTGCGTTTGTCTGTCACGCACACAGAGAAAGGGAAGGGAAAACTCTGGGGAAAGTGGGGAAAGTTACAAGAATTTAGGCTTGGAATTTATCGACTAACAAATATCTGGTGTTATTTATATATTAGGAAATATTTAAAATATATTGAAAATGTAAAGAAAATAAGGTTTTCCTAAATATATCTACATTTTCTATAGGTTTTTAGTGGGATAACAAGGCACTCGTCTAATGAATATAGTTCTTTTATCCTCCGAATGATAAATATATTAATTACGATTGAATTTACATGCCTATTAGTTGTCTGAAGTTTATAAATGTTTTTAAATATATAAATATAAACTTATAATTATTATTTTTATATATTGTATTTAATATATTAAATTTAAAATATTAATTACTTTGAGATTGCCTCTCCATTTTGCTATCTATTTCTTCATCCCAAAGAACTAGATTCTCCAAAAAATCCTTTGTTGATCCTCGATATACCCCTGCATCCTTCACGTACCGGTGGCCAAAACACACACACACACACTCGCAGCACTCACACACACACGTGTACTGTGCGTGTGACGTCAACAAATGGAGCTGGAACGAAATGAAACGTTTTAATTAGACAAAAGAGCAGGGCAACTATTTATTTCCATTTCTGCTTCGACTGTTTACTGTCCACACAGCCCGCAGCAAAGGCTGCAGATACAGATACAGATACAGTTTGCTGCTCGCAGATACAGTTCCAGCAGATACTTGGCCAACTATCCAGAGGCAACCCACTCACTTGGCTTCCAGCGGGCTTTCAGGGGCCTGCAGTCGCTGATATAAACCCCCCTTTCGGCCACAGAAATTGCAATGTTTCCCCTTCATTCTGTCTTTAATTTTCACTAAGATTGAAAGTTTTGTAAGTACAGGGATAAAAAATGAAGAGAAATTTTATTGCTTCTCTGTTGTATTGTTATTATTTTAAATTATTTTTAGAGTATTCATTCTTTTAAATATTTATTATCCTACTTAAAATTATAGTTGTTAATTGTCTTGATAACTTTACAGATTTTATACATTCCAAAGATAGTCGAAATTATTAAAAAGTGCTATGGAATCCTTAAAGAATTTATTTCAAAAGATTTACAGAACTTGTGATATTGATTACTAACTGGTGAGCTATAAAAGATGGGTTGGGTTTGAAAACAATTGAAATTCGGCCTTAAATTAGGCTCTAGGGCATAATAAAATATCAATATTTTACAAGAACTTATTTTCATTTGATTTAAAGTCCTTAAAGTTTCTATTGAACTATGTATTTGCCATTTAAGAAAATTGAGAAAGACATCTAAATTAACTTCTAGCTTTTATAATAATTTCTCAGCTCTTAGTTTTCATTTCTCTCAGTGCACTGGATGTGGTGAGTGGCGGCAGCCACTTGGATCCTGATAAGCGAACATATTTTGCGCAGCATACTTGCGAGGGCAAACATTGGCAGTGGCCAAAGAATTGCTGGGAAATTGCTCATTCTCTGTGGGAGTGTGTGAATGCGGTGTGTGTGTGTGTGTGGATGTACGTTCTTCGTTCTTCGTCCTTCGTAGGATTCTTTTGCCCAGAGTGCTGCAGATTTATGCATACCGCACCAGGACGAGCTACCAGATTAGGGACATTCCGATGCTTCCTGCCGGCAAGCTTCACCTACAAGTATGCTGTGCAAAATCTCTTGTATTTGCAGTTTCCGTTTTTAGTTTTCCCAGCATTGCATTTTCCACTCAACTTGTGTGAGTGTGTTTGGGTCTTTTCCTTCATTTCCCGGCTGCTGTTAACTGCATTTCGCTCGACTTAAAAAGGAAAATCGCAAGTCAAACAACTCGAGTGGCTGAGTGTGCGTGTGTGTGTTGGTGGGTGAGCAAGCAATCTGAACTTTTCAATGCTCGATTGCCAGCTGCTTTTCCACAATTTCCATTTACCCGCCCCCCTCACAGCCGCCCCCCTTGGACAGCTCAATTAATGGACAGGCAGGCAATGAAAATTCTCCAGAAGTTGACAGAAATCGTTTTCGGGCCTTCCGCTTTTTTGCATGCCAGAGAAAATCGAGACTGAAGCGAAAACTTTTCTTCATTTCCCTAGAATTATCTTTGTGTTCTACACACACATGAATCTTGGCATGGGAGCCGGGGCTGCGCTTTTCCCATTTTCCCCCCCAGGCGTTACCCGGCCTTTCCATTGCCTTTATTTTCCCTCTAGGTCAGCGAGAGTCAACGACACTTGGCAAAACAACAGCGCATTCAAAGAAAAGCAGTGAGGGAGGGGAAGCGGGGGAAAAGAGTCACTGTAAAAAAATATATATGTATATAGAATTGTGGATATATATATATATATGGGGTAACAAAAGCTTGTAACGCTATGAAGGAGTAATTTCCGACCCCATAAATCATATATATTATTGATCAGCATCATCAGCTGAATCGATCTAGCTATTTCCAGATAAAATTTAATTTTTCCAAAATTTTGGAAAATTTTATAAGGGGTTACATCGTTAAAATTGGCAAATAAAAATTGATAAAATTTTGATTTATTTAAATGTTATATTTAGTATGCAGATTTATTAACCTATTAAAAACTAACATAGGAAAGCATTCCGATTTGAAATTAATGGTTTTTTGTCTGAATTATGAGTTTTTTAAACTTTGATTTCGATTGCAAATTTCATCTTGCCGAAAATCATTTCCTTTCTTGTTGAATAAAAGCAAAACATTTTAAATATGATGCCTATCAATTTAATTTTAAAATGAAACTCCTTTATATTTCCTTTACTAACACAAACTTCCTTGATAATACTATTTATATTTTTCGCTGTGTTCAATGGCGCCTCCCGTTAGCTTGTTGGTTTATAATAAAAAGTACTTCATTTACTTTGTGCAATTTACAACTGTGAAATAAACAGGGAAGAGCCAAGGCCAAGGAGCTGGCGGAAAAAACAAAAAGGAAGTGCGGTCATGCTCTGCTGTGCTCTCTCTTCTCTCCCATTTTATCCTCTTAACCCCATGTTGCCCGGGTTCTTTGTATCGCCGCCATCGTTGCTTTGTTTTATTACCCGTTCGCCTCCGTTTCCATTCCTTCGCAGTTCATCTTGTCCCGGTTTGTTTTTTCCTCGCCCTATAATTTATTTATGCATGTATTTTATTAAAGATTTCCATGGCGTTGTTGTCGTTCTCGTTATCGCCGCTGTCGTCATGCCAGCCAGTCCCCCTTTGCCTCGGATGTTGACAAAGAAATTACTTATTAATCATATTTGAGCGCTGATTTCTCGACGCCAGAAAGGATCACGAGCAGCTGCCAGGGGACGTCAGTATGTACGTATGAGTGCACCAACAGATGGTGCAAAAATTATAGCCATCCTTTACGAAATATTTTTCTGAAAGGGAAGAGTTTAATGTCAGGTTTGGATATTCTTTTATGAAAGGATATTTTAATAAAATAAACTTCAGTCAGATATGTATCTCCTTTTAGTAAATTTCTTAAATTCAAGTAGCAATAGTTCCCCATAGCCCAATTTAATTTATGTTACATCCTTTAAACTTACCAAGGATGTATAATTTTCTAGCCTTTGCTGTACCCCACTCATTGGGTGAGTGGCTCCTGTATTATCTTATGTTATCCTTTGGCTCTCTCTGTGCAGCTTTTCCCCTGTCATCATTGTGGTTTTTCCACATGCAAACACATTCATTGGGATGCAAGAGGAGGAAAATGAAAGAAGTTTGTGCTCCATTTCGTGACTCTATTCATTACCCGGCTTCTGTGGCATCCACCGGCAGCGTTCCCCCACCCCTTGGCCATGCCACATAATTGCATTTGCTCATCAGAGACACATCCATTGGATGGATCTTGTGTATACAGGAGGCATTTTGTCCCGCATCATGTCGCTGCTGCGTTTGCTGTGAGCTGAAAAGACATTTTCGAAAATTAATTTTAGAATATATATTTTGTCTTGCGTGTGCTTGGGCGCTTTGTTTACACAGCGATCGTGCGGGGTAATATATAGCAGTCACGAAACACTTGTCTTTCATATATCTTGCAGTCTCGTTGCGATACAGGAAGTCCGCAATTCGCTGTCAAATCAAGAGCCCCTGATGCTTAATGCCAGCAATTGAAGGCGTTTGCTAATCAAAATCTAAATCAGAATCTGCACAAAGTCAGAAATCAGACAGAAGGCAGAGGCCGAAATCACTTGAGATCTTTGTAAAGACAGATGCCCCTCAAAGCACCCTGTATTGGGCATCGATTGACGCGATATTAGTGTTGGCTAAAATATTTATTGAAATCATAATTATAATAATAACTTTATAAAATAAAATTAAACTAGGAAATATTTTGTTTTAAAGTATAAAGTATTAACATTTTATTTAAATCTATAATAAAAACTAAAATTGTTAGGATATTTGCTTTATAATCTTTTAATTATATTGTGCTATCTTTGTAATTATTATAAAATATATTTGAGACAAAGATTTCCTTTCATTTCTTCCCTTAAATTATTCACAAGTCTTCCCAGAAACCTAAATAATAATTAATACTATTCCCATGTAAGTGAAAATAAGAAAGGCATATAAAAAATAATTAAGGTTGACAGATCTGTCATAAATAAAGACAGATTGGCTGCACTATTGCCATGGTGGATGGATCCCATCCGATGCACTGCCTCCGCTCAGCTGTCGAACGCCGGCAACGCCAACAGAAAATGAAAAACCAAAAAGCAGAAATGAAAAAAAGAGCAAGAAATGGCAAAATGAAAAAAGGAATAAAGGAATAGACAACGTCAAATGCCGCCCGGCCAAATGGCCAGCCGGATCGGCCCAATATATTCGGACCGATTCAGAGTTGTTTGCTTACACAGGGTATCAGCGGGCGAAAGGGGTGTGTTGGACATGACGTTGTTTGGGGAAAATGAGTAAATAACAATGCAAAGCAAATTTATTGAATAATAAACAGGTTTTTATGAAGGATATTGATAAATATGTTAAATTTAGCACAAGTAAATCGCCATATATGGATATGAATTCGATTTTTAAATATTTATTAAACAAATTGTTTTGAAAAATGCAAAAATACATATAGTTATTGCAAATTATATTTTTTGATTGATGGATTAGCATTATTTCCAGGATGTTTATTTTAACATTTTGTAAACGTATACGTAATATTTTCGTATACGTGATATTTTCGTATACGTGATATTGTAACCCTTGGAAAATTTAATTTAATTTAATTTAATTTAAATTTAAACTAGTACCATAAATACAAATTTAAACAATTGTAGTTAATGATTTTCATTGTTTATTAACCCTATCTAGTTTAAGCCGTACTATTAGTCGTATACGTAATATTTTTCTTTTTCTAATGTTATTATCTCGGCTTACTTTCAGCTAACTTAGAGTCAGATATAACTATACTCTAAAACTACAATAAGTATTTCTCTCTCCATTTACTCTCTATTGCTCCGTCTCTATTTTCGTCTATTGTTGTACGGCATATGCCCAAAAATAGCTTGGAGTATTGCGTGGGGTTTCCATGGGGAGTACGGGGTGAAGCGATAGTAGAATAGGATATGTGCTATGTGTCCAAGGAGGGGAAGTATAAAGAAGGAAGAGTTTCACATTTTGACGAGCCTCAGACGTCGGGCAGCCGCACTAATTGCACTCGCTTGGCCTAACGGAGAAATTGCAACAGGCGGACAATTAGCGGGCGAACTCATTCGCAATCGCATATTCATATTCACATTCACATTTGCTCAAAGAAGGAACAACGACAACAAGCAGCACAACAAGTACACTGAGAAAAATTAAGAACTCATATTTTAATAAATACATATTTTGTAGAGAAAACTAAACTGAAAGCTATTTATATTTAAAATTTGATAGAATGTATTAGAGTATTAGATTTCAATGAAAACTCACTTTGTTGATTAAATTATTATATTTCCAACTTGAGAGCATCCTTAAATATAATTAAAATTTCTAAAAAATATTTCTCTCCATGTAGCGACAGACAGACATTACCAAAAGAGAGCGAGTGAGAGTGGAGGGATGATAGAGAGAGTGGCGTGGAGAATGAGAGCGGCTGGTGAGAGTGGGGATCTCTGGCCGTCTCGCTTGCACTTGCGACCACTCGGCCCCACCATGCCCGGCTCAGGCCATCTCGCTCTGTTCCGGTGGGCAGACAGAATAATTCTTGCCAGCATCAGGAGCAGTGGCAGCGGCAGCGTCAGAAGCAGCGGAATTAGAAGCAGCGGCTAAAACAGCAAGAAAGCAGAAAGCAGAAGACCCGCCGTGTGATCGTGTAATTCGCCTCGTGTGCGTTCCGTTATTCCGTAATTATTCCGGATTTGTTTGCGAAACAAGTTGAACTGATGCGGTTTTGATAGCCAGTTCAATTTGTTTCGCCTCCTCGGTGTGTTTTGTCATCCGGCACGGTGTTATCCGTTGCTCCGTTGTCTCATTGTTTCGTTGCTCCCCTTGTTCCATTATTCGTTCTCCGTATCCCCGTTGTTCGTTTTTTCCCCTTGTTCGTTGTTGTCGCGCTTTTCGTGGCCGCCACTCGACGAATCTCTCAATCAGTTTGAAAATCAAGCAGTTCCCGAGAGGATCGAAGGCACTAACCTGAAAAGGATCTATATAAAAACGAAAAACCACTATTATCCAGCACAGCACAAGTTATTAACAAGCGATCGCGCCGCGAAATTCCACTTGTTTATATAATAATCGGCGGCTGCCAAGAGCCCAACGGAATATACAAAAGAAAAATACAAAAAAAAAAATTCATTCATTTCGTTCATTTTTCAGGCCACAAGAAAAGCAAAAGAAAAAAAAAACCGAGCATTTCTGCGTGTTATATGTGTTATTGTTTGTGATCAGTGATCAGTGGATCCAGTGGAACGAACCAAGTGAAAGTGAACACACACAGAAACGATAAAAGCTAAAGTGAAAAGGATAAACTGCAATCGCATCGTGTAGGAATTCGAAGTCAGAACCATGTCGGACATTGAGGATGTTTTCGGAGGCTCCGCCGAGGAGACCAAACCCGAAACCGAAGCTAAACCCGATGCTGATGCCGAGAGCAAGACCAGCGTGGTCACCGAAAGGACCGAGGAGGTGATTCCCGGCGAGACCGAGAAAATGGTCACCGAGACCATCGACGAGGACGGTGATGTTGTGGAGGAGACCACCGAAGTAACCCGCAAAACTGTGAAGCGCACCATGAAGATCACTGAGGTGAGTCAAATATCTATACAAACTTTAATGATTCTTAAGTTCTTAAATATATCAGAGTATTATTTAAAATAAAAAAATAATTCTGTTTACTAGCAAAAGATAGCTATATATGAAATATATATTAGTTTTCATGTTTTCAAAACATTCAAAGTGATGAAAATATTTTAGCAAAACATGGAATTTTCCTTAAAGTGTGTTTTTGTTTACCACTTGTTTCTCCTAAGTTATTTATTACTATACAACTATAAATTTAAGTATAACAAAGATCATTAGTAATGCAAAATAGCTTTGCAAAAACATCATTATTATTTGGCAAATGAGTATCAATTTATTTAGTCTTACGCCGACTTTTTATTAAGTAATCTTTATTTCAAGAACTTTTTCATAACTATTTACTAAATAATAATTGATAAATGACTTGATGACATGCAAATAATATTTCTTAAAAATAAATACAATAATTTAAACCAAGTATAGACTTTTCTGAAATATTTAGCACCCTTGAAGCGCTTTTCTTATGAAACACTATTAATCATTATTCATATGCTCTGAAGGGATCCCAGCACACTGATCTCTTTGCTTGTGAAATTGGCCAAAACATGGCGAACTCTGGCTATATTATTTATACCAAATGCCATTTCTCTATGTGCGTCTTAACAAATTGTTTATACGGTCCCACGAATATTATAAATCTTTCTCCCTACATTATACATCACACACACACACACACACACACACACTGGTGCACCGATAGAGGCGGACATATAAGCGGATATATATAAAACGCTCTGGTTCGGCCACACTTTCTATAGGCGACGTCGCCGAAAAGAAAAGCAAAAAAACCTCAGAAAAAACATAGGAGAAAACAAATTTTGCAGCTGTTTGATTTCGGCGCAAATTATCACAAAAGATTTCAATTTTCGGGGCTTATAAAAAGACGAAAAAATTAAATTATTGTTAAGCAGAAATCACTTAAATACCCGATGCCAAAAAAAAAACCCCAGCAAAAAACAGAAACACTGACAGACGAGAGAAATTGCAAAAAATGAAATGCAATAAATTCTGTGTCGCCAACAAATGCAAAGTCTGCAAAAGAAGCAAGCATCAGAAAAGCAGGAAAATAAAAAAAGAAAATGCGTATGTAAAAAAACGTAACAAATAACAAAAAATAAATATTGAGGTTTCCGTGTCTTGCGGTCTGGCGCGCTCTCAAGATGAGGAGCAGGAGGTTGCTTCGTGCAGCAATTAATTGCCACAAATCGTTGCACAAAATTACAAATTGCATTTCCGGTTTGGCGCGGCAGCCACGCATGCAGTTTCGTCCGCCACTATAGCGTTTTCCTCTCCTCCTTGTTTTTGTTATGGCCTGAAAATCTTCGATTTTCCCTGCCGCTGTTTTATGACTGTCTGGCACCCTCCCCCGCCCCCTGGCTGGTTTTGTTTTTCTTTTTTTCCGAGTTTTATGGCAGCCAAATTAAATTTGCATTGCAATTTGCTTTTTGGGGTCGGACTCGGCCTTTTCTCGTTTTTATGAGAGACCCCGGGAATGGAAATGAAAACGCATGAGCTGCGTAAGCCGGGGTCCTGTGGATACGGATAAGGATAAGGATGTGTTTGTACACACACAGACACATATGTGTGTGTGCGTGGCATATGGAATTTGTGTATGTGCTCCGCCTGGAGCAGCTTTACCGAACTAATTGCGTTGCCAAAGTCCGGATCCGTTTGCTGAACTCGTGAACTGCTAAACTGCTGAACCCATGAACTGCCGAACTCTCCACTTTCACTCTCTCTCTTTCTCGCTGGTATTTGCCCTCTGGCTTCTTCCTGGCCAAAAGCCTGGCTAATGAGTCACGTAGCGTTCTTGTCATTTTTATGCGCTTAACAGGTCAAAGTTCCAGCCGCAAGGCTACGTGACCCAAGACGACTTCGAATTGAAAATGCAAAATTAGTTAAATAAAGTCACAGCCCCAAAACTCCCTGCTCCGTTTTATCCTTAATACAGGCAACCCGGAAAACTGTCATAAATTTCACAGTTGATTTAACCGTTTGTCCGTTTGTTTGCCGATTTAATTCGGTCATTACATTATGGTTTTTCATGGGGTATTTTACCTTTTGTGACATATTTGTGGCTACAAGATAATATTTTAATTAATTTCCAAAAAGAAATGTACATTTACTATTATGAAAGGAATGAAAAACAAATTTTATCAAAGGAAAATCCACTGAAGTCCCGCTGGTTTGAAATAACATCCCACAAAGAGACCTTAAAATATCAATATACACTACTATTTTGTTATAAAAACAATAGAATAATATTTAAAAAATTAAACAATTTCATATAGTAAATAAATACCACGAATAAAATAAAAAAACTCCCTGTTTTCTGTTAAAATGTAACATAGACAACAGTGCGTATGAGTAATATTATATTACGTATACCATAAGGAGCTCTGTATATTTTGAAAACACTAAACGGAATTTAATATATTTTTACTAAAAATATAAAATAATAACGAAAAGCTGATGTTAAATATTCATCCCAAACTGAGTACTGTTCAGTCGGTGACCTCAGTTCTTATTTATTATCCTTCTCAAATCAGGATGTATTTAGGCAAATCTTTGCTCATCTCGCAGTCCTGCTCAAATGGACCATGCTAATTTGTGCAACAAGCCGGAAACTCACATAACCGGGCGGGAAACCAAAGCCAAAGCCCAACCTCTCAACCCACTCACATGGATAATGGAATTTCCTGTGGCCTCCGTGGAACCCATTGTCATTGGCTTTGCTATCCTGTCCCCATCCTGTTTAGGATTCCGTTGATTAGACATCATAATATTGAACAGAGATTAATTGGAAATCCATGTGGGGACGCCGAGCGACTAGCTACCAGCTCCTGGCTCAGAATGGATTTAGTTGCGGAAGCGGAGGATGATGGGAAAACTATTTTCCCAGCTTTTCCATGCGATTAGCCTGGCCACGGAATCGGTATTGTGGACCATCGTAATTTCCCCTCGCCTTGTATTGTGTGTGTTGCCAGTGATATTAATTTGTTTTCAAATTCGCCAAGCGCATTCCGCAAAACTGTGTGGAAAACCACAGCGCTAATCAGAGCAGGGACAGCTGTCTCTGCCACCCCCCCGGAAGCCCAACCCTTGAATAAACACCCCCCTCTATCCGCAAAATGTTTCCCTAACGCCCTTCACCCCCATTCATTGACAGCTGTCAACGCGGTGGCGCCTCTTCAAGTCCAAACAAATATCTCACTGGCAGCCATTGAAACGTGTGTTTCACATACTGGCTGAATGTATGGGTTGAATATTTATACACTGAGAGAAATATATTAAGTGCAGAGATGAGTTAAGTAAGTTAGATAGATCGAAAAGATAGATGCCTTGAACTAAATAGGAAACAAACAAAATCAAAGCTTATAAACATATTTAACTATAATTATTGCTCTTCTTTTCAAATACTTTTTATAATCAATATTAATTTCCACATCCTGTTTCTCTCTGTGTATGAAGCACACCTATATCTGTGTGTGTTGAATATTTTTTTGAAAGGCGTGACACAACAAGACGATTCAATGTCAGGCATCTCTTGGCCTTTGATGCTCGCTTAGCTTCCATTCACTTGTTGCAGTTCCCAAGGAGATTTCACCGCTCCCCCTCCACCTACCTTGACACCCTAAAAACCACCCACAAATTCAAAGAAAAAACAACAGAAAAACCGCCCATTTATTCCAAATTTCGAGTACATTTGGTCAGTTATTTATGCGCTTCGCTTTCATTTCGTCGGCGTTTCGTTTCGTTTCATTTCGCTTTGTGTTTTATTTATTTGTGCCTTTTGGCTGTTCAAACAATTTATAATTTTAATGCACACACAGGCCCAGCCCAGCCCGTTGACTGAATACAATCGAAATATGTTTATATAATTGAAAAGCAAACGTTTTGCGTGAAAACATAAGGCGGAGAGGCATGTGTGTGTACATATATGATATGTGCTAGCAGCGATCCCACATTCATGCTGGGGTATATAAATAAAGCTGCCAAATTGTGTACACGGGGCGTATGATGAACGTGCCATTTATGCCACCGAGCTATATGTTCTCTCTCTCTCTCTCAGCATGTTCTTTTCTCTCTCTCTCTCTCTCTCTGTGTCTCTAACTGGCACATATTTCATGTAATTTTGAAAACACTCTGTGCCTTATTTATTTATCCAGTTCAAAAATCTATAATCGACGCCTCTTCCTTGGGATGCTTTGACCTGCCGCAACGGAAATACGTCCATTTCTCAGGGTTCTTAAACTCACTCCCTCGGCTCCTCCTGGATGGGATTGGCGGAGTGTTACAGTTCAGCTAGAATAACAAACAAATAATTTCATTGCCTGCCATAAGCTTCCGCCACTCTTTCGGCCGGATATTCTATTGAAAATTTATTTCAATTACATTTGAGCGTGCCGCAAAAATCTCAACAAATAAAATTCAATTTACAAAATGTTTTGCGTAGTTTTCTGCGTGCCAAGAGCCAAGTTAAAAGGGAAAAGGAAAAAGGGGGAGGCCAAAGGCTGAAACCCCCCCCCCCAGAATGTCTATTCTATTCTGGCAATTCAATGAGAAAATTTTGCAGATTTTCCATGGCAGAGAGCTCGTTTTAGGAAAGTTTTAAATGCAAATGAAACGAAACCAATTAGCTGAAAATTGGCTGTGTTTAAAGGATAAAGCCTGCTTAAATGCTACTGCTACTACTGTTTGCCTCAGGTTATTAACATTTTCCTTCAATTAAAATATACACAGTGTACACAGGCAATTGTTTCTTTGGCTGGTCAAGCGCAATTTGCAAATTACTTCAGCTGTACAAACATTTGGCCAACCCAAATCCAGTAATAAATTAACAACAGCTCAACCAGTGCACACTGACATCTGCTTGTTTACACAGAATCATCATCATCTGCTGGTCTCTCTATGAAGTGCAAATAAATAAGCCCCATAAATTCGTA